ATTTTGAGAATTTTTGGACCAGGTTTCCAGTGCTTTGGGGAGAAAAGAAAAAAGGAATGGCAGAGTCCTTGAGGAGCCGTTCAGAGATTCTCTTAAAAGGGAAATTCTCTTAAGGTTGAAATCTGAAAGGTTGGCGGGAGGATGATTCTAGCCTATCTCAAGGTTTTGGGTCCCTGGGAAGGCCTGAAATGAATGCACTTCATCATGAAGATATCTGGGTTTGTAATTTAAGGTTTTTCTTTGACTCCAACATATTCCATTCCAAATTATCAACCAACTCTTTGCAGATGTGGCCTCAGTAAGGCTTCTTTTCCCTCTTTTAATGGGATTAATAATCTTGTTATTTGAAGGGGTGTGTATGTATGTGTATATGGGAGAATTCATTATTTTTTAAGCATGGGTTTTCCTGTATGTCTCATTTCATTAAATTATGAATGTTCATATCATTAGCATTAGAGATTATTATATCTAATGACCAGTATCAAAATACTTTTTACCTGGAACACTATATTCCACTATAATAGTTATTATTTTAGATTTATTGTTTGGAATATCATTAATAGATGAGTAAACAGGAGGGGAAAAAACCTGTTGATTAAAATAAGATATGGGAGATTCTTTTATTAATGGGCACATGCTTTTCAATTTTGGTTTCTGCAGTTGCACGTTGTTGGGTGATTAAATGACTATAAAATTGAATTAAAAGTGAATTTTTGTATCTCCAGTCAGTAAACTTATTTCACAGAAGAAAAAAATCACACATAACATTCATGAATCAAGTGTAAAAATACTGTTATCTTTCCTTGACTACTCACAATAGTATTATTTGCATGGCTGGTCATAGAAAGACATGTTAGCTTGTTTGCTTGTTACCTGCAACAAAACAATTCAGTGAGATTTGGGCCTACTGATAACTACAGGTATACCCTTGGCCCAATCCCATGACTCATCAGAACTTAGAAATCCCAGTTCCTGGCAATTGCCATGAAAGGAATGATGTGCTTTCAGCTAACTTTCTCATTTCTAAAATACCTCAACATTTATTCTAGTCAATATGGCTTGAGGCAATATTTTATCATTTGCAGAAATATTATAGAAATATACTGAAATATGCTAATCATAACACACATAGACTCTGATATTTAAACTGTACAATGTTGATAATTTTACCCATTTTTTGGTGACACAGTATATCTAAAATAAGTTTTACCACATAACCTTACATTCTGCTCTTTTTATAAAAATTCATTTCTTTATTCTCAAATTTTTTTTCTCATAAATGTTTGTTATTTACAGCTTCATAGCTTCATGATCTAAACTTCTCCCGTATTTCTTTCATTTTCTATTTCCTTATAAACAGAATATTAAGATAATGTTTTCCCTTTGAGGTAGACATTAACATGTCTGTTTTACAGAACCTGCTAATTTTTTTTTTTTTGCTTCAGTTCCAGGGATTAAAGAAAGTGAAAGAAATGTATTTTTTATCCACAGTTGAGTGATTTTGGATACCTTATTAATTACAAACAAATCAGTGCTGTATCTGAAGACTTCTATTGATTTTTAATAATATTTGATTACTTTTAGATCATATTATACTCTACAATTGACTGAAAGGTGCAAAGCTCAGCATACTTAGTAGTATATTCTCAAAAACATTAGATTTGGTGTTGAAATAAGACAAGTTAGGCAAATACTTGAAAAATTTAGGCGGGAAAATACTGATATTTTAGCTATTACATACACGGCTTAAATTCCCAAGAGTATCTATTTTCTGAACATGCTGTTAGGCAATTGCTTAACTTTTAACTTATTTGTTTGTGTGAACACATTGCCTGCAGCAACGCTCAGACTTTTTTTTTTTCAGTATTTGAATACTGCCCTTTGAGGTGTTCTCCTTAGCTTGTATTTTGTTTTTATCTTTGGTGTAAGGTAGAATTTTAAGATGAATGTAGAGGTCCAAGTTCTTCCTTTTCAGATATTAATAGAACATCTGCTCACATGAACTTCCCAGTCAAGTGTCCCCAATCTAAGTTTCATGTATCTCTCTCCCTCTTACTTAAATATGGGACTTTAGAAGGGTATTTATTAAATTTTTTTCTATTAAATTTTATGTTCATGTTTCCATCCAGAATTCCAGTCATCAGAATTGCCTTGAATATTGATTCTGTAAGTTAACTTATAGTTTTTGGCCCAGCTTTGTGTCAAATTTAATAATCATCACTTCAATGTCTTCAAGCTACTGTTCAAAAAACACTGAAGAGGATGAAGATAGAGTTAGACCTTTGTGATACTATATTAGAGAGCGGTCTCCATGATTACAGAACACAATTTTTATTAGGATACTTCAGTGAACTATAAATCTACATAAAAATAATATTATCCAGGCATATCTCACCAGCTTCCCCAAAAAAGATATCACGGGAGAGTATTAACTCTATTGCCATGCTATTTGTACCAACTAAATCATGTCGATGCTATTTCCCTAATAATCCATGTGAGTAGCAAACTTTCAAATAAGGAAGTCAATTTGACATCTTAATGATTTTTAAAAACACATAAATAAATCTAGTTAACATCTTAACTATACTCAGTTTAGGCTGTTTTTGCATGGTGGCCAGATGAACTAGCTGAAAAATGTACAGATCATTAAAATTGCTCAGATGTTTTAACTTTTGTGAGACCAAGTGTTTCAGGTTAGGTTTCTCAGAAACCAGACTCTGAGACAGAGATTAATGTGCAAAATGCTTACTAAGTAGTGCCCTTGGGCTCAATACCTGTGGAAAAGTGGGGAGTTAAGCAGGAATGGGCAGGATCTAAGCTATAATTAAACAACAACAGCCTCAGCTTATCCCTTAATGAAATCTAGAGCTAGAATGGTTCTTCAGAATCGTGACCCTTTAAGCCAAGACGGCCAGGCCCTTATATTCTCACATTAATCAATTATTATTAGTTGTCTGCTGTTGGAAGCGAAGTGACCTTGGGTGAGGCAGCTGTCTGCTATCAAGGAGAGGAACTACCAGCTGAGGATTACCTGCTGGTAGCACTCTGGGCAACAAGCCCTTGTTGAAGGAAGTCCATTTACTAAGCCCAGCAGCAAACCACGTTTATTGCCTCTTCTTACCCAGTGTCCCAGGAGATAGTCAAATGGTATAATCTAGCAAGGTCAGGACTCTAGTGAAGAAATAATTCAATTAGTTTACTTGACTGATTCAGCCAAATGATTGATCCAGCATCTCCATGTAGAAACAGACTTCTTTTCAGTTTGTCCACCCATTAAATAAATGAACCAGAGGATGTATGAATCTCAACAAATGACCTTTAATTGACAAAGCAATAAAATTAAAAATTTGGTCAGAAAAAAAGTTCTAGTTAATACCAAGGTCATAGATATTCAGTTCAGTCTCCCCTACCTTTTATAAGATAAATAGTATAAAAAGAGTTCAATCTTCAGAGAAGACCATTTAAGTGATCTGAAATCTTCTTAAAATATATTCAGTATACTATACTTATTAAGGCAGAAAAATAATTTGGTAGAAAGAAATTCCATAAATATGGTTGAAACATATTTTTCCTTCTTTTGAACAGAAAAGCCTAATAACCAGCATATCCCAGAATCTATTGACTATTTCTGACACTTAAGATTTGAAGACAGAGCTATTTTGTAATGCAAACCATTATAAAATAAATACTGTTTGATATTAATTATTGCATAAGTGGGTGAACAAGTTTGAGAACTGTAAGTCTTCTTCTTAATAATTACTCATTTTTTCCACTCCCTACCTCCCATTTCTTGTTCTGCCTCAGTTGTTTTCTGAAAATTCAATCCAAAAAACCCTGAAGGGTCAGTCATTTAAATAAACACAATTTTGAAAATTATCAAAAGAAGCAACTAAAAAGAGAAAAACCTAGCAGCCTATCATTTTCAGTTATTGGATAACAAGCTTTTGGTTAAAATCCTCTCAAGAAGGGCAGCTATGGGTTAGTAACCATTTGATTTAATTAACTAATCTTAATTGATTAATTTAATTAACTTTAAGACAGCAAATGGAAAGGTCTATTTTGCTTCAATTCATCACACAAATTCTGAACACTTTGCTGTAGCTGTAGTTTTAGAATCTCAATATAGTAGGAGCTTAGAGAGAATGGGAATCGGGTTGGCAAGGAGTCTGGGGAGCTTCACTTGCAGCTGAATTTCATAGAAAGCATGCTGTTTAACCTGGATTTTATGTCTAATTAGGGTGTGAGAGCTAATGGAGGAGTTGGGGAGATGATTAATCATCCATGGCTACTGAGGCTTTGTAACTTGCAAGCCATTATGTTGGGTATTGCTCTGCTCTTTTTAACATAATTTTAAAAACACAATTTCTCTCTTTAAAAAATTAGCATTTACTGTATGAAGTGGTAGTGGGAAAGAAACTATAAGAATATAAGTCTAAAAGCTAAGGGGGTAAAAAAAGAATGAAGATATTACACCTATTTAAAAGGATCATAATCTATCAGAAAAAATGGCATTGGAGATAGACCTTAAAGCATGGACTTTAGAGAGTTGATCAGCTTATACCTATAATTTTTTATGGCTTTATTGATACACACAAAAATGAAATGAAAATTAGATGACAACTTGGGTCAAAGAAGTAATGACAACCATCTCGCAGTGAATCAAAAGCTTTCAGAGTTAATAATTTGACTATTCCCCTTTATACTTGATTTTATATTTAGTGTATACAAGCATAGTTTTATGTGTCCATGAAGGCAATTCTGTAATTACTACAATAAAAGTAGCATCTCCAATGCTAATTTGATCCTGATCCATATCTGATGATATTTTCAAATATCTTTTGTGAGTTAAGTCAAGAGAGTTTGAAAAATACCATATTTTTATTTTGAAAATTACCTAATGCTTTATATGGGTAAAACTAAAGTGAGTGCAATTTTGTGTCTAGGCCAAGAGGTGACTTCAGCAGAAATTCGGAAGACCCCAAGTGATGTGACAGTGAGTTATGAGCAGCACCTACTGCGGCCACACTTCAGCTAAGATGAGTGTCAACGAAGTGCCAGCTTTCTCGTTGACTCTGGAGCAGAAAACTGGCTTCGCTTTTGTTGGGATTTTGTGTATCTTCTTGGGACTTCTTATTATCAGGTGCTTTAAAATCCTGTTAGACCCATATAGTAGCATGCCTTCCTCTACATGGGAAGATGAAGTAGAAGAGTTTGATAAAGGGACATTTGAATATGCACTTGCCTGAATGTTCCAGCTTTACAGTTTTTAGGGTTATACTGCTGGAACACTTGATGGACACAATTGTAATTTCCTTCAGTGTGCTGGAAGAAGCTAATATCATTCACTAAACTCAATAAATGTGTGTGGTTAATTTCTCCATGTAAGTGATAAACCACTGTTGGGATTTTTCACTGTCCTCTGTCCTCACGCTGAGTTTTCTAATGAATAAGTAAGTAAGTGAAGTTGCTCAGTCGTCTCTAACTCTTTGTGATACCATGGACTGTCGCCTACCAGGCTCCTCCATCCATGGAATTTTCCAGGCAAGGGTACTGGAGTGGGTTGCCATTTCCTTCTCCAGGGGATCTTCCCAACCCAGGGATTGAACCCAGGTCTCCCACATCGCAGGCAGGCGCTTTACTGTCTGAGCCACCAGACATCTGAGCCCTGCATCTGATCCTATGCAGCACCCAAACACCCTGTCCACACTCACTGTGGCTCCCTTGCTTTAGAGAATTAGGTGTCAAAGATAAGGGCCCTTCACTCCAAAGAATAAACAGAATATGTATTTCCTAATAATAGCCATAGGTCAACAATGGTCATACAACCTTACAAGTAACCACAGGCTCTACAAATATACCTAGAAGCCCAGGGAACTGAGATGAATAAAGACTTAAGATGTCATGAAAAGTTTTTCAGTTTAGGAGCCTGAACTCTGAGATTTGAATTCTAATATTTGTCTAGCCAAGAATAAGCGTTATGACCTAAAAAGTTATCTAATGGGAACTTAAGTCCCACAGCTGTAAAACAAGGATAAAGAAAACTATCCTACATGTTTTGCAGGAATGCTGGGAGGACCAAATGACTTATAATGAGTGGGAAAGTAATTTGAAACCAGAAAACACTGTTTAAATATACCTTGCTATCATTATTTATTATCCTTGTTGGTAATTGTTTAAGAGATTATCAAACCTTAAGAAGCAATGGTTAGGTGTTAAGTTATTCAACCTCCCCAGTATTCATTCTCTTTGTTTGATAAATTAAGAAAATAAAATTACATAATTCTAAATTATTTCCAACTACAAAATTCTGACTATCTATTATAAATGAATGGAGGAATGCACCAGGAGATAAGTAATGCAAAAATATTTGTGTCACTTGAGAACACAGACTTGCCAAACATACCAAAAAAAAAAAAAAGATTAATATGTACTGAAAGTAATGACTAAATTAAGTGCTTTCAATTTATCATGCAACTTGATACTCTCATTAGTCCTTTGAGTTTGGTACTACTATTTCCATTTTATTATTTCAATTTTACAGATGAGGAACTGAAGCTGAGAGAGATTAAGTAACTTTCAAAGGTCACCAAGCAATGGAGTGATTGTATTAGAAATCAAACTGTCCTCTTAGTCATAGTCATTGTTTATAAATATCATGCTGTACATACACTGTCCACAACACTTCTTGCATATTTTATAATATGATTATTGCCCAGGTCTATGGCGCTCCAAAATCAGCTTTTTCACTGAGAATCCCTGACACTTTTCATCTCCTAGTAGATTAGAATACATCTGTGTTGGCTATAGATTTTCTGAACTAAACTCACACCTTAAGAGACTCTTTGAACCCCAGTATGTACTGGAGTGTACCTTGTAGCTGGTTAGTAGTTTCATCCAGAACAGGTCATTGAGCCAAGTCACGCTGAAAGCTGTAAATGTCCATGATGCTAGTCATCTCCCTAGTGACCCAGCCTTTTGAAGTACCCACTGAGACATGTCCCCAAGTACCAGATACTCCTTTTGTCTCCCAAGGAAGACACCCAACAAGACCTTTCATTTTAGTGCCTAGACTTTATGTTTGTTATGTTAACATAGGACAGATCTTTATTTCAAAAAGAAAAAAGACTCCAAAAACCAAAGATAAAAAACTTTGTAAAGTATGAGCATTGTTTCTGAATATTCAACACCCATAAGCTTTTCAGATATTATCAACTCTGCCTTAGCTTTATATTATTTCTAATTCTACTAAAGAGAAATTATTTTCACCAAAAGTGTCTTCATTCACAGCATTCATTCAGGGCTATTTTGTGCCTTAGACTATTTTGTGCCTTTTTTGGGGGAAAGGATATGGGAAGGAAATGTTAGAATCTGTATTTTCAGAGCCAAAAACAATACAATGTGATATAAAGGATAGTTACAGCATGGAGCACATGGAAATTTCATGAAATTCTAATCCTTTTAGGAATAGATATTCAATGTCATAGTCAGATTATCCCCTAGATGTCAATTCCCAAGAGCCCTGGAAAGGAGGACAAGAGAAAAGACAGAGAGGCCCTCTAAACAATTTTCCCCTGTTACCTTACCCACCTGTCTGAAAGGCCTTTCCAGATTGGCTTTATGGATGGTATAATTTGACCCATATCCTCTAAACCATCTCCCATCTGCTCCAGAATGTCTGAATCCCCTTAATGGAGAACAAAGACTCTCATTTCACAGTTAGAGAGAAAATGCTTCGAGTGAAAGTGTCTAGTTGATGTAAGACTAAAACCAAAACCAATTCACGCTACACTGTAGTCAAGTAGTCAGTCAGCAAGAAAAAAAGGAAATTGATGGCTATCAGAGGCAGCCTTAGTCTTTGGTAGAGGAAAAAGGTTGAGGAATAAATGGATGGGCTCCTCAAAGAGGGTCAGAGTTGAGGGAACAGTTGAAGGAAAGGGAGGCTAGAGGTGGCAGAAATACTGCAGGTAAGTTCATAGCTCCTGTCCAGGGTGAGTGAATAGGACTTATTTCAGGTCCCAGTCTCATCTTAGCTGATCTAAACAGCTGGCTCCACTCAGCTGAGCCTGAAATGCAACTACTCCCTTTGTCTATTATTTGGGAAGTCAGAACCCTTTGTTGAACAGACAAATGCCTTGCACCAGTGGCCTTTAAGAGCAAAATGAGTTATAGGTCTTTATCTTCCATGTAATTCTGTCTCAATTTCTGATACAGTTTCATGACATTAGCCTGACTTACTAACATGACATTTATCTAAGAGCCTCTAAGGCATTTTACATAGGTACCTGTAGGCCCCTTTGTACAATCTGATATCTGTTTACCTACCATACCTCCTATTTTAATAGACATAGTACCTATCCCGACCTCTAATGATTCACCTCAGACCCTTGGATGTGACTGCAAAAGTCATCAGTGAATTGTAAATATTGTAAATATTGTAAAAATAGTAAAAGAAAACACCAAGTGCAAACTGGTGTTTTCTGAAATTAGCACATTAATGCTTTACACAAACTAACGTATTTAACTCTAAGTCTACAGTACAGTATTGTTCACAACTGCACTTTACAGATGAGAAAGTTAAGGCACAAGGAGGCTGACTAACTTGCCAGAGTTCACACAGATAGGAAGGGGCAGGACCAGGATGTAAATCAAGCACACTGTCTTCAGAGACTTGCATCCACTCTCTGTACCACACCACAACTGTGCTGCTCAGACAACTGGAAATCACTTGAATCGTTTCTAATAAAACATGAGGAGGACTCCTTCAATCATCCTGATCGAAAACCAATGACAGAAACTGCATGGAGGAACTGTTTGTGCTGTCTTAATAAGCACCACCTCACAGATTTGAGCAAAACCTTTTCTGCAGCAAAACTCAAACCCAGTTTTGATTTAAAAAAAAAAAAGAAAAAGAAATGTTTTGCCAGGTAGAGGTCAAAAGGTCATTTAGCAGTGCCACTGAAAAACTTACCTGTAGTTTGATTCCTGCTTAAAAGAGTTTTCCCATTAAGTAGAAATAATTGTCAATAAATCATTGATCATACTCTCCATCTGTTCATTTGCCATGCAGAGAAGAATCAAGATAATATCTACCATAAGCAAGATAAAATAATCTCAATACCATTTTCTAGTTGCAAAGTATAGAAATTATCTCTGGAGGCCTATATTTTGCTGCAAATCCTGAACAATAGGAGGTCACTAGGAATCATGTGAAACGAGAATACAAGATTCTATTTATTTAACCTCAAACAACTGAAGCAGGGTTCATATTTTGTTGGATGATTGCTGTTGAGCAATTCAACTCCCCTTATGAATTAAAGAAACTATTTGTCTTCCTGTCTAAAGGGATTAATGGTTTACTCCTGGTTACAAGTTGATGTAGAACTCAAGCTTCTTCTGTGCTAATGGCTGGGTGGTATTATTTCAGGCCAATCAGTGCTTCGTCATCTTTTTCAAGGAAGATTTTAGCCAATAAGAAGAAGCCTAATTTGGGGGGTGGTGGGGGAGGGGGGAGGGAGGGCTAAGTGGTTCATATATGTCTGGGTGACGCTGAAGGCTATCATTCCTGAGAAGAAGGCTCCCAGGTGGTAAGTTAAACATTTCTGGGCAGGGTAAAAATTATACTTAAAATTATGCTGTAAAGTGGATTCTGAGGAGTGGAGTAAAGGGGAGGATGTCAAGGGCTATGAAGATAAGTGAGAGGTTCCATAAAAACTAAAGAAGTAATAGCTTCACTTATTATTTCCCCAGGAATGATTATTTGGAGTTGAAGCTGAGTTTTTTTTTCCTTTAATTCAAGGAAATATCTGCTGGGGAGAAGCAAGATTTTTATTTATTTGTTTTTTGTATTTATCTATCTTCGTTGAATTTTCTTTGAAAATCCAAATTTTAAGATATCAATAAAGGTATTATTCTTATGAAAGAACATTCTAAAATGGGATTATATCATGGATTGTGAAAATGATTATGAAGTCTACCTATCTCACAGTCAAATAAAAACCCTCTCAAAAATTGAGAATATTTCATTAAAGGGAATCAGTAGAGCTTGATTATTCTGCCTAAATATAGCATAAAACTTTATTAAGGACTAAGATGTATTTCCTTACCCTGAATACTCCTGTTTTTTAAAGATTCCATAATCACATTTGTTAAAAAACAAATGTATGAACAAATGAAATATTTTGAAGACTAGTAAAATATCCAAGAATTCACAGAGACGTCTTGACAGGATATATTTTTATAACCCGACAATAACTTTTCTTTAGAAGTTCTAAAAATATTTTAGAAATTTACTCATGATGTAATGTATGTTAATATCAATCATAATATACTTTCCAATTTCCACATTTAGTACTGTCCGTGTACTGTGTTTCAGGCTGAGAATATTCTCACTAGCCTTCACTCAATTTGTTTGGTAGAGTTTCATCTTTTCTAAAGTCATATTGAATCCACCTGCATTGAGTACAAGCAAATACTAGAAACGCAGGTAGCATTTTAATGACTCCACTGGAAATTCTGTTTGCTGAAGCATGTCCCCAGTTATTTATTACAGGATTTAATTGCTTAGGTAACTAAGGTTCCTAAGTGTAAGTGTTAGTCACTCAGTTGTGTCTGACTCTTTGCGACCCCAGGTATTGTAGCCCACTAGGCTCCTCTGTCCATGGAATTCTCCAGGCAAGAGTTCTGGAGTGGGTAGCCATTCCCTTCTCCAGGGGACCTGCCCTACCCAGGGATCGAACCCAAACCTCCTGCAGAGACTTGCAGGCAGATTTTTTACTGTCTGAGCTACCAGGTTCCTAGACAGGTCATTTTTAAGGAAATGAATTTAAAGTTGTATGTCTTATGAAAGAAAACTGTTCCCTCATACCTCAGCCGTACTTAAATGTATTTATATCACCTGGAACAAGATTAATTTTCTCTTTTAATGACAGCTTTGAAGAACATTCTGAAGATTGTATAGGAGACAATATATCAAGAATCTATTTGTTGCATTGCTCTAGAACAAAAGTCAAGAGCTCCCTAATGTAGCATATTAGTGTTTGTTTTGAAGAGCAAATCTACACATTTTTTAAACAACCATAAAGTAGTCAGTTTAGTGAAAAATCTATTTGGAAGATGTCACTGAACAACTCCTCCAATGTATTTCTGGATTCCACGCCTAGTAATACCAATCGCTTTCAAGTTAATGTCATAAATGAGAGCCACGAGAGCAGTGCTGCTGTGAATGACAACGCTGACCCTCCACATTATGAGGAAACCTCTTTTGGGGATGAAGGCCAGAACAGATTTAGAATCAGCTTTAGGCCTGGGAATCAGGAGTGCTACGACAATTTCCTCCAAACTGGAGAAACAGCTAAAACAGATGCCAGTTTTCATGCTTACGATTCTCACACAAACACATACTACCTACAAACCTTTGGCCACAACACTGTGGATGCTGTGCCCAAGATTGAGTACTATCGCAACACCGGCAGTGTTAGCGGGCCCAAGGTCAACCGACCCAGCCTGCTGGAGATTCACGAGCAACTTGCAAAGGTAAGCTTAAGGGTACAGACAAGTATCCTCCTTATTCCTTCAGCTGATTCCCTACTCCATACGAACCTTATAAATGTAAACGTGTCCAATGTAGAGGTCTACGGCAAACTGTCCATCTTACTCACACAACTGTTCCTAGTTCCCGATAAACAGAAGATACACAAAAAGTGCTTCACAAATGTTTACTAGCTGGGAAAGAGGACTAAAAAATGAATTCTGAAAGTTAGGCAATATGTGGGGTCTTCTTTACAGTTATTGTCTATTCAATTCACACTTGGTTAAGCATGTCAAACTGAATACTAAGCTGGTTTCACATTGGTATTAATGGCTCCACAACAGTTGTAAAAAGAAATCACTGGTGCTTGCTGAAGTTAATACTGGGCAAATAGACTTTAGAGCACGTGGGTATTTTTTATATTCTTTAAAGAGAGAGAAGAGATGTATAAGATTCAGCATTTTATCCTTTCCTCTTCAAAACCTTGCCCAAAGTTCCTGAAGGCACGTAAGCATATAAAAGTAACTAAATTAAATTTTACTACAGAAGCAGCAGAAGTGGCTAAACTTTTCATTATTTATGGAATATGGCCAAGCTGTTAGAAGCATGAGGCAGCACTTTTTCTAATCTTTAGCAAAGCATTTGTAAGCTTAGTAGATTTCTTCTTCTGTAACTTGTTCTAAAATATATTGATGCACTTTATTTTCCTGCTCATCTGGAACATAGTTTAGAATGAAGAGCACTCTTTATGTGATATAATTAATTACTATGAAGAATAAATAGTTGCCTCACATCTAAATGCACTCTACTTTTGCCTAGAGTTTAAGGTAAGGGGGAAAAAATGGCTGGAACAATTCTTTTCATATTCATTCTTTCATTCAACCATTTTTAAATTAAATGATTGCCCACTCCAGGGATTCTAGGATTACTGCTAATACGATTCTAATAGAGGTGAAAAGCTCCCTTTAGTTTCTGCTCATCTTTCTTTCCTCGGGAAAATCCCTCTCCATAACCAATTCCCCTTGGCTGCTCAGGATTCCGGACCCTAGGTCCTAACTCTGGAGATTGAGCAACATCCAGAGAAAGAGCTGTGCCCTGTATCTTTACACCTCCCCCCACCAGACCTTACTTGTGCTGTGCACTGTATCACCAACGCTCTGCTAAATGGTTGCTTTATTTATAGACTTAAGATTTAGATTTAATCTGGGATATTTGATGCTCTAATCAAAAGACATTATTTAGCAATGTAGTGGTTTCGGACAAAATGGCAGGCCCGAGAAAAGCTGCTAAGAAGCCAGGCAATTTGAAGCTCCAATCAGACTAATGTGTCATTTTCCTTTTCTATGTGAGAGAAGGGGAAAGGAGAAGAAAGAAAAGGGAGAAGGAAAAGAGGGAAAAGAAGGTTGAAAGAAGGGGCACAAGGAGTTTCTGAGACATGGGAAGGGCAGAAAGAGAAAGTTAGAACCTTATAAAGAGGTTTTGATTTATCCTGAAGATGTAAAATGAGCAGACTTGAAATTTTATTCCACTGTACCCTACCTCATTACACATGATAATTTTTAAAGCTGCATACTTTGTTAAAATTGTGATCAAAATTTAAATATTCTCACTCCCTTCCCCAACTTACATCAAAAGAAATGAAAATTTTAACTCCTGGGATTCTCCAGGCAAGAATACTGGAGTAGGTTGCCATGCCCTCCTCCAGGGGATCTTCCCAACCCAGGGATTGAACCCAGGTCTCCCACATTGCAGATGGATTCTTTACTGTCTGAGCCACAGGAGTGGGTAGTCTGTCTGTTCTCCAGAGGATCTTCCCAACCCAGAAATTGAACCAAGGTCGCCTGCATTGCAGGCAAATTCTTTACAGGCTGAGCTACCAGGAAAGCCCCTATTAAAAAGGAAATGGTGTAAATTCACAGTGTTCTTAGGACTGATATTCCATAGAGAGGAAAGTGGCTGATTTACAATTTCCAAAGCCACAGTTTACATAAATATTTATATAAGGGGAGAAAAGTTCTGAGGGCACTGTTGTTAGAAAACTATCTGAATGACTGAACAGGAGAAATGTCATAGCTGCATTTGACAGTTTTTTTTTTGAAAAGATGAGACTAAGGTCTTTAACTTGTAGAATTTTTTCTCAGATATGAAAGAATGGCAAATTAAATACATTACAAATTAGATTTAGTCTCAATGCCCTGAATAATCATTCTGAACCAGTATAGTTATTCTTTTTGTGAACCTGATCCTTATCTAAGGTGCTCAGTTGCTTCAGTCCTGTCTGACGATATGCAACACTATGGACAGAAGCCCGCCAGGCTTCCCTGGCCATGGGATTCTCCAGACAAGAATACTGGAGTGGGTTGCCATTTCCTCCTCCAGGGGATCTTCTCAACCCAGGGATCAAACCCACATCTCCTGCGTCTCCTGCGTTGCAGGTCGATTCTTTATCACTAAGCCACTGGGGAAGACCCTCATCTAGGGTAATTCAGTTTGATTAAATCATGCAGAACTATGCACATAACCAAATTGGGAGCAGCATTTGAATATAACTAGCAAATCTACAGTGGGCACATTCTCACAGCCAGGGCCATTCTAGTGTTGCTGAACTTGTGAGCACCTGTTCCACATGTTCTACTTCTGTGCTGTCCTTCAGACTTCAACAGTCTGCTGCTGCTGCTGCTAAGTCACTTCAGTCGTGTCCAACTCTGTGAGACCCCGTAGACGGACCAGGCTCCCCCGTCCCTGGGATTCTCCAGGCAAGAACACTGGAGAGGGTTGCCATTTCCTTCTCCAATGCAGGAAAGTGAAAGTGAAGTCCTTCAGTTGTGTCTGACTCTTAGCAACACCATGGTCTGCTGCCTACCAGGCTCCTCCATCCATGGGATTTTCCAGGCAAGAGTACTGGAGTGGTTAACAGCCTGAGCCTTCTTCAATTCATTTCTTCTTTGCTAGTGAATTTGATTCTGCTATTCCCCGTGCTTTCCCCCACCTCCCAAATAAAAGATGAAAGCTTGCAGTATAAAGTAAATACGCTGTCACTTTCTTGTGGTCCTTGACAACTTTATGGTAGTTCTTCAAATCACAGATATAGATGACCACTGGAACAAATATTATATAATAATACTCAGACATGTCACTGATTTTGTATGCAAAAAAATAACTCTTAGTGTTTACTTAAATAATTTAAAAGTAGAAAGTAACTGACATAGTATAAGTTAAGAGATATTTTTTGATCCCTAATCATGCTTTTAAAAGCCATGTAGGAACAGTATATTCATACTAAATGGCAGAACATACTTAGTCAGAAATCAGTTGAATTTTGTGCAAATCCTGATTATAGCTTCCAAGCTGGAAAAAAAAATTACATGGCAAGCTTGTCCTAGTAGGTAAAATGAAAAATAGGCTTGAAAGACATTATTTTAAGCCTCTATCTTAAATAGAACTCCAGGAGTGATAGATATTGACAGAATTTGTAATCCCAATGATTTGATATCATAGTAAAGAAATCCTTTTCATTTTCTGTGTAGTAAAGAGCTAAATGCCTATACTAGTGGCCATGAATTACGGATTTCTGAAAACTCTGGTTAAAAGTAGAGAAAAATTACTTCATCCCTTACTTGCAGTACTGTACAACTTGCTGCCGTTCAGTCGCTAAGTCGTGTCTGACTCTTTGAGACCCCTGAACAGTAGCATACCAGGCTCCTCGGTCCTCCACTGTCTCCCCGAGTTTGCTCAAACTTACACCCACTGAGTTGGTGATGCTATCCAAGCAACTTATTCTCTACCACCCCCCTTCTCCTTTTGCCCACAAGTTATATAATATCAACTGATTTTGCAGGATGCTTGTAAATATTAGAGTTTATATGCAGACAAAGTCTAGCACATTGCTTATAATGAGTGCAAACTCAAAAAATGATTATTAATGATGGTCATGGTAATTTTTATACCAGATAATTTTTATTTTAAGTTTTATTTAAAAGTAAAATGCACACTGAAAAACATTTAATAAGTACTAAAAGTATATATACTGATTTTTCTTCTTTGATAATAGCTAGAAAGCCATTTGTCATTTTTTGGAGGTCTGAAAAAAAATCACATATTTTATACTAAATAAAATAATTCAATCTTTAATCATCTAGAAAAATCCAGTAGCAATTTACTGAAACCACACGTGATTGAATCTTTACTAGTTTATCAGTATTGGAGGGGAGAAAGACTTTTATCAAATGGTCTTTCTTTCTTTCTTTCCTTCTTTCCTTCTTTCTTTCCTTTACCTTTTCTGAATACTTAACACACAGGTAAAACTCTTGGTAAATAAATAATCATTCCCTGAAGCTATGTAATTTAAAATGCATTTATTAAAGGTTGTGGGTCATCATCTATGGTAATGGGGTATGAACAAACAAATTAATTCAAAGTATGGAGGAAAAAACTGGTTTCAGGCAGCAATCATAAAACTTTGAGTCTTCGAGACTTTGGTCCCAAGAACGTGCACCAGCCAGGAGTCTGCCAGCCCACTGTTATAGCTCACAGCCATGAAGTTCCTACATATCCTCGAACTGAAGTGCTGTTCCACACTTTGATGATAAGTTAACTTTATAATTGCTGTTTGGCCTTACAAAGGAGGCATTTATTAAAGAGTGAAACCAAGTTTTGCTTTGCCATGTTAGAAGACGAAGACGGCAAACAGAAAAATGATTTTGCCTTAGAGTAAACTACTTCAAAGTAAGATTTTTAGAAAACCCATTGGATTTAACCTCATTGGCAGTATCCAGGAAAGGTTAAATAACTTGCTGGAGGACAAGCACTGAATTAATTGTGTAGATTCCGAGTCTCCTAGTTTATATGGGACAAAGATTTTCAGCTTCCACATGACAGCAAGGAATGGAAATGGTTCTACTTAAGAATTTGCTATCGGACCTTTATTATCCATGCAATAAATATACATTTGAGGGATTTTCCCCCACTGTGGTGTAAGTATATTTAAAACTTTGAGACTCTAGCAGGTAGAATTTAAGTATATTTAAGTATATTTAAGAGAGAGTTATAGATCGTACAGTGACTCAAATTTTGAATAATTCGGAAAATAACTGCTTACTAATTTTTGTATATAATTATTTCCTTGATATGCCTTCATAGAATATTATTTTTGTTGTACATGGTGATGTCGTAGTGATAAACTGAAGAACTGTTAAACTGTGACCAGAAGGGCATCCATCAGATAGAAATGTTCATTTAAGAAGAAATTTTAGATATTTTATTTACCCTTTAGCCTACTTTGTAAATGCTTTCTTTCTTTTTTTTTTTTTACAATAATTGGTAGTCTAATCCAGATCTAAGGGTCAGAGTTACCATTAGAATTCATAGAAGAGCAGAGCAATTTCCTGGACCAAACCCTCAAGTTCAAGTTTAATCAGGAAACATGGATTGTAGTCCCAAGATTGCCTTTAAAAAGTGAGTGACTAAGGTTCTGTCTCATGGGCTCCCCAATTAACCCAGAAAAAGGAAATTGCTTTCTCCCTGACTGAGTAGCTGCTGATGATCTGGCCATGGGATCTTATTAACTAGAATATTGGCAATTTTGAAAGTTTTTCTCAAATCAAGTCAAATAAATGAATCTCCTAACCAAATAATCTCTTCAACATTCATGAATATTTTAACACATTCCTCAAGTCCTTACTCTCATTGATTTTTCCAGTTACACAAAATAAAATTTACATTTGACCTACTCAGCTGCCTTACAAGTGTAGAATCCTTTCAAAGAAAAACAGAATTTTTAATTGACTGGAGAACAACCTCAAGTATTTCATCCATCTGAAATTGACTGTATTGTATAGACATGTGAGATCCAATATAATAGCTCTAGCCACATGTGGCTATTGAGCACTTGAAAAGCGGTTAGCACAAACTGAGATGTGCTATCACTGTAAAATACACACTGGATTCAGAGACATGGTATGGAAAAAAAGAGTGTAAAATATTTTGTTAATATTTTTATAATGATTATTGCTGAAGTGATAGTATTTTACACAGATCTGTTAAGTAAAGTATATTACTAAGACATTCTGTGGTTGAGCTCTCTCCTACAAGGTGCGGTGCCCCTACTGCTAATGAATATTTATATTGCTGATATGGAACATAAAATATTCTACAAAAATTAAATATATTTTTTAATGTAAGGATCCATATCTGAACCCAAGTTATTTTACTAAATTCTTTTTTACTTTTTTTTAACTAGCTACTAAAAACTTTTTAATTACATGCATGTCTTACATTTGTGGCTGGTATAGATCACCAGTTTCTGCCCAGCTCAGCCTCAGTTTCTATGGACTTTGTTTATCCATACTTTACACTGATATGAGTATACAATGTCAGTTTCAATTATCTGTTAAGTAGGGGCTGAGTATGCTCAAAATGAAAATATTTCTTAAATAATTCAGAAATGAATTTTAATTATCATTTTTAGTTTTCTGTGCCATTCAGTTTTTTCCTAATGCTGTCAGAAAATAATAAGATGATCTGACTTGGGAAATACTGCCTTTCTATCTCTTATTTAATGTGGCCTGCACAGAGGAAATAGTGAGAAATGGACTACCAGATAGGGAAAGAAGAAAAAAGAACAAGAGGCAAGAATGGACAAGAGACGAGTTTCTCTGCTCTTAAGTGGTAGAGACTGGATAGCCTTCAAGTCCACTTTACGGATTCAGTACTGTTTATCGATGGCCTGCTCTATGGCAGGTCCTTGGTTTGTATTAAGAAGTAACTCATACCACCATCTCCTCCAGTTCAGTTTGCATACAATAACTCCTATCACATATTATCTTGGTTACCCAAGTGGCATAATAGTGTCATGAAAAAAGTCTTATGGAGAACAAAATTGGGAGAAATCCTCACTTAAAGGACTTCTGGAAAGAGACAAAAGGTCAAAATCACTTGACTAAACAGCCCAGACTAGGGTCTCTTACAGTGGGTATGCTAATGGTACGTGCTAAGTCACTTCAGTCGCGTCCAACTCTTTGCAACCCTATGGACTGAAGCCCGCCAGGCTCCTCTGTCCATGGGATTCTCCAGGCAAGAATACTGGAGTGGGTTGCCATGCCCTTCTCCAGGGGACTTTCCCATGCTAACGGGACTAAAGCCCAAAGAAGCAAGAACCCTTGAACATAGCAAGAGCAAGAACTTCAGTTGTTCCCAAATAAAGTCCTTATAAAGTTGTTCTTTAATAACATAATCAACTGCTGAATCTAAAAGTCTTCCCTAATAATTTCAAAATCCCTCCTGGGGAAGATTGCTTTTGGGGAGCTCAGTGGGGTATAGTCTAACCATTAGTCAATGAAATGCTAGACAAGCTAAATTAAGTGGGCACATCTGAAATTATTCAGTCAAATCTAAAAGAAAAGCGAGAAAGTTGTTTTTAACTTTAAAGAAACATAGCTATTTATTTTTCCATTAAATTCAGAAACTACTCAACTGACAAGAAGATCTTTTTTCAAAATTAGGCCACAGTGGGGGAAAAAAAACTAAGTAAAGGTTTTGATCTTTTTTTATAGGACTTACCACTTCTTATTTCTACTAGTTTTCTAGTAGTCAGTAGGGAGACTTCTCACCTTCTGTACAATACTATTGCACATCCAACAATTCTCAGGCAAAGGTATATCAAATCTGGAAGAAAATTCCCCTATAGGAGTAGTGTTTTTGTAGTCATACACTTTTTGCACCTTTGAAGAAAACTCTAAACCTTAAAAAAAAAAAAAAAAGACAAGGCACTTCTATGTGTTCCTTTATTGAATCTTCTTAAAGATACTCTGACATGAGTGGAGAATTTTTATTATCATTATTTCAGATGGATAAAATGAAGCCCAGGGAGGTTAATCGAAAGAAGGCCAAACATTGCATTAGTAAGGAATGTTAACTTTCATCTTACTTTGCCTTATAAAAGACTCATTCACTTTTTTTTTTTTTGTCCGCACCCCACAGTATGTGGGGTCTTAGTTTCCCAGCCAGGGATCAAAACTACGCCTCCTGCATTGTAAGTAGGGAGTCTTAACCACTGTGCCACCAGAAAAGTCCCCACCCCTCATTCACTCTTGGTAGTCTTTCTTACCTGCCTTGCACCCCCTCTTCCTTCTTTCCATCTTTTTGTATTCTAAATCTATCCAACTCTGATCATTCTCCCTAAGGTGATATTCTCACCAGTAGAAGAGCTGCCCAGTTTTCTTTACCACCCTTGAAGTCTCAGTGGTGCCTAAAATCACCCACAAAATGAACACATCATCTCCTGGGGCAAAAAATAATCATCTTATTAAAATGACTAGAATGCTTCCTTTTTTGACTCACACTTTATGTCAACTATTTTGATTTGCCTTTAGAAGTTTTATGGAACCATGTGTTGATCAGATATCATGTTTTTGCTGTCTATAAAAATGTAGAATGTATCAGTGGCCCCAGGTTCAGCTGATGTGGTTGCTAACGGTGAAGGGACACCTGGAGATGAACAAGCTGAAAACAAGGGAGAAGATCAAGCTGGTGCTGTGAAGTTTGGATGGGTGAAAGGTGTGCTGGTAAGAAAGTTCCTATATTTACAAATGAAAGCTATCTGTTCAATGTCCTACTGGATTCAGTGCTAACAAGGCCTGAAAACTAGAGTCACAAAGATGCCTGGGTGTTGTCCCACTGTCACTTCTCATGTCATTTTTCGTGCTCCTTCAACCCACAGGTACGATGTATGCTGAATATCTGGGGTGTCATGCTCTTCATTCGCCTCTCCTGGATTGTTGGAGAAGCTGGAATCGGTAAGCACTCCCCCCACCACCCACTACATACTTTTCAATATAAATTAAAAACTCAACAAGCAACTTGTTTTCACTGTTAACGCTGAATGTGAGATGAAGGTCACAGAATTAATCTGCATTTGGGCTCTTTTACTTGGCCTCTTTGTCAGTGTTTGTCAGGAGGAAAGGTAAAGGGTTAACTCCTGGGAGGCTGGAATTTTCCAGCTTGCCAGCCAGATAAATGCTCAAGTAAATATTTCATCTTTTCATAGAGTTTTAGGTGTACAGGTATATGGAGATTCATTCATTTTAAATAATATATTCATGTTTGGGTACACACTGGTAATCATCAGACTATCCCCCTTTATGATTATTGGCAAAACTTTACTAAACAAAAATAACTTGTAGAAAAACTGGGGAAAATGTGACTTGACTAATAAAAATGCTGAATTAAAAAAAAAAAAGAATTGTGTTATTTTCAGGTACAACAGTAAAAAAACAAAGGTTAATGAAGCATTGCCAGATAGAAGTTTAAATAATAGATAATAACTATTGCTCATTTTTCTAAATGGAAAGTGGATGATGTTGAAATGATTTTGAGTGCTTAGTTAATGTTTTTAGATATTATATTCCATTTAAACTACTGTTTTTGATGGAAAACATTTTTATTGAGAGTATATTACTTTAATTTATATGAAAATTTATTTGAATGCTATTGAAGTTTCTGATTCAATGTGACAAAAATTATTGGTGTTCTCTATATATGGAAAATTCGTTATATATTCACTTTGGTGGGGGGCATAGCTAAAAATCATGAGTATCAAGAAAATAGAAGTTCAGATGTGCTTTCAGATTCTACTCCAAAATGTGTCTCAATTCACATATAAAATGTATTTGGTCATTATTTACTGCCTTCACTCCTCAAAACTGATTCAGAATCACCAGAAATTTAACATGAGAAAGAAAGAGTTGGCACCAGTTCCCATAGTTTTTCCTTATTGCATGTTTAGCAACTGCTGGGTGCCTGACAAAAGGCTGCTTGCTGGCTTTATGATGCATATCAAATGAACACTTACAGCCTCGGGTCCAAAATAAGTCTATGCTGTTCCATGGAAAATCTGCATCTTAATATTGCCAAGTTGTTGCTCCAGGGTTTCATGCAAAATTAATTTTTTAAGGGCAGTTTAGTAACTTATTGAGATCATCAGGAAACAATACTTTGTTTGGAGGTGTGAGTGTGGCCCAGGGCAAGAGTGATTGTTTTGAATGCAGCTTATTTGAAACCCATATGTTTGGGCAATAATCTGAACTTTAATCAGATCTCACATTATTCTTCCCAGTCAATCCAGCTTCATGATTATTGCAAAACTGCGTAATATGAAGAATGTTATCTTGTGCTAAACTGTTTCTTATACTTTCAGACATCAATATTGTTTCAACAAAAATCTTTTATTTAAGTAGTCAAGTCTAACTTCAGAAGAGAGTAGAGTTCTACCTAAAAGGGTGTCCAGTGGGCTTTTCTATGAATGGAGGTTTTTGGTTTTTCTTTACTCTGAGAAAATAGACTTTAGTGAGTAGTAAAAACTTAACTATCAACCTTACTCAGTTTTACTGGACTTTGCTACAGTCTTAAAACTGAATGAGTTGATTAAGTTACTGTCTGGGTCCCATTTGTGTTCTTTTTATTGGGAAAGAAAATAAATGAGTATGTACTCCCTTCTTGCTTTATGAGGGGCTTGAGGAAGAAACCTGAATACACTTTCAAGCTCAGATTCTAGAAACGAAGCCAGAAGGAAGCTGTAGCCAGGAGTAATGGCAGCTATAGTCCTTGGGTAACCATTCTGGGGCGGTAAATTTTGGCTGCCTTGTCCCCGAAAGCATATGCTAGAATGAGCTGATAATGCCATCTACTTGTTCTCTGTCTTGACCACTTTGGCTGGGGCATGTCGTATCCAATGAACATAACCATCAAGCAAGGAAGAAGGATGTGAAAAGCAGATGAGACTGAAGCAAGTCATTTATATTCTGTGTATTTCACTTTCTCATCTGAAAATTAGGGAGCTGGATTAATTGTTTCCCAATCAATTCTTTGAAGATAAAGCTAAAGAATCTTCCTTAACAGGCAGACACAAATTGAGATAGGCTGAGGATAGCTCAATAATCTTCAGACTGCAGGGTGCATAAGAATTACCTGGGAAGTTAGTTACAACACTGCAGAATCCTGGGATTCACTTGGAAAGATCAAAAGTCAGTGAGTCTGGGCATTTTAAATATGTACCCCAGGCATTTCCTGAAGCAGGTGGTTCAAAGACCCAAGTCTGAGGATGAACCTAATGTTTTCTAAGTTGCTTATACCCTGGGATTTTATATTTGATTGTGAGCTGTATGCAAATCCCTTGCTGTTTAAATACATACTTTATACCAGGATTCTAAATAGTTTACAGAAATACACACAATGCAAAAGGATAAATTAAGAATTGTTCAGAAAATAAAGGCAAAGTGAATATAAAGGTAGGAAAATACTAAAATCAGACTAGTTTTAATATCATGAAATGCAAACTATATGATTCAGTCCAGTTGCTGGGGTAAGCTAACCATTCGCTATGAAACAATATCAAGAGTTAATGAGCAAAAAAATAAAAGGAAACCATCTTTAGTGGCACACAGACCTGAAATTGCACATTGATAGAGAGGCAATGCTCACCAGAGATACAGAGAATTCAGTGCAATCATTTCTTACAACATCAAGTGTTTAAGATAAACTCTAGGAGCCAAACCAATATAGTCTAAGTTTGCATCTCATGCCCAACTTAGCCTCTTCCTACTGCACTTTAAACTGTAGAAACAGCCTAGAAACTTTGGCTAGAACCAGGATATAACTGAAGGTGTCAAAAGAGCCAGCTTCCAATACTTCATTCCCATTTTTGTTCTTAACCTCCCTCCACTTCCCCTTCGTCTAGGGCATGCCAGAAAGATCACAGCCTCTCTTAGATGACTGCCCTTCTTACATCCTTGGAACAAGAGCCTACCAACAACAATTATGAAGCATTCACTTTATGTCAGGGAACACACCAAACAGGCACAGACAAGTACATTCTGGCTGCAGCCAGCGTGAGTTCAGTGCCTGTGAGCCTATAACTTCTCCCTGAATTTAAGGTTGACCTCCTGGCTCAACAGTAAAGAATTCACCTGAAATGCAGGATGATGCAGGAGAAGCGGGTTCAATCCCTGAGTCAGGAAGATCCCCTGGAGGAGGGCATGGCAACCCACTCCTGTATTCTTGCCTGGAAAATCCCATGGACAGAGGAGTCTGGCAGGCTATAGTCCATGAGGTTGCAAAAGAGTTGGACATGACTGATAGTTTCTACAGGACAGATCTATTGAGGAAGGTAATGAAGGGATGAAAGTGAAAGTGGCTCAGTCCTGTCTGACTCTTTGCAACCCCATGGTCTATACAGTCCATGGAATTCTCCAGACCAGAATACTGGAGTGGGTAGCCTTTCCCTTCTCCAGGGGATCTTCCCAACCCAGGGATCAAACCCAGGTCTCCCACATTGCAGGCGGATTCTTTACCAGCTGAGCCACAAGGGAAGAATACTGGAGTGGGTAGCCTATCCCTTCTCCAGGGGATCTTCCCAACTCAGGAATCGAACCAGGGTCTCCTGCATTGCAGGCAGATTCTTTACCAACTGTGCTATGAGGAAAGCCTTCAATGAAGGGAAGGAAGTTACAATTTTCCCTCTACTCATTTTAGGCTCATTGGCTAGTGCCCTATAAATTAGACTGACAACATACAGATTAATAAAAGAAAAACAATCAGAAGTTTATTAACATGTGAATCCATTGTGACTATAAATTGGAATCCTCAGTGATGAGTAACTCAAAGGGGTGGTTAGAATTTGGTCTTATACAAGCATCTGAGCAAAAGAACAACACATTTTTAGAGAAATAACAAGACAAAGGAAAAGACTGAATGTCTAGAGTGGCACATTGTGGAAAGGCAAATAGGTGGGAGAACTAGTGGAAGATGAGGCCTAGTTAGTAAAGTCTATGTAGATTCCTCTAGTACCATTTCCAGCTGTCTCCAATCTCTAGCTGATAACTATTCCCAGGAGAAAGGAAAATGGAGACACCTTTACAAATTTATGTCCTGCCTTTAGGCAAATAAGGGGAAGTATCTTCTTCTTTTCAGTTGTCTTTAGCACAAAGTAATCCTTATGCTAACATGGCAAATTTGGCAACAGCATATTCTGCTACCCTTCAGTGTCCTCCTGGCTGTGAATTTCCTAAAACTGAGAACAGCCTTGCCTTCCTCTGAATTCTGGTCTACTTGCTCCCTCTCATAGTAAATGATTCTACACCATAAAATCCTTGAGGGCAGCTTTTTTCATTTTTATTTTTCATTGCATTTCACATACTGCCTAACACAGCTGGATATATAGTTGGCTTTTAATAAACAATAACTGTTACTACTACTGTGGATATGATTAAAAAGTGGCACCTTTGATTATGTACTGTGTTGTATGCACTATGCTACTTTACACATGCATTCTGTCTTTACACATGCATTCTGTCTTTACACATGCATTCTGCCTTTACACGTGCCACTGCTTTCTTTATACATGGCCACTTTACACACATTCTTTCTAATTTCATTGCCATTTCTGGCTCAGAAAATAGGTAACTTATCAGAGTTCACATAGCCAATGAGTAAATGCAGTTTGATTTAATTCTTTCTACTTTATTCCTCTGCCAGATGAACAATTTTCTACACTATTAATATATATAATTTTCCACTCCTATGCAATCAAATATACATAAAAAGATAGTTCCCTGGAAGATTGAATATTTACCCTTTACAAATAATATTAGCAGCTTGGGATTGTTCAGACCAATTATTATGTTTATGGGTGTCTAGAACTTCATAAATAGTGAGGTTCACGTTAAATTTTGACCAGCCATTGTTGCTTAATTAGGTGCAACTTTGTACTGCACATCTTAGGTCTTGAGTTTCTTGGATCTGTGCTACCATGGGCAGAAAATTTCAAAGCTGAGCATTTCCTCTGTGGTGGCTTCCAGACTAACTTGTTAAACTCATATGTGATCCTTTGGTGATTACTCTAGACTTGCTGACTTTTTTGTAAACAATCTAAATGGATTATTCCACCATTTAATTGCCTTTACTTTTCCTTTCTCAACTGAGGTCTTGGTGTGATTATCATCGGCTTAGCCGTCACAGTGACTGGTATCACTGGTTTATCCACCTCTGCTATTGCTACAAATGGATATGTCAGAGGAGGTAATTAAACTTCTGACCTGCGTGATCATTTGTAAGGTAAAGGCAACACAGGCTCAAAGAGTTCACCACTGACATTTCTGAAGTGTTTTCAAAGGTAATCCAAGTTGGTTCCTTTTTCTCCCTTTTTTCCCCCTGCCAGGCAAGAAAGATGCAAGAAAAATGGAGAAGGATTTAACCTTTGTCAAAACTCCAGCTTTCTCATTCAGGTTCCTCGCAAGCACAAGAGAAGGTCAAATGTTATGTTTTCTCTTTTCACAGCCAGGGTAACTTCTCTCCCAGGACACCAGCATAAGTCAACTTTTTCTTTCCAGGGCCGCATTTTAGATTGTGTTTACTTTTGGAGACCATCCTTCATCATAATGAGCAGTTCTCTGATTTTATCTTTATACCAGGCAAACCAGTTTCTCTTTAGCACGAAGGAACTCCACTGGGGCCCAAAGGCTTGGATGTAAAAACTTAAATTCAAAGCAGTATAGTTTGCAGCAATAGGGAATCCAAGGAAGAAGAGTAAAATGTAATACTTCTGTCTTTCATTGCTAACAGGTCTTGGAGTTCTCATAATTCTTCTTTCCACCATGGTCACTTCTATTACTGGGTTGTCAACTTCTGCAATAGCAACTAACGGGTTTGTTCGTGGAGGTAAAATTTCTAAGATATCTAAATATTCTCAATGCTTGCTATGGGTAGGCAAAAACTTTTTATTATTCTTTACTTCTTTTTGGTGGAAACAAGAAAGTAGCTCGATGTTCTTGAAGTTGGACCCAGAAGAAAACATAAGGTACTGTCCATATAGCCCCTGTCTACTCCGGTCAGCTATGGTCTCTTTCTAACAGTCCTCTCTGGCACATTGCAGGTCATGGATTCCATATGCACAAATTCCTTGGGTAAATGCTTTACTTTTCAGGCTACTGCACAACACCAGCTGGCGTTTCTTGAAAACCGATTCCTCAACACAGCTTCAGTTTTAAAGTTTAGTACATTTCAGGTACCTTCTAGACCTTCCTATACCTGGATGCAATGGGATCTTTTAGAACATTTCAGGTTTCTCATGGGGAGACGGATCATTCCTTGACAAGGTTCAAATTGCTGCCTCCTGAAGTACTTACTGGTGACTTCTTGAAGTCCTGGAGCCAAACACCTTTCTTGGGGGATTTTTCAGGTCTTGGAGTCATCATCATCGGCCTGAGTGTGGTAGTGACAACACTTACAGGTATTTCTATGTCCGCTATTTGCACAAATGGAGTGGTAAGAGGAGGTAAGCCAATCCATGCACTTGTGACTACAAGCTTTGATTATGTAGTGATGTCTAGAGTTGGTTTAATGTTGGAAGTAAAATTTGTACGTTGATAATTAGTTCCCAAAGGATTCAAACAAAACAAAATGATCCAAAATTTAAATAGCAAGGCATGATTCTTTTTACCTAAAATTAAGAGATCTCCAGAAAAGATTTTTTGGGCCCACCTCCTGTGATTGATCATGTTTATAAAGCAGAGGATGATCAGCTGTCTAGAAAGAAAGCATGTGTTACAGTGAAATAAATGGTTTCTTTGTGCCTTGGATGAGCGCCGCTGGCTCTTCCCCAGGCCCTCTTAGAAGGGGTCTTCTTGAGCATCGCAGCTGACACTCCTGACACTTCTCATTCAGTAAGCCCTCAGAGTTCACCTCAACGCTATGCTACCAATGGCCAACAGGCTTCAGAAGATTCTCAAAAAGAAAATAAAACAAAGGGTTACTTTCAAATCATCCAGGAACATGTGGGCCTGGGCTGGAAATGAGTGAGTAAAGTTTGTCATTGTTCTTCAAACTTCCTTTCTTCCTCGACCAAGTCTAGTAATTGGCAGCTAATTTACTTAATGTAATCAGGACAATGGAAATAGTGAGGATTTGCCCAACCCAAATTAAAATTTACATTTATAGAGAAGGTGTTGCCCCTTCACCCAAAGGAGTTACTATGGAGGAAACAGTGAAGCTTTCAGTGAAAGATAGTTTTGGTTGTACTGTGTCTGTGTTCAGCGTCATTCTACCACTAGTTCAGTACAGGAAGTCATGAATTCACACGCTCTGTGATAACATCCAGTCACCTAGGCCTTTCAGCAACTACTTATTTTGCCTTCAGAACTCAGAACTTTCTCTCAGAACTCTCAAGGTGATTAGCCGTTATGATGAAGGATGGTCTCCAAAAGTAAACACAATCTAAAATGCGGCCCTGGAAAGAAAAAGTTGACTTATGCTGGTGTCCTGGGCTCAGTCTTTCTCATACCCAGAAGTACACAGCCATGTGTAGAACTTCCTTTTCAAAGTCAAGAGAGAAGCAATCATCCTAAGCTCTCTGCGTGTTACTTCCCACTTGCCACCCCAATTCACATATGGGTATTTGGGGATAACCATGCTTTCTTGAGCTAAAATCATCAAAACTAAGTCTGATGTATAAAGTGGATAATACATAGCACTATGTAGTTATCAATTTTAATGTAGTAAATATATATCAAAAATTATACCAGACATGAAGCTTGAATGACATTGATAAACTTTACCTACTTCATTTTCTGCCTGTGCTTGCCTGTTTCTGGAAATTTCAGATATGAAATTATTAATCTGAACTCTCCAATGAAGTTAGAGACAAATAATTTTATATTTTCAAAAGACAAAGAATTTGAAAGAAAAGTTTGCTATATTCCTATTTGTAGCATTTGTGTACTATACTTTTTGATAAATTAGATTTTATATAGTCAAGATAGTTTTATTGTAGATTATACACAGAATTCAAAGAAGGGCTAAGTTATTCATTAAGTTGACACAAGATTTCTAAAATTACTAGGATTTGCAATATTTTTATTAAAATAGAAAATTAGAATAGTTAGTATTTTAAATGTTCTCAGACAGTCAAAATTATTTGGTCATATAAACTAAATCCTTTAGCAGTTTGTCAGTATAAAACATGTTCATTTCTTGTTTCAGGTGGGGCCTACTATCTTATTTCCAGAAGCTTAGGGCCTGAGTTCGGTGGATCTATAGGCTTGATCTTTGCTTTTGCCAATGCAGTAGCTGTTGCTATGTATGTGGTGGGATTTGCTGAGACTGTGGTAGATCTTCTTAAGGTAATTAAAAGCTTTTGTTCTCTTTATCCAAGCAAGATAATTCGGTTTAATTTACTTTTCCAGGGCACTAGAGGATATCATTATGGAATGTGGAAGCTGAATATAGTTGGCATCAGAACTTCTTAGAGTCCTGGCTCTCATACTTACCAGCTGACAGATTTTGGACCAGTCCCTTTGTTCATCTGAACCTTGCTTTTCAAATCCATAATATGGGTTAATAATATTGTCCTATGTCTTTCATATAAATGTGGTACAGATCGAATGAAATAATGGACATGAAATACAGGGTAAAACATGAAAGAAAAGATAAATAATGAGCATTATTGTCAGCATCAATATTACTATTATGGTTACAGATGTCCAAAAGGAAAGAAAGTTCAAACATTAGCACTCACTGTAGGAAATGGCATTTTTTAGCATAGGTGCTCTGTCTGGATGGTATGTATGTGAGCACATTAATTAACTAGTAGGTGAGCTAGCTTCCAGTCCTCCTTCTGTGGAAGTGATAGCAGATACTGAATTCAATAGGTAATAGTACCTCTAGCTGAAAATCAGATTAATAAATGAGTGGATTATATAGTTCATAGTTTGTTCTTTAATTGAGTAGCACTTATTTTTTGATATCCACATTGGAGACCACTCATTTTCATCCCTCTAGGATTCCCCTTGACACACAGAAATAACCAGTTATTTCTCCATGTTTCAGGAGAACAACATGTGATAAGTGTACATACCCATAATTTTACTTAGTGCTACAATAGTTTCAAAAGCTGTGCCTAGAATGGATCTCTAAAAATTTTAACTCCTAACCTTGGCTATCAAAGGCTTATTATTACAAGAAAAAGTAATGCTAAAGGTTTTATCTTCTCAAATTTATGAGCATTTCATTTTTCTATTATCCCCAGACAGCAGGGCATAGTACCTCTTTTTACTGTTAAATGCTACAATAACACATACAGACAAAAAAAAAAAAAAAAACTTCTAACTATTTAGGGGGGATTTTTTGTTGTTGTTCCAGGAGAGTGATTCAATGATGGTGGATCCAACCAATGACATCCGGATCATAGGCTCCATCACAGTGGTGATTCTTTTAGGCATTTCAGTAGCTGGAATGGAATGGGAAGCAAAGGTTAGTTTCTCAAAATGATATTACCAACAACTGCTAGTCAGCTTCCTGAACAAATTGCAGGAATAGAAGGAACTCCATATTCAAAATGAATTGCTATTATTACTTTCTATGGTAAAAGGAGCCTGGTCAGTGCTCAGTGGAACAACAAGTCCTCAAAGCACCTAGTCCAGGCAGTAGTAAGTCATAGCTCATGTGATCAGGCCTATACTTTGTCCTTTATTCTATAGCCACAGTGACACAGCCAACAAGATTGCTGCCATCTTCACACACAGACCCCTTGTGGTCATAGCAATTGTACATACTGGAGGCCTGTGTCTTTTCCTCATTTCCCTGGTATCCCCTTCTTGGCTGACCATGAATGCTAATATCCACAAGATATGACAAGTGTGTTGGGAGATGATAATAGAGGCAGAAACTGTCATCCCCCTCTGAAATACCGTACTCCAGAAGCAAATCTAAGGGTACCAGAGGTCCTGGAACTAGAGAATATCTGGATTTAATGATTAGTATGTTGTCATTTAGCCGCTAAGTCATGTCTGACTCTTTGTGACCCCGTGGACTGTAGCCTGCCAGGCTCTTCTGTCCACGGGATTCTCGAGGCAAGAATACTGGAGTGGGTAGCCATTTCCTTCTCCAGGGGATCTGCCCAACCCAGGAATCAAACCCGTGTCTCTGCATTGGCAGGCAGATTCTTTACCATCTGAGCCAACAGGGAAGTCACTCAGTGATTGGCATACCAGTTAGTAAATTTCTGAATGGAGAGGAGAATATCTTTTGCTTGCTTTGTAACTCTCTTCAGTGACTAGTACAATCGAAACTCCTAGGTTCCTATGTGCTTGGAGGTGCAGTAACTAGATCTCAAGTGGTCACCAGAAATGGAAAGATAGCCAAAACCTCCCATTTTATATAAGGCAATAGGAAACATTCTTACATGGCATTTATTTGTGGGTTATGCATCCACACATTAAACAAAAACTGACGAAGTGCTTATCATGTGCTGGGTATTTTGCTAGGCACGGGATATTCAGTGTGACCCACACAGGCACAATCCTTGCCATAGCTGAGCATATGGTCTATGGGGAGATGAGTAATAAAAAAGTAAATATAGAATGGTAAATTGTGAAAGTGCTATAAAGGAAATAAACAGGGCACTGAGATAGAATATAGCAGGGGGAACATACGTTAGATTATTCCCTGAGGGAGGCAATGTAGTTTCATGACAGTAGAAGGTAGGATTTAGAGCTCCAGCTCTGTAGTTAGAGTGGATTTGAACCTGGTTTATGTCTATACGACCTCTGGGAAATTACTTAACCTCTCTATCCCTCAGTTTTTTTTATCCTTAAAATGATGATAGCAGTATTACCTACTTCATTCACCTGTGGGTGGTTATTATTTACCTGAAAGGACATTGGTAAAGCTAAAACTGCATCTGTTGTGCTGTAAGCCCTCACTAAACATTAGCTGTTACTGTTTAGATTCAGTGGGCAAGAAAGCCTCTGTGAAGACGTGGGTTGGCAAAATGTAGGGAGAAGTGCATTTCCAGCTGAGGGGAACAGCCAAGCCAGTAAACACCTTGAAATGTCAGAGGGACTAAAGAACAGATGATTTGGCTGGTCAGCCTTGGAGACAACTTGTGCTGAGCACACACGGGTATGATAGCTCGACCTCAAGTGCACTAGGCATCCTGGGAATTCTGTGCCTCATTCTGTTCTCATACCCCTGCAGTTAGTACCAGGAAGGGGAAGAATCCACAGGTGCTCTGCCGAGGAAAGGAGACAACTCTGTCAGTGTTACATCTTTTGGCTCCATTTACATTCCTAGGGACACTGCACTAAGTTACCCACTTGGTACTTAGAATGCTCCTGAAATATTACCTTCAAGTGCCCAAGCACATGCATGCACGCATGTTTAGTCACTGTTGTGTCTGACTCTTTGCGACCCCATGGACTATAACCCACCAGACTCCTCTGTCCATGGGATTTTCCAGTTAAGAATACTGGAGTGGGTTGCCATTTCCTCCTGCAGGGGATCTTCCCAACCCAAGGACTGAACCCACATCTCTTATGTTTCCTTCATTGGCAGGCGGATTCTTTACCGCTGCACTACCTCAGAAGTCATGCACTCATTGAAAGTGGAACATCTATTCTCAGGCCAAATAAGGCTTATTTTTTTTTTTATGCAAAAGTGTTTTAGTTATTTTATTTTTATTTTTATTTTTTTTTATTTTTTATTTTTTTATTTTATTTTATTTTTTTTTCCATTTATTTTTATTAGTTGGAGGCTAACCACTTTACAACATTGCAGTGGCTTTTGTCATACATTGAAATGAATTAGCCATGGATTTACATGTATTCCCCATCCCGGTCCCCGCTCCCACCTCTCTCTCCACCCCATCCTTCTGGGTCTTCCCAGTGCACCAGGCCCGAGCACTTGTCTCATGCATCCAACCTGGGCTGGTGATCTGTTTCACCCTAGATATACATGTTTCGATGCTGTTCTCTTGAAACATCCCACCCTTGCCTTCTCCCACAGAGTCCACAAGTCTGTTCTATACATCTGAGTCTCTTTTTCTGTTTTGCATATAGGGTTATCGTTACCATCTTTCTAAATTCCATATATATGTGTTAGTATGCTGTAATGTTCTTTATCTTTCTGGCTTACTTCACTCTGTATAATGGGCTCCAGTTTCACCCATCTCATTAGAACTGATTCAAATGAATTCTTTTTAATGGCTGAGTAATATTCCATGGTGTATATGTACCACAGCTTCCTCATCCATTCGTCTGCTGATGGGCATCTAGGTTGCTTCCATGTCCTGGCTATTATAAACAGTGCTGCGATGAACATTGGGGTGCACGTGTCTCTTTCAAATAAGGCTTATTAAGATGCCATTTTACAAGAACACCCTTATTACCTACACTGGGTAGTAGAATCTTAACTGGAATTATTAGATAGGGCTCTTATTCAGTGGGCATTTACAACGTTTATAACTATGTAAAAAGGTCATTGAATAAAACTAATTTGACCTCTTGTTACTTTGTCATTCCAGGCTCAAGTGATTCTTCTGATCATTCTTCTCATTGCTATTGCAAACTTCTTCATTGGAACTGTCATTCCATCCAACAATGAGAAGAGGGCCAGAGGTTTCTTTAATTATCAAGGTATGTGTGTCAAATAGCTTGCCTTGCAATAAAAGCTTCTTCTTTGCCCACCCCCATCACCATCCCCATGACCCCTTCCCTGGCCACTGGAGTTTCAGGGAATAGTCTCAGGTTTGAGTCAGGAGAGCCAGAGTGAGTCTCAACCTTGCTGTTTGCCAGCTAGACAGATCACCTAACACTATTGGGTCTCAGATTTTCCTACCAAGGTGGGAATGATAATAGCAACTTCCTAAAGCAATGTTGAAAAGCAAGTAAGATAGCGGATGTTAAAGTGCTTTGAAAACCTTAAAGTGCTGGAGCCTAAAAGATAAACCTCTCCTTAAGCAACAAAATATAAAGAAACTATATATTTTTGGACTAAAAATAACTGTGTACATGCACAGTTGCACAAAATTATAGACAAAAGATACAAAGAGACCAAAAAAATCCATTTGCCACTTTTGAAAAGTCTAGAGCAAAAGTAGGGGATTAAACGCAAAAGCAGGGTACTGCACATGCCCCCTGCACACAATATTACCTCAGGGGTGGGCAGAACACCTAAGCCCAGCCCTCTGGCCCAACCACTGGACACACTCCCTACCCTCACCCCATATAATGTACAAGCTTACCCCTGCTCAGGAAGCCAGGGAACAAGGGAACCTGTTATTTGTTCTGGCTCCCCTCTGCTGCAGCAGGGGCCCCAGTAAAGCCTTGTCTGAACAGTAGGGGTGTCTGTGCAAAAAAGGGAACTTAGCTCAGACAATGTGCCCAACCACTGGGAGCACCAAAGTCAAACACAGACATTTTTTCACCCTTCTAGTCGTTTTTGTACCTTGCTTTCTTATGACATTATCTAGTTGAGCATCACTGTCAGGTTTTCAAACAGAAAAGATTGTAGGAACTATTAACATAGCAGCTGTGATCAAGGCATAAACATTGATTTCTCTCTTCTATTCTACTCCACCTATCCCCTCTTTCCTAGCTTTCCACCTTAGCATACTTAAGAATCCACGGCTGAGATTTTTTATATTTCCCTTCAATATTTACCTGGTTATCACTATTTGTTCCCTTTTTATATCACATCACTTCTTTCTTCCTGATTCTTTTTCTTTGTAAAGATTGTCTTTGCTTGATTTGCAAATCCTTTCCCTTTTGCTTCTTTTCCCTTTTTCCAGCTCCTGCTATAAATTTTTTGATGTTTTCAATTTTTTCTCCTTATTTTTGCATTTCCCTAGATTCTTTTGTTCACATTTTTATTCCTTCCTTTTCTTTCTTTGTTTTCCCTTCTGTTTTTCTTTTTTTTAGATTATTTCCATTTCATTTAAATAATTTGGTGACAACTTGTGGTATATTTTTATATTATGACCAAAGCTCCTCACTATATATGAGAATTCTTATAAATGAGGATTTGGTATAAGGATCTAAGATGCAGTTTCTAATGACAAATGCCAGGGAGGTTAGAACATTAGTTTCAAAACTATAAGACAGCTTCATCCACAAGGTTCTACAATTTAAAAAATAAAGGGTGTAGTAAAGCAATATGCTGATTAAGGTATATATACATGTGAGAATGTAGTTGTATGTGTGTAGGGCAATATGATGTGGTATATTTGTGAGTATGCCAGTTCAATCATGAGAGAATTTTCTGTTTCCTTCTCTCTTAGTCTTCTAGATTCAAAGAAATCAGACAGCATGGGTCTCCATTTTCATGAAAATTATTGACTTTTCAGAGTATATTCTAGAGATTTAAAACCTTGTGACATGTATTTTGATACTTGGCAAATATTAACATGAGGTTCATCAAGATTGTACCAATATCTTCAAGCTCATTCCACTTAGATTATAGGAACACATTTGCATTTAGGGCTACAGAAGCCAAAGGTAACTTTATCTTCTAGCAGTCTAGAAGATAAGTCTACATGATAATTTTCTCATTATTTGTGTTACAGCATCAATATTTGCAGAAAATTTTGGGCCAAGCTTCACAAAAGGAGAAGGCTTCTTCTCTGTCTTTGCCATTTTTTTCCCAGCAGCAACTGGGATCCTTGCTGGTGCCAATATCTCAGGAGATTTGGAGGTATGTTATTTCCTCTTCTTTGTAATTCTAAGAAACAGTGGTGCGGTTGGGCAGGACAGGAAGCTACAGACATCAACAGTGACCATGTTTTTCTATAGGTTTCAAAGCTGTAAGATTTCTTCAAGGTTTCCTAGTTATTTAAAAAGTTCTCTCTCTTAATGACAAATTTTACTGCCAAATTATCCTATTCCTGATAGTTCTTCCAAAAGTCTTATTCAATAAGCTGAGCCACTGGGGAGGCCCCCTCTGGGGACTTCACCAAGTTGCAAAGAAGACTGGGAAATGTAATCTCTAGTTGGACAGCCATGTGCCCAGATAAAATTTTAAGGAATTCTAGTATTATTTTAGAGAGTTATAATTTTAAAAGGTGGGCTTCCCTGGTGGCTCAGTGGTAAAGAATCCACCTGCAATGCAGGAGACACAGGTTTGATCCCTGGGTCGGGAAGATCCCTTGGAGAAGGAAATGGCAACCCACTCCAGTATTCTTGCCTAGAGAATCCCATGGACAGAGGAGCCTGGCAGGCTATAGTTCATAGAATCACAAAAGAGTCAGACACAATTTAGTGACTCAACAACAACAGCAACAGTATTAAAATGAGGAAGGTGAGAATGGATATTAAAGGACAATAAATAATCTCTACCAAACATGAAAAAAGTAGAAAACACAGGTTTTACCTCAACAAATTTATAACCAACTTTGGAAGCCTAGAAATATTTGCAAGTTATTAGGGGAGATATATGTGTGTGTGTGTATATTCAGACTGAATGCATTGTCCAAGTGGATTATGAAATAAAAATAAAGAAGAAATAATTACATTAGGGACAATTTTTGCAACAAAGAAACTTTTGAGCAGATAGTAAAAGCAAAAGTTGGTTACTGACAACAGTCAGGAAATGTAAGGGTATTCCAGGCAGAGAAGAGAAAACGACAGACAGGCAAGGAAAATCGTGGGAACAGGATGGAGTCTCTCATGATTCAAGCGGAGAAGCCCTGATAGGCTGAGTACCCTTACAAGGTAAGGAGAAAGGCTGTTGAAGGGGCCTGAGTGAGAGATGTTTGCCCTATAACTCTATAAAAGTGCTTTTGGTTTTGTTCATTGCTGTGTCCTTGGAACTAGCAAAGCTTCAATAAATATTTATTGAGTCAATGAACAAAGGCATTCACATTTGTTATGCTAAGGACTACAATGCCATGGTAAATTCTTCAACAGAGATGGGACATAAAAAATGAGTATGCTAAGGCTCAGAAAAATTAAGTAACTTGTTCATAATGAAGTAAGTAAGTAGTGCTGCTTAACAAAATTTAACTCTGGATGTTGAACTTCTGGTTTCTCAGATTTGGAAAAGTATCAGAGGTCATAGGTTTAAATTTCGGTAAACTGTAAGAACACATTCAAAGAATATTGTGCTTTCTTTCGACTAAGTTTTTATTTATTATCAGTTGATTAGTAGTCAGTTCAACTCAGCCAACACTTGTTACTTATACCAGGCATCAAAGAAGTGAAGAAGAGCTTGCTTGATCCTTCTCAAGCACGTAGTTTGGACAAGACCATGGCAGGGAAAATGGATCAAACAGGTCAGCTTTTGTTAGAGTTAGGAAACGAACTGGAAAGGATGCTTTTTCTTTTTTTTATGATCTACTGTAAGGAAACACTATATATCACAACCAAGTGCCTAAAAATTTCTCCTAAACAGTTCAATACTATTATTACAAATGATGTCCTCTGATGTTTTCACATCAGTTCTGTTCTAATATATTGTTTTCATGCTGGTTGCAACCTACTGAATTGATTCCATGTTGAAGCTCAGATTTAGCCATTGGGGTTAAAATGGCAGGACATCAGAGGGGAGATGTCTAGTGGGTAACTACATTAACCTGTAATTAAAAATAAATTTAAGAAAATAAAGAGAAAGAGCTAAGGGACTGGGGAACCCAAGAGACAGAAAATCAAGAGATGATGATGCTTTGAGATGTAATAATTAACATGATCAGAAGCCAGAGGGGTCAAGCATGTTAAGGACTAAAAGATGACCACATGTTGGGATATGGCAACCAGAGTTCTGGACTTATAGGTAATAATTGTTTCTGAGAGTGAAACTAGAGCATAATAAATTCAGTTCAACTTAGTAAATGCGTTATTTATACATTATGGGGATATGCAAGACACTACCTCTGCTTACAACCTCAGAATCCTTCTCAAGACTCTGAGGCTCTTCAGGCTGACAGTGACAGCTAACAAGAACTGGCACAAGGGGATGCTATACACGTTTCCCATCCTGAACCTTCTACTTGTTAACACACTATTAATGGTCTGTAAATATGTGTGTGGGAGAAGATTTTCAAGGTACACAGATCTAATCAGGAGAGTTAAGATGCAGTTTCAGAGATTAAAGATTAGGATATGGCTGACACGCAACCAGCAGCAACCTAGTAAGACTGCTTGTACTGTGTCCCAAGGGAAAAAAAAATATGATATTTAATGTAAAAAGGTGAAGGAAGGTGAGATTTTGTGCTACTGCTTGAGGAATGGAAATAAACATTTGGAGTGGAAACTAAGAATCTAAGTCCTGTCCTGACTAGAGGAAAAGTAGCCAGAACAGGCAGTGTGAGTATGTGATCAGACATTAAGATTTTGGCATCCCGACTTATATCACATCAAGTTTGACACTCAAGTAACTCCTAAATGAGGAAAATTTGAGCTTGTAGCAGATCTACAGATATAGGGAAATTATCTTATGTGTAGAGTGGGGTGCGTGGTTCCTAATTCACTTCAGTCGTGTCTGACTCTGTGACCCTATGGACCGTAGCCCACCAGCTTCTCTATTCATGGGATTCTCCAGGCAAGGATGCTGGAGTGGGTTGCCATGCTCACCTCCAGGGGATCTTTGTGTTTTAGGTATAACACTTCTGTTCATCTTCATACCTCTTTTCCTCATATATATATATCTCCTTTCTTCCCACTTTTATCAGTTCTTCAATTTTCACTGAGAGCTCAAGAAATCCTTCATCCATAAAAGAAAATTTGAAACATACTACGAATGGATATTGAGTGGGGTTCATTTCAGCCATGGTTGCCCTCATTTTCCCTCTATGTGGTACTCACTGCACACATTCTCTTTTGGAGACAGTAGCTTGAAATGAAGAAGTTGTATCTATCAGACAAATCCTGTGTGCAGATATTCCTGCCAGAGTGGGAAGAAATGAATGATTACAGAATGGCTCCATAGGGCTGGCTTACTTCCCTGTGGGGACAGATTTACTTAGTTTAATTAACATTTCCAGCTGTCAGGTTGAGTCTGCATTCATCATGAGTTGATTTTTCTGATGGATATGATCAGCAGATTTCAGTTAATGAAACACAGAACTCAAACTTTGACTGCATTGATTGCTCACTTGTATTGATGAATCTTATGTCCTCTGGAGGGGGAACTGATACCTACTGGGACGGTGCTTTCCGCAGTTCAGTATTTACTGACTCCTACTCTATGCCAGCACTGTCTTATAGGTAATGAATACATTGAAATCTCTACTTAATAATCCCTGTTAAGTTGAATTCTATTATAGAGAAGTCATGCTGCTTGGAAATTGATTATGATATGATTCAACCCCCAAAATAGGATATAAAATGGTATATTATATATATGACGTGAGCTCAGCTCAGTGAATTTATATACATTTATGGGCAAGAGAGAAGCCCATTTTCTGGTATAAGCTAAAATTTGCCTCTTTCTATATGCCTGCCTATGGAAATTAAATATCTCTCATTGCAGTTATTCCTGAACTAGATTCCAAATGAGGAATTTGAGGGATTGGAGAATGTAGCAGATCATCCTTTTTGCTCAGTCAAAAGTGATTTTTTAAAAGCAAGTCTAATTCAGTTCAGTCATTCAGTCATGTCTGACTCTTTGTGACCCCATGAATCGCAGCACGCCAGGCCTCCCCATCCATCACCAACTCCTGGAGTTTACTCAAACTCATGTCCATCGAGTAGGTGAGGCCATCCAGCCATCTCATCCTCTGTCATCCCCTTCTTCTCCTGCCCCCAATCCCTCCCAGCATCAGGGTCTTTTCCAATGAGTCAAATCTTCACATGAGGTGGCCAAAGTACTGGAGTTTCAGCTTCAGCATCAGTCCTTCCAGTGAACACCCAGGACTGATCTCCTTTAGGATGGACTGGTTGGATCTCCTTGCAGTCCAAGGGACTCTCAAGAGTGCTCTCCAACACCAAGCTCAAAAGCATCAATTTTTCGGCACTCAGCTTTCTTCACAGTCCAACTCTCACATCCATACATGACCACTGGAAAAACCATAGCCTTGACTAGACGAACCTTTGTTGGCAAAGTAATGTCTCTGCTTTTTAATATGCTATCTAGGTTAGTCATCACTTTTCTTCCAAGGAGTAAGTGTCTTTTAATTTCATGGCTGCAGTCACCATCTGCAGTGATTTTGGAGCCCCAAAAAAATAGTCTGACACTGTTTCCACTGTTTCCCCATCTATTTACCATGAAGTGATGGGACCAGACGCCATGATCTTAGTTTTCTGAGCTTAGTACAAAACAAATACACACAGAGATATACAGCCAATGTACCAGATATGTTACATTGTTATGTTACATTGATCTGTTCCCCTTCCCCCCTCAGAACTCTATGGTCTGATACATCTGCATGAAATTCACAGGAGATAAAGGGGAGGAATAGGAAGAGGTATTAGTGAGTAAACTAACTAGCCTACTTTTCTGTAAAAATTCTCTCCTGGTCAGTTACAGATCTCTTCTGTTCAGCACAAAGTTCAACAGATTTCTTTATTCACTCTAAATACCTTGTCTTTGTCCAAAAAGAACTGGAGCTCAGCACTTTGCCGTTTGTTTTTTTTCTCTTTAGAACTTGCCCCAGGAAGGGTAGCCTAAAATTTTGAAAATACAGAACTAACTCAAGTGATATCTGTTTCTTATTCCACTCTATCTCCTTGTTCCTCTACATTATTTTTTCAAAGGATCCCCAAGATGCCATCCCCAAAGGAACCATGCTGGCCATCTTCATCACCACTGTCGCCTACATAGGAGTCGCCATTTGCGTGGGTAAGTCATGTGTCTCTGGTGTCAGAATGCCAGAATTACAAGGGATCCAGTTGCTTTTCATGTCAAGTTTTATGTTTCATGGCTTTCCATGAAACATAAGTTGAAAATTTTTTAATAGACAACAATTTTAATTCCCTTGTTGGGTGCTCTAGGAGTTTGAATGCAATTAAGGTGTAACCACAGGTGTCTCTGGTACTTCCCTGGTGGTTCAGACGGTAAAGCGTCTGCCTACAATGCGGGAGACCTGGGTTCAATCCCTGGTCAGGAAGATCTCCTGGAGAAGGCAATGGCAACCCACTCCAGTATTCTTGCCTGGAAAATCCCATGGATAGAGGAGCCTGGTAGGCTACAGTCCATGGGGTCGCACAGAGTCGGACACGACTGAGCGACTTCACTTTCACTTTCATTCTGCTGCTGCTGCTCCTAAGTCGCTTCGGTTGTGTCCAACTCTGTGCGACCCTACAGACAGCAGCCCACCAGGCTCTCCCGTCCCTGGGATTCTCCAGGCAAGAATACTGGAATGGGCTGCCATTTCCTTCTCCAATGTGTGAAAGTGAAGTTGCTTAGTCGTGTCCAACCCTTTGTGACCCCATGGACTGCAGCCTACCAGGCTCCTCCGCGCGTGGGATTTTCCAGGCAAGAGTACTGGAGTGGGTTGCCATTGCCTTCTCCACACTTTCATTCTACCTGAACACAAAAATGGATTTTTTGCTGCTGCAGGTGATAATTCCATGGCCAGGGAAGCCACCACTTCTAGCAACCACCTCCCCTGCCTTTAGGAGGCAGGTGAGGGACAGAATAAGAGTCCAAAATAGAACAAAACAAATAAAAACAAAAACAACAATGACATAATACTTAGGAAAGTATGAAAGATATAGAATGAATGACTGTGACTCCTCCTTGCACTGCTGTCCCTAATGTGGAAATGTCACCGTCACCAACTGGCAGGCAATCAGAATAAGACCCAGCTGCCAGCAGTGTGGGCGGCCAGCCCCAGCATTGCTCAGTGAGCAGAAAATATGCGAATTTGCCTGCTGTTCTTAAACTGACTTTTGTTCCACCTCCTGCCTGCAGCCACACCTCCTCCTGGTTGGGAGTCACCTCCAGCTTATGCCATTATTGGAGAGGAAGGAATGTGAAACATTCAGAGAAGAAAATTTTCCTGTGCACACTTACGAATACAGCCCCAGGCTGGGCCACTATGGAATCCCATCTGGCCATTTAAAAGGGGACATTCTGGTTGTCCTCTGCTTACTATAAAGGAAATTGAGATAGTACATATGTTCTGAGTTGGATTCTTTGGGGGAAGAAAAGCAAAACAATTAACTTAGATTCTTTCTTCTCTCACTGCCTCTTATTTCCAGAAATTGGATAATGTCGTTAACTCTACTGTGACATTGCCAAGTTTCATTACAAATAAAGAGATATTATTCCAATGTTTTAGAAAATCAATACTTTTTAAATGACATTGAAATTACCTAAATTTCACAAATGGTTTTTCTTTCTCCTACAAAGTAAAAAGGAAGGGATGAATAAAGGTAAAGTCCTGATTTCAGAGATTCTTCTCGTTTATTGGTTCTGATGGGTAGAAAAACCTGTGTTTCCATATTTTTCTCAGGATGAGGAAAGGATATTCATGGGGTCCCTGGCCTGTCATTAGTGCAAATAATAGCTCATGGCTTGGCTTCATGGGAATTTGGGAAGTTTGATTATGCAGAAGTGAAACCACAAGATTTTTAAAAGTCAGCTCAGCATAAATGAACAGTGCAAAAAGGTAAAATCTGGACTGGATAGTTCTGCTTAGTATCCAACCAACACTCACAATTTCAAGCTTCTAAGTAGAGGTTGGTAGGCCACTTCTCAGGGCTATATAGAAAGGGTTCCTGCACTGATCATGTTAAATGACTCTTTCAACTAAAGGATTCAGTAAGTTTTAAGTCCTTCCTAGATTCAGAGTATGAATTCCATGGCTATAATTGAGAGTTCCCATTAATATCTATTACTGGAACGTCTCTTAAAATAATTAACAAGGAATGAGAACTCACCTGGCTGGAGACTGAAAAGCAAAATGAACAGTTTCATTGACTGGCATTTAGTTTGTAAAGTATTTATCCTTCAAGTAGTTCAGAAAAGTTTATATATATATATATATATATATATATATTTCACAGCTATATTCATATCTCTCAATAATCCTATCAAATACATAATGGCAGAGATTACAGTAAGAAAAATTCATAAGAAAAATCAGTAATTAAACTATATATGTCAAGAATCTTTAAAACGTACATAATTCCATTTTGAGGAATCTATCCTAAAGAAATACTTCGAATTACAGAAGAAAAATTGTATGCACAAAGATATTCATAGGATGTTTGTAACACAAAATGACAGAAATTAACTCAAAGGTACAAAAATAATAAACTGAGATAAATACTTGGTATAGCAGTATTTGACCATGAATAGTACCTGGGAAGGGCTTCCCATGTGGCTCTAGTGGTAAAGAATCCACCTGCCAATGCAGGAGAGATAAGAGCAGATTGGATCCCTAGGTCAGGAAGATCCCCTGAAGGAAGATATGGCAACCCACTCCAGTATTCTTGCCTGGAGAATCCCATGGACAGAGGAGCCTGGCCAGCTATAGTCCATGGGGTTGCACAGAGTCAGACATGACTGAAGGGACTTAGCATGCATGCATGCATTACCTAGGAAATCTCAACATTTTATCCCCAAATATTTTCTGTAACATTTAAACCATTGAAATTTTGTAAAAAGTACAATTATAATAGTTTAAGAAATTACACAAAGAATACTATTAGCTGAAAATAAGAGCTCAGTTCTCTTAATTACTAGTATTCAATAATGTCATCCCTTGTTTCTCTCACAGATGAGGAAATAAATCCTTCTATCTGAAAAGCTCCCAATCAGTAGCATTAACCTGGAAGTCTGAATTGAATAAATATTACGTGCAAAGAACTGCTATGTGCACTTCAAAAAGGAAAGAAACTTCAATCCCAAGCGTCTTACAGAGGCAGGCAGAAAGCTAGGAGTTCAACCACCCAAGGATACCTTAGAGATAGGGGCTGCTCCCAGGCCTCAGAAGATGGGAACTTTCAGGTATCACATCAGAGGAAATATTGACCATGAAGACAGGATAGGTCAAAGTAAACTAAGTGTGTTTTCAGAAGAAAAACATGTGTGCATGCTCAGTCGTGTCTGACCCTTTGTGACCCTATGGACTGTTAGCCCACCAGGCTTCTCTGGCCATGGAATTTTCCAGGCAACAATACTGGAGTGGGTTGCCATTTCCTCCTCTAGAGGATCTTCCCAACCCAGGGTTGAACCCACATCTCCTGAGACTCCTGCATTGCAGGAAGATTCTTTACCGCATGAGTCATTGGGGGATATCCGAACCCTTCAAGTAAAGAAGTGACAAATCTTGTTATTTTCCCAGGGGCTTGTGTGGTCCGAGATGCCACTGGGAGTGTGAATGACACCATCGTTTCTGGGATGAACTGCAACGGTTCAGCAGCCTGTGGGTTAGGCTATGACTTCTCAAGATGTCAACATGAACCGTGTCAGTATGGGCTGATGAACAACTTCCAGGTTTGAACTTCAAAAATTAATAATGTGTACTGCTATTGCTTCCATTTTTTAGAACATCATGTGTAATGAAACTTCTGACTCTCTAACAGATTGGTTATTGACTGATTCGAATTCAGCAAGGAATAATTTGTGTGGGAGGAAAGGGAGTCCTGTAGGCATTCATTATGTGGTTACACTCACTGCGGTGGTCAGAGAACAGGCAGCTGTATGAATTGCATCACCAGGGAAAGATGACCACCCGCCACTATGCATCTTCTAATCAATCGTGTAAGGTTTCCTGGTGGGCAGATGGAGAGACTTCGATTAGTTAGCACTTGGAATGCATTTCGTGCCTGGGCTTCACTCAGGAAAAGCCTCTGTGATGGACCTGGAGTGTGTGGAGGACAAGGCCAAGAGGGGAACTGTGAGTGGCAGAAGGAGGAGGAGAGTGAGCGGGGGAAGGAACCAGGGAAGTCGGGGAGACTGTGGAACTTAAAACATATTAATTTGCCTGAATGATTGGTGAGCAGAAGGAGAAACAAATTTGTTGTGAAGGCTTCATTCATCTATTTTAGCAACCAACAAAGAAAAATTAACTCAGCCGAAGTCATTATTACAAATATGACTTAAATTGATAGAATCTCATCATGTCTCAGACCTAAAATTATGTTTAATGAGCACAGGAAAAGCAAAGATTTTAAAAGCTTCTATGTGCAGGAAGAAAAAGAAAGGCTAATGCCTTTTAAAAAGATTGGTAAACAGCTGAGTCCCTCTCTAGACTTTATTAAAATACCACTTTTCTGCTGGATAGAGTTTCCCATTGACCAAGAAACAGATGCCCAGGAAGGACAGAGGGGAAAAATATCAAAATCCTTGAAATCATTTCCTTGTTTATTCTTTCCAGTATCTTCTGGACATATTGTGGTGAGCATTTGTTCCTTTTATCCAAAAACAGCAACAACAAAGGCATTTCCATTTTGAAAAAACAACTATTAAGAACTCAGAATGAAGCAGGGGGAAAAACATCTGATTAGAAGCAATTAGCTTACAAAAGAGATTCCAAACCCCAGAAAGTGGAAAGGGAAGCATTTGCATTAAAATTTGGCTTAAATTTTTGTTTTCACTCTGTTGGATGAGTCAGTCTCCTTACCTGAACCTCTCTCCTCAAGGTCATGAGCATGGTGTCAGGGTTTGGCCCCCTCATCACTGCTGGGATCTTTTCTGCAACGCTCTCCTCGGCCCTGGCCTCCCTCGTCAGCGCGCCCAAAGTGTTCCAGGTGACATAGGCATAAGAGCACGTGCTTCTCCCTCCCCCTGAGATATCCACTCTCACTGGTGATCATTTTCCATCACTTTCTGAAACAGTTTAATGTTTGCATCTGGCTCCAATGCTATGTCTGCCACATAGTCGAGATCTATTCAAATATAAAGAATGATAAACTGCAGTGTCAACTTGTGCTTCATATTGTGTATCACTTCGTCTCTTCCCCAAATCTTCTTGTTTGAATAGCCCAGGGAAAATGACTGTGCATGGATATAAATGATTAATTTCTCCTCTTTTCCACTAGGCTCTGTGCAAGGACAATATCTACAAAGCTCTGAAGTTCTTTGCAAAGGGGTATGGGAAGAACAATGAGCCCCTGCGAGGATACTTTCTCACTTTTGTTATAGCCATGGCGTTCATTCTTATTGGTTTGTAGTTTTCTTGTTCTTACTGAAAGCCAACAAGTTCTTCCGATTACTCACAGGGTTTCCTGTGACCCTGAGAAATTATCTGTTTTATGTCTAATACTGCATTTGGGAATATTGCAATCTAAGAAGGAAATGAGAAATCCTTGTGTATGGAGGGCCTTGGAGGACTTGAGGTAGGCTTCGTACTTTAATCTCTTCTTTGAATCTGAATGCTGAAAATCCATCCAACCAAATGCAACTGACTCCTTCCTCTGACCTGCCTGATACTGTCTAATCCCACATTGCCTCCAGCTGCCACCTGTCCTTACATCTCCTGGCCACCAGCAAGAGAGCTGAAATGTCTATTCTCAAAATTGGTCTATTGACCACAGAATGTGGTCACCTGTGGATCTGGAAAATTGTGGATTGGTCACACCCAATCCCACAGCTAGAATCTCTGATGATAAAGAACCTGAATTTTTACAAGCTCCCGAAATTCATAGACCGCTAACGTTTGAGAACCACTTACCTCGGCTCTTTCTCCCTAAGCAATATAGAAACAGCTACATAATCTCAGAGAGGCACAACGCCTCAAAGTTAGCCTGCACATTCCTCACTCCTCCTTAAGGTACCACCATTGCAGGTGAGCAGAAGGCAAGGATGATAGTAACTATGCACAGATAGGCAGTCAGATTCAGCAGTAGTGCCAGACAACGAGGGCTTCTCCTCACCCCATAAACTCAGGAAGTGACCATAATTCATGCATCCTCATAAGATTTTCACAAGGTTGAAGAGGGGAACACATGACTCTCCATGTCTACACACAATCACTTTTTGGTTAATTTTTTTGTAAATCTATGTTTGTTAGATCTTTTTAATTAAATTAAAAAGTAATTATGTGTATATATGTTTGAATTATAATTTAAACTTTAAGACTTCAGTTATTGTCCTAGACTTCAGTTAAGTGATCAAATAGCCCGAAAGTTTAAAAATTGTATACATTAAATAATAGTCTTAAAAGTCACTCTTTCAGAACCCAGTAGATTAGCTTCATGGTGCCAGCTTTGTGGCAGCTATTTTTGCCTACTTTCTTGCTGGCATTCATGTCCTATAGCCACACCCAGCTTCCACCTGCATCTTCTTCACTGAAGGTGATAGCTGTCTGATCTTCAGATAAATGAGAACATCTCTAAATTATTTTTTATATCATACAGTAAACATCCCAGCGAGGATTTAACCATACTGGATATTTACCTACTGAGGTCAAACTTTTTTTCGGCAAACCTTCAGAGGTAAAACTCTCTAGAGATGTAGAAAAGTAGGAATGACTAACAAAAGTTCTGAAAGTCAGAGACAGCAAGCTGGGTATATGCAGAGATATATCGCGTTAGATGGTTCTGACGCACAGGTATTTAACTAACCTGTCACCCTGTAGAACATTTTGATTCTATGCATGCTCAGTCACTAAGCTGTGTCCGACTCTTTTCAGCCCCATGGACTGTAGCTCACCAAGCTCCTCTGTTCATGGGATTTCCCAGGCAAGAATACCAGTGTGGGTTGCCATTTCCTTCTCCAATGGATCTTCCTGACCCAGGGATCAAACCCACATCTCCTGCATTGGCAGGTGGATTCTTTAACACTAAAGCACTTAGGAAACCCTTTGATGGTACACAAAGCAGAGAAAGAGTCCTGGACTTGGTACTTCTGCAATAGCTACAGGGAATTTTGTCATCTGTCCGGTTTCCAAACTTTCTATCCACTTCCACTTGAATCTTCTGTGGGTAAAGATCTTGATTGTCTATTTTATTGGTGAGTTTTCTTTTTTCTTACTTTATGGAAACTTTGGCTGAAAATACATTTCAAATGAGCGCAGACCAAAGAAAAGTCGCAAACTTCTTAAACTTTGACAGATGCTAGCTATGGTTTCAATTTCCAAATAAAGTCAAGCTTCCAGACTGTAACCGCTGTTCAGCCCCTGGTCTCATCACTCATATGTACATACTCAATTCTGCTTCCTTCACAGCGGAACTCAACACCATCGCTCCCATCATCTCCAACTTTTTCCTGGCCTCATATGCACTTATTAATTTCTCCTGCTTTCATGCCTCTTATGCCAAATCTCCAGGTAAGCTGACATTTCAAAACTAAAATAAACCTAAGCAAACAACTTCGTTCGTCTCAACAAGATGAAATAAGTCAGTGAAAAGCGCTGAATCTGTGTTTACATGTTTCCTTATATCCTAGTGGGCAGTGTAATTCACTTTCTTTTGGTAAGTTGGGGGGTGACTTCTGAAATAGAAAAGGAATCATTTGAGCAATGGCCTTTTTGACCAACCATAAAGTCAATTTTCTCCTGTGGCAATAAATTATTCATTGCAAGAGAAACCACATTTATTGCAGCAGTAGAAAAACACCACTGTTTATTTCCAGGGTGAAAGTGACCACAGAAGTGGAATGAATGTATATATTTGAAACTTTCTTACTGTCAGTTTGCTTTCTGCCCATGGTGCAGAAGAGAAGGATGAGTAGTTCCCATAATTATCTGCTGAGTGCAGTCAGTGCAGATTCACACTGAAGCTGTGACACCCCTGCACTCCTCAGACTGTTGTTTAAAGTGGTGCGAAATTTCACACCAAAGAACCTCCCCCATCTTTGTCACCTCTCACCTCTTCTTTGCTTCCACTGGCCATTAGAATTTCTTCGCCTTTCCATCAGAAGAGAGTAATTCTTCACTACAAGGACTTTTGTTAAGGATATAAACACATCTTCACTTTTTAGGGTCTTCCAGGAACTCAAACGTCCTTTGGAAAACCTCCTGCCAAAATACAGATGGAAGGGGAGCCTTCATCTACTCAAGGCCACTAGGCTCCAGAAGATTACAGAATTTTTGTTTCTGTTTTGTTTCCTTGTTTTAAGCCGAGAACAGGAGGTTCTAGTCAGTGAAGATGACAGATCATAGAAATGTGTGCTTCCATGCCATGTTATGTTCCTTTTTTTAAAACCACAGTGAAGTAATAGAGGTTGGCAGGGTTAAGAATGGAAAGAAATGAGGAAAAGAGGAAGAGAGAAAAGGGGAAGACTAGCAAAGCACAGAGACAACATGAATACCAAACCCAAAAGATGACTCTCTTTCTCCTTCCCTCTCTTTCTCCTTCTCCCTTTCTCTCTCTGACACACACACACACACATAGACAGACTCGGAGAAAAATAAAGGTATTTCCAGTGACGTTCTTGTAGTGTGATTTCCATCTTGTGGCCATTTTGGAAATTGCTTCTGAAGACAGAAAGTTCTGTTGTATTTTGGCAACTCCAAATTTAAAACTATACTTTGTGTGTGTGTGTGCGCACACTCAGTCATGTCCGACTCTTTGTGATCCCATGAGCCATAGCCTGCAAGGCTTCTCTGTCCTTGAGATTTCCCAGGCAAGAATACTGGAGTGGGTTGCCATTTCCTTCTCCAGGGGATCTTCTCAACCCAGGGATCAAACCTGCATCTCTTGCGTCTTCTCCATCGGCAGGCGGATTCTTTATCCACAGACCAAATGTGCCCTTCAAGTCACAGCTTCTTTACCTGATCGTCTGTCTCCTAGCTTCTTTCAATTCAGGGAACTAATAGGACACAGTAAACCCCATGCATGTACAAAAATATTTCTCACTGCATAGATTCATTGCAAAATGCATGATATATATATCAGGTTTAAAAAGCCACTGCAGAAACATGTCTCCCTCTTTTGCCATAGATTGTTATTTCTGAAAGGGCAAGCATGATCCTTTTAGGGTGAAAGAAGAGCTAGCATGAAGTAGCGGATGATATTTGATGGCTGCTCTGCCTTCTCCACAGGAAAAAGCCCGTTATCTTAACCTCCTCTTTCTTGAGCCACTAAGGTGGCCCCGCTGCCCTGATGTTCCCCACTCTTTCCATCTTTCCTGCCTCCTTTCAACTCTTGATGACATAGGTACCAGATGCTTAGGGTTTCGTTGTTTGGGAAGAAATCCTGGAATGCAGGAAGTGTAGAGGGGCCACAAGTGACACATTTTCTACATTTCACAGCATTATTTTTTGGTGTGATTACACCTTCATAAGCCAGGGACCAAGATCACAGAAAACTAATAACAGAGTTAGGAACCTGATCGAAAAGTTCTGATTTTTTTATGCTAGGGAAAAAAAAAATGTGTTACCTATAGTCTAAAAATACACAGTGGTATGATGGTATAGTGTGGAAATTTTTCTTGTGCACATAGATTTTTTTTTAAATTTCAGGATGGAGACCTGCATATGGTATTTACAACATGTGGGTGTCTCTCTTCGGAGCTGTTTTGTGCTGTGCGGTCATGTTTGTCATCAACTGGTGGGCAGCTGTCATCACCTATGTCATTGAGTTCTTCCTCTATATCTATGTGACTTACAAGAAGCCAGGTAAGATAAGAAGGATTGTACAGAGAGGGTTTCCTAAGCACTCTCTAACTATCCATTCACTCAACGAATGTTTATTTGGCACCTCCTGTGTTTAGGTGTGCCATGCGTATGGCGGATATTAATAATATAATGTAATATGATAATACAATAGTTAGGTATACTGTGTATACACCATTGAATTCTCACAATAGTGAGAATCATTAGTCATTAGGTATTATTAGTCACATTTCAGAGATGAAGAAACTTGAGTTCAAAGAAGTGACCACTCACTGAGGTGACCATCAGGATGTGAAGCAGCTGATAATTTAATGAGAGTGTATTGATACCAAACCCCATAAGCTTTCCACTGATAGAGTCCTTCTACATCTGATAAATGAGATAGAACCCTTGTCCTCAAGAAGTACAGACTCACACATAAGGAATTTACTATATAACAGTATAGCAAGCACCGTGAGACTGACGTGAACAAGTTACTGAGAAAAGGCGAGGAAGTGACTGACCGTGATTATTGTTAGTCTAAATCAAGTCTGATTCCTTGCCACCCCATAGACTGTAGCCCACCTGGCTCTTCTGTCCATGGAGTTATCCAGGCAAGAATACTGGAGTGGGTAGCCGTTTCCTTCCCCAGGGCATATTCCCAACCCAGGGACTGAATCCTAGGCTCCTGCATTGCACACGGATTCTTTACCACTGAGCCACCAGGGAAGCTCTGTGATTAGAGTTGTCCAAGAAAAGTTCCCCGGTCATGGCTTGTGTTCCCAGGGTCAGTCATTTGGTAGGTACTTATAAATATCTGTTGAATGAACAAATAAGCTACTTAAAAAAAAAAAAAAAGGCAAGAGACTAGGGGTTGGTTAATCAGATGGAGCCAGGGTTGGCTACTGTAGGCAGAAGAGTGTGAGTAAAGTTAGGAAGCGTGCAAGTATCAGGCATATTTAAGGATTCCCAAAGCTTATGAACAGAGAAACCTGGTGGGCTACAGTCCGTGGGGTTGCAAAGAGTCAAACACAACTGAGTGACTAAGCACAGCACACACCAAGGCCTTTAGCATGATGGAGTCCTCAGGTGATTAGAAGAGGCCTGAGGTGAGCCTTGGAAGGTGAGTAGGTCAGGCCAGATAAACAAGACACCTAAATGTCATGCCAAAGAATCTGGAGCAGCAAGAAGATGCTGTTGATCATTCAGGTGGATCTGGACTTCAGATGTTATCTTTAGACCCAATGAAAGGGATGGACTGATGCTTGGAGAGGCTAGAGATTAAGGAGTACCGTATTCGGCAGTCCAGTCTCAGGGGCCAAAAAGACCCTCAGCCACCCTCACATGCTCCTTACCCTTCCTATGCAAGCAGAGTAGAAAAGAGAAGGTAGGAACTATTTTGAAGAGTTTGGTTTTGTTGTTTTTCTTTATTACTTTATGGTATTTGTAATACAGGTATGGTGGTGGTGGTTTAGTTGCTAAATCACGTCTGACTCTTGAGACTCCATGGACTATGGCCTGCCAGGCTCTCCTGTCCATGGGATTCTCCAGGCAAGAATGCTGGAGTGGGTTGCCATTTCCTTCTCTACTAAATGGGGCTTAATGGCATCGACTTCAACGGGCCGTGAAGGGGGCTCAAGAGAGACAAGACTCCTAAAGTTCTCGACACAAGGATTGGTACCCGGGAAGTTTTCCACACACTGTATGTTCACATAATTTATGTATATTAATATTAACTCCCTGTAGTGTACAGCCTATAGGTTTTAACAAACTTACAGTCTTGTAACTACCATCACAATCAAAATAGAGGACACAGGGCTTCCCTGGTGGCACTCAATATGTCGGCAAATTTGGAAAACTCGACAGTGGCCACAGGACTGGAGAAGGTCAGTTTTCATTCCAACCCCTAAGAAAGGCAATCCCAAAGAATGCTTAAACTACTGCACAATTGCACTCATCTCACACACTAGTAAAGTAATGCTCAAAATTCTCCAAGCCAGGCTTCAGCAATACATGGACTATGAACTTCCAGATATTCAAGGTGGTTTTAGAAAAGGCAGAGGAACCAGAGATCAAATTGCCAACATTTGCTGGATCATTGAAAAAGCAAGAGAGTTCTAGAAAAACATCTATTTCTGCTTTATTGACTATGCCAAAGCCTTTGTGTGGATCACAACAAACTATGGAAAATTCTTAAAGAGGTGGGAATACCAGACCACCTGACCTGCATCCTGAGAAATCTGTATGCAGGTCAGGAAGCAACAGTTAGAACTGAACATGGAACAGACTGGTTCCAAATAGGAAAAGGAGTAAGTCAAGGCTGTGTATTGTCACCCTGCCCGTTTAACTTATATGCAGAGTACATCATGAGAAATGCTGGGCTGGATGAAGCACAAGCTGGAATCAAGATTGCCAGGAGAAATATCAATAACCTCAGATATGCAGATGATACCACCTTTATGGCATAAAGTGAAGAAGAACTAAAGAGCCTCTTGAAAGAGGAGAGTGGAAAAGTTGGCTTAAAGCTCAACATTCGGAAAACTAAGATCATGGCATCTTGTCCCATCATTTCATGACAAATAGATGGGGAAACAGTGGAAACAGTGGCTGACTTTATTTTTTGGGCTCCAAAATCACTGCAGATGGTGATTGCAGCCATGAAGTTAAAAGTTCCTTACTCCTTGGAAGGAAAGTTATGACCAACCTAGACAGCATATTAAAAAGCAGAGACATTACTTTGTCAACAAATGTCCATCTAGTCGAGGTTATAGTTTTTCCAGTAGTCATGTATGGATGTGAGAGTGGACTATAAAGAAATCTGAGCACTGAAGAATTGATGCTTTTGCTGTGATGTTGGAGAAGACTCTTGAGAGCCCCTTGGACTGCAAGGAGATCCAACCAGTCCATCCTAAAGGAGATCAGTCCTGGGTGTTCATTGGAAGGGCTGATGTTGAAGCTGAAACTCCAATACTTTGGCCACCTGATGTGAAGAACTGACTCATTTGAAAAGACCCTGATTCTGGGAAAGATTGAAGGCAGGAGAAGAAGAGGATGACAGAAGATGAGATGGTTGGATGGCATCACCGACTCAATGGACATGAGTTTGGGTGAACTCCAGGAGTTGGTGATGGACAGGGAGGCCTGGCGTGCTGCGGTTCATGGGGTCACAAAGAGTCAGACATGACTCAGTGACTGAACTGAACTGAGCTGGTGGTCCAGTGGTTAAAAATGTGCCTTGCAATGCAAGGGACACCGGTTTCATCACTGGTCCAGGAAAATTCCACATGCCATGGAGCAGCTAAGCTCATATGTCACAACCACTGAACCTAGGCTCTAGAGCCCAGGAGCCACAGCTACTGAGCCCATGTGCTGCAACTAGTGAAGCCTGAGTGCTTAGAGCCAGCAGATCCAAAGAGAAGCCACCACAATTAGAAGCCCATGCGCTGCCACAGAAAGTAGCGCCCACTTGCCACAACTAGAGAAAACCTGTGCACAGCAATGAAGACTCACCGCAGCCAAAAAATAAAATAAATATATCTTTCTTAAAAAATAGGGGACATTTCCATCATGGCTAAAAGATTCTGTGCAGTCAATTTCTTCCTCCCAAGTTAGCCCCTAGCTACAGCTTTTCTGATTTCTGTTCCTATATCTTCGCCTTTCCCAGAGTGTTATGTAGAACCATAGAGGATGTAGCCTTTATATATACTTTCTTTCACTTAACATGAGGTTTTTAGATTCATCCATGTTGTTACATGTATGAGTAGTTTGTTCCTTTTTGTTGTTGAGTAGTATTCCATTATATGAATATATCTCAAGATTTTTAAAATATATTCACTAATTGAAGAATTATATCTAACCTGGTATGTCTAATTATATTTGTATCTAGTGATTATATCTAAAGCTGCTGTAAATATTCACACACAGGGCTTTATGTGGACCTATATTTTCATTTCTCTAGGAGTGGAATTTATGATTATAAAGTACACATAACTTTATAATTAACAGCCAAACTATTTTCTAAAGTAGCAGCATCATTTTCCATTCCTAACAGCAATAAATTTAAGTCCCAGTTGCTCCACATCCTAGGCAGCACATATTATTGTTAGTTGATTTCTTTAAAAAAAAAAAAAGCATTCTAATTGATGTAGTGTACTGTCTTATTGTGGTTTGGTTTGCATTTTTTTCCCAATGACTAATGATGTTGAACATATTATTTGTCATCCACATATCTTCTTTTGCCAAGTGTCTGTTTAAATTTTTTGCCTATTTTTTGAGTTGTTTTCTTACGATTCATTTGTATGACCTCTATATATTTAGGATACAAATCCTTTCACAGTACATCTTTTGCAAATGTTTTCTACAAGTCTGTAACTTGTTTTTTCATTTCCTTACAGTTTGTTTTGAAGAGCAGATATTCTTAATTCCTCTAAAGTCTGATTTTTCATGTTTTATGGTTTGTTTGTTGATTTTTTGCTTCTAATCTATCTTTCCCTAATTCAAAGTGACAAACTATTTCTAAAAGTTTTAATGCTTTAGATTTTTAATTTATATCTCATCGTTTTGAGATAATTTTTGTATATGGTGTGTGAGGAATGGCTCAAGGTTGTTTTTTTGCATATAAATATCCAATTTATTTATAGGGTTCTTACAAGAATGAAATAACCTAAGGTATGCTAAATTCCTGATGCATAGTAAATACTTAATCAATATTAATCTGCCTTATCTCCAGATAATTATCTCTCATCATTTTCCTGATTGTTCTGAGAAAGACTGGGGAGATGGCTCTGTCTGCCATCTAGAGTGAATCTGCATTCCCATCAGGGACTTCTTATAAAATGTAGAGGATTCATCTAACATTTAATTTTTTAAGTCAGGGCGTGGTAGTGTTTTCCACCCTTATTATGAAGATTGGGTCCTTAACACATCACACTAAAATGCTTGCTAAAGATTGACCCTCATCATGGACACCCAGTGGTAAGAATTCCCAAGTTATTCAGTTTTATTATTCAAAATATAAAGACTGCTGCATACTCTCTATGTATGCAGAAATGCCTCTTTTCTTTTCAATTTAAGGATTTGTGAAGAACTCTTGGATTTATTTAGGGGCTGACCATTTTCTCAAGCCTACCTGCCTGCAGGGTGGTTGTAACACAGCCTCTTCCACTTAGTAAGTTTTCTCAGGCTGCAACACTAGAGTCTGATCCTCAGCTAGAAAAAGAGGTCTCACTTCTAAGAATTCACAAAGAGTTCATAGAAGGACACACTTCCTAGGAAATACTACATGATGTTTCTCTAATTTGGGCACTTGCAACTGCTGACATAGCCAAGGAAAATCAAAGAAGGGAATGGCTTATAAAAATATTCACAGTATATGGAGGAAAGCTCAGTGCTTTTACGTCAAATTCTCCTTTGTCCACAGATGTGAACTGGGGCTCCTCCACGCAGGCTCTTTCCTACGTGAGCGCTTTAGACAACGCTCTAGAACTAACTACAGTGGAAGATCATGTGAAAAACTTCAGGTAAAATTGGCTTCTCAAGCATCCTGGTGTCATTTCCCATTGGAAGTAGCTTCCCTCTATGGGAGACAAATGCACTAGTGACAGGCTTTAGGGGTATATGCTAAGATAGGTAATCTTACAAAACTGCCACATTTTCACAACAGCACCTCCTGTAAATGAGTGTTTCTTCTCTTCCACTCTGAGTTATGCTCACCCCAACTCTAAATTCTCCTAGTGCTGGCTGTCACCTTCCATGTACAGATAGAGAGGGGATCTCAGTGACATGATTTCGGAGAGATGTCCCCAAATCCCCACACACCTTAATCGTTGTTTCTGTCTCCATATAGCTTAAGGCTTTGTGGCTTACTGGATTCCCTTAGGAGAAGTTATACTTTAAGCTCTTCTTTGATTATATCTTATTTTAAGTGGAACTTCAAAACACAAGCTTTGCAAGGAGGGTGAAGGAAAATAATATGAATATACTGGTTGGAGAAGGACAGGTTGTACTGAGGATTTGGAATAGGGTCATGTTCAGAGGAAAAAGACAGGGGGACAGTAAGGACCTTTTCCTTACTTTACATGTTTACTATCACTAACTAAACTAAGAATACAAATTTGGCAAGAATGGCAGGAAATCACGATGATTCAAGTCTTCTAGTGAGGGACTTCCCTGGTGGTTCAGTGGTTAAGAATCCACTCTGCAACGCAGGGGACGCGGGTTTGATCCCTGGTCAGGGAACCAAGATCCCACATGTTGGGGTAGCAGCTAAGCCCATGGGCTGAACCCGAGCACCACAGCAAAAGATCCCACGTGATGAAACAAAGATACCATGAGCTGCAACTAAGACCTGATGCAGCCAAATAAATAAATACTTCTTTTTAAAAAAGAAGAATAAAAAAAGGACTTCTAGTGAGAAACTCAAGAGATATTTAGGAGGGTGGTTGCCCCATTTTGCCAAGCCTTCTGTACCAGCCCGTTCCATTGGGTGTGGTTCTGGACTCACAGGCTTCTTGTCATGACCAGTGCTCACATCTTCTCTTCTCCATTTTCAGGCCTCAGTGCATTGTCTTAACAGGGGGACCCATGACAAGACCTGCTCTCTTGGATATAACTCACGCCTTTACCAAGAACAGTGGCCTTTGTATCTGCTGTGAAGTCTTTGTGGTAAGAGCTACTGCATCCCTTGAAGGTGCCTTTTCCTACTTGCTCATTTGTGTTGCCTTAGGAGAGCCCAGCAGGTATATGCAGTGATAGGAGAATGATAAGGCATAAGAGGACCCCTTTCCTTCATTCATATACCAAGGACTAGCAGGGGCCCATGATCCTGAACTTAAATGAGTGGATAAAATGTGTTTCAGATTCCACAGGAGACCAACTAAAAATGATAATACTTCTCAATGATGGCCTTTGAGTCAAGAAAAAGAGAACCAGCTCATAAACAAAATGAAAATATTTGGGGGTGATAACTGTTCTCAGAAATATGAAAGGATAGAATGAGCTAGAGAGCACTATTATGTAGATTAACTGATGAGGAAGAGCCAGACACTATGGCCTTAAATGAAAGAAGGTAGAATTTAGATTAAATATTTGAATAAACTTGATGATACTACAGATATCTAGGGAGTTAAACCGAGTTTTCCATGCCTTAGATAAACATTCAAAGCTGAATGAGTTCCTTTTTGTTCAGGAAGTATGCGGTGGACTAAGGATAACTTACCGGTGGTTTTTCCAGGAGGTATTCAAAGTAGATGCTAAACACTTAACAATAATTATTGACCAGTCACTATCACTACTCTCTAAAGTGAGAAGAAAGCATTAATATTTTAACAAAATAATAAGTCTAAGTCCTCCAAACGAGCCTACTTCCACTTGTATTCTCACAGAGTGCTCTCTTGCACACACTATGTGTGTGTCCCTGTTTCTCTCTCTCTGGGTCATGCACACACACCACTCAAAATCCTCAGCAGTGTCAGTGTATTATGATCATAATTACCTATTCTTCAAGTATTTTCCTACAGTTTTTCTTGTTTCAGTCTACATAACAGTCTAGTGAAGAAGAAAGGAAAAGAAGCCCTATTTTCATTGCACTGACTAGAAAAGTGAGATTCAGGAAAATTCAATTATGCACAGGGTCCCAGGACAAGAAAGTGGCAGAGTCAGGATATTGGTCCAGGTCTTTGTGACCACATGGACTGTAGCTGCCAGGCTCCTCTTGTCCATGAAATTTTCTAGGCAAGACTACTGGAGTGGGTTGCCATTTCTTTCTCAAGGAGATCTTCCTGAGCCAGGGATCAAACTCATGTCTCCTGCATTTCAGGTGGATTCTTTACCAGCTGAGCCACCGGGGAAGCCCTTAGAGTTGAATACTACTCCCTAAACTTCCAAAACTTGCCAGGGAATAGGGTAGCCAGGAAGCTGTGTCATCTAGCTAGGGCCAGTCGACTGTGCCATGATGCAGGGGTTAATTTACCACATGTCATTGTGACCATCACTTAAGCATCTTTTAACACTTGGCAATACTCTAAATGCAATATGAAGCAAGCTGATCATATTCTCTTTCCTCTCAGTGGTTATATGATAGTAACTCCAACAATATAACTCAATATAATTATCCCATAGAGGTTAGAGGGACTCCTACTGACTACGTAAGATTGACAGGTTAAATAATGACCAACAGGGACTCCAGAGGATTTTATAAAATCTCATCAAGCACCCTACTCTCATATTATCAACTTTGGTGCCCAGGATTAGTGGATTTCATTTTGGCCAATATAATACCGGAGCCAGTTTTGGTGAAATACACAGTTCGGGGTATTTTTCTTCTCTAGTAATTTAGAGAAAATTTAGTTTAGCAAGCTAATAAAATATCTCTAGGAAAGGAGAAATGAACTGAGAGTATAAACAGTCATATATTGGCAAGGGACACAAGGTCTTTTTAAGAGAGATTACTTTAAATTAACCCTTTGCTGCTTTAACTATAATAAAAGAGTATGGCTCTGGAATAATGTTTCATGTGAGATAGGTACTTAAGCCTGGTCCTCTAATGGCCCTGGTTTGCTTGACATGTATATTAGACCACTTCCTACATTACTGTGCTGATCTCTCGTAGTAAGGCCCAAGAGCCTTGCTCCCCGGTGCTGAGATTCTCTTTGGGACAGAAAATAGTCACTGTATCAGTTAATGACTTTTCAGTTAGTTACTTTCTGTGAGCTCCTGAGACTGCAGATGCTGTCAGCATTTTTCAACTCCATGCTCAGTCCTCAATCATCTTTACAAAGAAACAGATGGAAGGGGATGTAGGGAAAGTCAAGGTAACATTATTTTTCCCCCCCAAGACATAGTGATTGGTGGTTAGGCTGACCTTGTGGAAAAGGTTAAATGGTAACAATGATGTTGAGAGATAACAGTTTAAATTTTAATTCTAGAAAGCTCATGCTCATGGATTTTTGAGACACTCAGTTAAGTTCTAAATCACTGTTTTGCCACCTATTATCTGGGATTCCCTTGGGCACACGATTTAATCTCCCTATGCTTCCATTTTCTCAGGTATAAAATGGGAATAATAATGATGATGACAGCACCTGTGTTTGTTACAGGGTCATGAGAACTCCAGAAGATGAGCTTTCTAGCATTCAGCTCAGAGTCTGTCAAACAGTAAATGCTCAATTAATTTTATTTGTTATTGTTGGTATTATTATTATGGGATATTTTTGATATACAGTTGTTGGCATTTTCATTCTGAAAACATACCCCCCTCAACAGAAACCTAAAACACCCCCTCTTAGCAAAACGAGGTCCAAACATTGGAACTTGGACTTCCAGTTATCCAGCAACTTGATCAGGATAGAACAGTTAGATGCGCACTCCCTCCCAGCTAGTCACAGGGCAGCAGGCTCTGCGCTCCATCCCTCTGCTGACCTCCAGTTACTTGCCATCTGCTCCTCCAAGTAAGGGGCAGACTCAGAGCTCACAGGCATTCGTTGTTGGTGGGTAGGGGAAAACACATGCCCCTCAGCTGCCATATCCTGCAGACAGGCATTTTTAAAGGGACTAGATGTTGTAGCCCTCAAAACTGCTGAAATTGAAATTAAGAATTATACTTTTGCTGGGTCCCAAGTCCACACTGTAGCCTTCCAACTATTCAACTAACGTTCCACTCGCCCATCATAGCTTCTGCCTATCTCTTGCCTTTTTCTATGAAACTTAAAGATTTCAGAAGAGGGACCCCTTCATCAGGACAAACTGGGGGATATTTTTTAAGGAATCTGGCTTTGTTACTTAAAATAATGTCTATTTTTCTCCTTTGAATTACCTTATAATAAGTTAGTGATATATCCCAGGAGGCTTTCTATTCAATAAGTGTGATTTTCTTTTTCTTATGTGCTTCACTCCTTTCACCACCATGAAGACTAGGGGTAGGATTCCACCTTTGAGCATCACCTCATGTTTCTGAGCATAGACATTTTCAGTGCGTTCAGCAACAGGCAAATGTGAAGTCAAGGGTTGTGATTTCCACTAATTGTACTGTATGTACAATGGCATTAAAAAAACACTGCCTTTCTTTGTCAGTCAGTTTCCTCACTTATTTGTAGTAGCTGGAGAGATAGTAATCATTGCAGATGGCTTAGTTTGGATTCGTGCACCCTTAATTCTCTGAGTGGGGCTTCCCTGGTGGCTCAGTGGTAGAAGAATCTGCCTGCCAAGGCCAGGAGACATGGTTTTGATCCCTGAAAAATGGAAAAGTAGAGCGACTAAGTCCATGTGCCACAACTATTGAGCCCTTTTGGTGTCTCAGCAGTAATGGATTTGCCTGCAATGCAGATGATATGGGTTCAATCCTTGGGTCAGGAAGATGCCCTGGAGAAGGAAATGGCAAACCACTCCAGTGTTCTTGCCTGGGAAATCCCATGGACAGAGGAGCCTGGTGGGCTACAGTCTCTGGGGTCACAAGAGCTGAACACTCCTTAGCGACTAAACCACCACCACTATCAATTCTCAGAGTACACTACGTTCAGTTTTAAAAATCACACAGCTCATCATGTGAGAAGGTATACTGTTTCTAGGCATAGCTGTCACTCACATACTTCTCAGTTTTACATTTAAAGGCAGTTTTTTTTTTTTAAACTAAAGAAAATAAAAAATATACATTAAAGATGGAAAGGTGATCCAATTGATCTGGGATTTAACATGCTCATCAGATAAAGTCATCATTGCCAAAAATGCAACATTTACCTCTTTTATACATTTTGTTTCTGTTAAAACTGCAAAAGGCTTTCAAGTTTACTGGCATCTTTAATTAAGTACATTGTCATGTATTGGCTGAAAAATAAAGATTTTTTTTAAAGATTGCTTCTAGTTTTCATTTTGAAGCACTAAGAAAAATATTAGGTTAAATCACATGAAATTTACTTTTTTGTGTGTTGAAAGTCATTGAACACTGGCAACTTCATATGATGAAACTATAGTCAGTAAAACAACACCCATATTCTACTTCTGTAACAACAGTTAACATTTTTCTTAGATGCTTCCACTCACTTTTTAAATGAAATAAACCATTACAGATCAAGCTAAAGTCCCCTTTCTAGCCACTCAGCCCCATGGCTTTCTCCCTCCGAAAAGGCAGTATTATCTGATTTTGATTGGTGTTCTTCTAGTCATTTCACCTATGTGTACAAGATGTAGATCTATTCTGACTAATGTTTGCCTACTCATTATATTCTTTAAACCTGATTGTCCTGTTCTCTCTTCTCACTGTAAAGAAGAAAAGGAATAACATTGGACCAACTTCCTTATGTAGATCCCCTTTTAACAAGATTTCACCGTTAACCTTTCTCTTTTTTTTCATAAAATTTACAAAGTATCTTAATAAAACCTAAAACTCTCTTTGAATTCAACAAATCTTTTCTTTTGTCAAAGGAAGATAACCAACTTTCAACTCTGTGGCTTATGGAGGGCAGTTCAAGCATAGATAACCATGGAAAACTAAAATTCCCATTTTTTCTTCTATCATCATCCTTTTAATCTCAACTTTCACCTCCATCAAAAGGAAAAAAGCTTTTTTTAGATGCACTTATTCTTTATTAGTCATTGAGTCTTTGTTACGATATTAATAAAACAATGACATGACAAAATACAGGGAGGATGAAGTGACCTATAAGTGGGCACTAGGATCATGACGAGTTAAAATATCCACCAAATCAGAAAGGGAAAACTTTTCTTTCCCATAGTTCCAACCAGAGAGGCAATGAAAGCAAAGACAGAGCAATAAGACCCTTGATGTTTTAAAATATAAGAGTTGGAAAGAACACTGCATATGACCCAAATTCCTGTATTTGACCCCAATAATATAGGAAATCCTTTGCAAATTCTTTTTCATAATATACATCTATTTGAAGTAGTGTCACATGAATTTATCCTCCAGACTAAATAATTAGAATTCCTTTACCCCTTTCTCTATCAATGACAAAGTCATAATATATACAAAATTTTTACAGCTTCTTTGTTCAAATCCTGAATTAACTTATATACTCATATTTTGACTCCTAACTGAGCTAATCTCTATAATATTTTAATTGGGTGATAAAATCCATTTTTGTGACTATTGATGTATTTGAACGTTGAAAAATTAAATTCCAACATGTCTTCCCTTTTTGTTAGTTCACTTTTCCCATACTATGTTTGTATTATAGCCTTGCCTCACATTAATAAGTATGCTACAAGGATATCATAATTGCTTTTAGCAAAGATAGTCTCTGCATGAAATATTTTTATAACTTCTCAATACAGAAAATTTAGGCATTAAAGTAAATCTCTCTGTCACAATTAATGTTTAATCTGGATTTTTGTATTACTACTAGATATACATTAGGCTATATTTATTTAAATAAATGCCAGTTTCCTTAGAGGTTCAAAGTCATTGTGGTACAACTCAATATGCTGATGGTCTGATACCTTGCCTAGTTGTTGGTTATTCTTCTATTTCATGGTTATTGTTACCATTCAGCTTCCCTGAAGAAAATATTTCTTCTTTCTTTTGCAATTGCCAATGTCTAGAATGCCCAAGAAGGACTAGTGGTTGAAATGCATTGACAGAATCCTGAGCAAAATTTGATTTATAATGACATATCTTTGCTCAGGCTAGATCTTCTGGTTTAATAACTATCCTTCCTCTGTACCTTCTCCATCTTCATTGGAGGTTCTTATTATTTAATTGTAAAGTAAGTTATCCAAACTGCTTTGATAAGTCGTTATGTTCTAGAAAGCATTCTAGTGAAAATAAGTACAAAAAGAATCTGATACAATTTAAATAGAATACTAAAATGGAAGTGACCACAAATTACATGTAGTGTTATATAATAGAAATGTAATATGTGCCATAAATGTAATTTAAAAATTTCTAGTAGCCAATCAAGAAAAGTAAGAAGAAACAGGTAAATGCAAGGCATCCAGATTATTATTTCAACATTCAATGTATATAAAAACATTAATGAGACATTTTACATTCCTTTTTTTTTTTCATACTAAGGTTTCAAAATCCAGTGAATGTTTTACATTTCCAGTACATCTTTATGTGGACTAGCCAGATTTCAAACACCCAGTAGCAACATGTGGATAAGGGCTAGTCATACTGAACAGTGATAGCCTAGACAATTTTCTTATTCTTGTAAAAGTGAAAATAAAGTGAAAGTGTTAGTCACTCAGTCGTGTCTAACTCTTTGCAACCTCATGGACAATCCCCTGCCAGGCTCCTCTGTCCATGGAACCCTCCAGGCAAGAATACTGAAGTGGGTAGCCATTCCCTTCTCCAGGGGATTGTCTCACTGGGCTGGGACGATCCCATAGAGATGCAGGATTGAACTCGGGTCTCCTGCATCACAGGCAGATTCTTTACTGTCTGAGCCACCAGTGTAGAGCCCAAATCCAGAGAAAACAAATGGCACACCTCGGGAATCGGCTCGTCAGTTTCAGAGCCAGATCTGAGCCATACACTCTGCTCTCAGTTCAGCCCTCTTTCAGCTGTATTGTAGAACACTGGTGAACTGAGGTCTGGGACTTAACTGAGATTGTGAGCACTTATTTAATATAATAAAAATCAACTTTGGATGAGCACTTACTACATTCCAGACATCATTCCAGATACTTTATCATGACTATTTGAAATGACCTTGCAGAATAGCTATTTGATCCCTGTTTCTGGAATAATGTATCAAAGCTCAGACATCATTAATTACCTCCAGAGTGGCCAAATGAACCCAGTTCTATCTGATCAAAAACCTGGTATCTTTTTCATACATAACCAGCCTTTTCTCTCTAATCCAAGACCTTCTAAGACTATGACTCCAAGAATGGTCTGAGGACCAGCAGCATCAGTGTCATCTGGGAGTTTGTTAGAAATGCAGAATCTTCAGCCCTGGTTCAGTTCTATTTAGTGCATTTTACCAAGATCTGAGGTGGTTAGTAAGAAATCTAAAACAATTCAATAAAATATTTCCATCAACTGAAAGAATTTTTCAGGAAAATAGTAGATTTGTACCCTTGTCAGGCACATGGTAGATAATCAGAAATACTCTTGGGGTTGATTTGAAACATGCAAAGAATAAAATTAGCTTGAACCTCTAAGGAAGGAGAAACAACAGAAACTTTAATTAAAATGAGTTTCCAGAACTCAGATCTTAAAATTTTAAAATGCTTCTTCTACCACCACAACACCTGCCTCCTTCTCTCTTAATCTCTTCTGTTCTTCCTGTGCCATAGGTATGTGAACATCTATTTCCACTAACTTTGTTGAGTAATGGCAAATGTTAATGTGAATAGGAATATGTCTACATTGGGCTTCCCAGGTGGCGCTAAAGGTAAAGAACCTGCCTGCCAATGCAGGAGACCTAAGAGATGCGGGTTTGATTCCTGGGGCAGGAAGATCCTCTGAAGAGGGGCATGGCAACCCATCCCAGTATTCTTGTCTGGAGAATTCCCATGGACAGAGGAGCCTGGCGGGCAACAGTCCACAGGGTACAAAAAGTCAGACATGACTCTAGTGACTGACCACACACGATGTCAATATCACACAGAGAAAAGTGATACAACGGTGTCTTCACCACATGAAAAAACAAAGAATGGGCCTGATAGAATTATCAAGATGTAATTGTTCCTGCCAGGATTTGCAACTCACCACATTTTGGCTCCCAAGAGTGCTGTCATGTTTCTTGAAACTGGGCTCTAGCTGAGGCTTCCTTGGTATTCATAAATGTGGGTCTTGCTATTTAAAAAAAAAAAAAATTGGTCATACCGCACAGCATGTGGGATCTTAGTTTCCCAATGAGGGACTGAACCTGCCCCCTGCATTGGAAGGCAGAATCTTAGCTACTGGATCACCAATGAAGTCCCCGGCTCTTACTATTGAGTCAAACGTTGATGGTGTATTTATCCTGAACCTCGTCAATCACATTTTCTGTATTTTTTATCATGTGCCATCAGCTCTTTCTTTCATTTGACATGAGGCAGTTAACTAAGCAGGAGCTACTACATCTAGACATTCTGCACGGAAAGTGAGTAATGTGAGCAGCCCAAGTTCTTTCCAGAAGGTTGAATGTCTGTGAAGCCTGTTTAGTGAGGTGTTTTCCCCTCTTTCCCATTTCTTAACCCAACACAGCATTGCTGGCTATTTTTGTCCTTTAGAAAATAACAGCAGTGTGATGTATAATAGCAGGGCTTCTAACCAATATTTCATTGTGTCATACAGGGACCGCGCAAGCTGTGTGTTAAAGAGATGAACAGTGGCATGGCAAAAAAGCAGGCCTGGCTTATAAAGAACAAAATCAAGGCATTTTATGCAGCAGTGGCAGCAGATTGTTTCAGGGATGGTGTCCGAAGTCTCCTTCAGGTAAGGCTGGCATCGAGAGAATGAGTACAGAGGCAAAAGACAATTAGCACTCCATTGTAATGAAGCTCGCAAATGGAACTGCTCCGGAACTGCTCCAGTTAGGCAGACTAGCATCAGAAATCAATACAGATGGTTAAGGAATTCATTTTGAATTCCTGGGGATAGGCAAAGCTAAAACAGAAGCAGAGAGGTTCTATTACAGTGAACTATGAGTGATACGCTGGAAATGGAAAATGAGGTTGCCTTTGGCCAGCAGCATATATTCTGTCTCATACTTATTGAAATGCAAATTTGTTCTGATAGTTGACAACATTCAAGCTCCTATTAAAACTTCAAACTATTTTTACATCTCATACTGCATATAGCAAGGCTCAAGTCAGACATTCTTTTCCTTTTTTCTTTTGCAAATGGTGTGAGAGCAGCTGCAAGACTGGACTAAATAAATGTCTGGTGATCTGGGCATAAAATCTCCCACTCCTCCTTAATTATTTCCAGAATGTTAAATAAAATGTAATAATCTCTGTGGTTTAACACTAAAGCTCACAGTTCTTCCATCTTTTCTCCCTGATTCTTTCTTTTTCTCCTCTCCTTTTATAATATATAGAATCTTTCCCTAGTTCTGATTTTCTAAATTTAAGGTGCCAGAGAATTCTAAAACAATCCAGGAGAACCTCAGAAATTGTAGGGCTTGGTTTTCTAATACTTTGGACTTCAATATTGTTGGAAAAACCTGATTGTACATATACTAAATGATATATTTAGCTTTCAGAATTGCCATCTACAGGAGTGTCAAAATTCAGGATTGCATCCAGTTAATGCTGATGGCTTATGCAGGCCGGAAAGAAAACACATGGATTAAATTGTAATATTTGGGAGAATAAGAGTTTTTGATGCATTCCTGTCCCTAGTATCCCCAAAGAACAAAGTAGCTTTACATGTAGAGAAACCATTTCTGAAAAACCTATTACCTTCTTCTGAATACCAACGAGCCTCTGTTACTAATTTGATAAATCATGGAAATAGATGTCATTGCAAGATGCTGATTTTCCTTTCAGTAGCAAGTTATTTTTCAGTAGTTCTTTGGTTAAATGGGTTGGGAAGGTTACACATTTAATGTAAAATTATCATGGAAGGTTAGTAAAATAATAAGAATCTCAACTAGGAATGAGACAACAAATACAGAATAAGAACATGAAGAGGGAAGACATTGGCATGTAAAACAATTCACCTATTAATCCAGAAGAAATTGTAAAAAAAAAAAAAAAAAAAAACTTGACATGAATTTCTTCAGAGAAAAATGGGAGTAAGAGAGGTCATGTCAAAAAGGGCAGTGACAACTATACCATTTTGAATAAAACCTTCTTTGCATCTAAAAAATTATGATATGAACGGCCACATCCTCAAATCGTAGTCATGGAAAACACTACATCCATACTGCCGTGTATCTGCCAAGGGTCAGATGACAGCTCTAAGGAGCTGTTCGGCTACCTGTACATTTCTAAGGACAACACACAAAATGAGGTGGAGGCAAAGCTTATTTCAGGAACCCTCTATCAATACCTATCTTTTTTACACTTGCTACTGTCACTTCAATGTCCCACTTTTGTCACCTGTGTCACTATTCCCGTGACCCAGAATATCCTTCCTTCACTTCTGCTGTTCCCCTTACTTTTATTGGCAACATCTAACCAAACTGCCAGATCCAAAACAAACGTCAGCTCTCCCAAGATACCATTCAAAATTTTTTCCCTTACACTTCCATATGATTTCTTACTGCATTTGCACATTAATAATAATTATTTGTATGTATCTGTCACCTCAATCTTATTCTAAACTCCTTCAGGCCAAAGAATGTGTCTCACTACTCTCTCACAGCACCTAACATAGCACTTTGCAATGAATAGGTGCTCAGTAATATTGCCCGATTAAATTTAATTAGCTGGAAGCCATATCCTGTCACCTAATGGGGGGAATGAAACTTCTGGTATGGAAGATGGCTATTAATGATACTGTTGTGTAAGAGGATTAGATTCTGGAAACATAGCTCAGTTATTCTTCAATAAATAATGTAAGTAGAAGTTTCAGTGGTTCTTCTATATAGGAATTTTCCAAACATGGATTTTATTGCTAATGACATTATGGATATAGCAGGTGGAAATGAGCTTTGAACCACCAAGTTACAGCATGCATGCCAACAGTTAAGCCAACCCTCACTTGATTTTAAATTATTGAACCATTTTAATGAGTGTGTCAGAAGAAATGCAAATGACTGCTAATTTAGAAAAGCTACATTTCTGTCATCTAAAATCCATTTATGGCTGAGATGATTTAGAACTAATCTTTCTATTTTATGCTTGGGTACGGGCATGAAGGACATGCACTAAAATGTAATCTAATCTTCAGAACATTACTTCAGTGCTCTTTTGGACATTATTTTTCATTTGCAGAGGTAGCTTCCTGGTCTGGTAAGAGTTGCCCATGTGTTTATCTCCTCTGTTTAGGCCTCGGGCTTAGGACGAATGAAACCAAACACTCTGGTGATTGGATACAAAAAAAACTGGAGGAAGGCTCCCCTGACAGAGATCGAAAACTATGTGGGAATCATACAGTAAGTGATGGCTTTCAAGACGTGCTCTTGTTTGTAAGGCACTAACCAGGGCAGTACATAACTGACACTGTTGTACAAAATGAATTGCCTGAGAAGATGACATTCCCCTGGTGCTCTGAATTCTTTAGCAAACTGGAAAAACACTGCCAGTATTAAAACCTGAGGGAATCGTGTCTTCAGAGGAGGAGGGGTAGGGAAAATTCGGCGTCAGAGAAAAAGGTAGATATAAAGAGTTACAATCTTAAAACTTATTTACAAAATTAAAAGGCGAGGACAACTAGGTAAGGAAGGAATTGTTTTTTCAAAACAGTTGGAATCTTAGGTTGGCTGATGTGCTCAATTCAGTGATCTTACCTTGAGCCTCACCTCCCCCGTTGTGATACAAGGATCCATATGGCAGGTGCCTTTGACAGGTAACAATGTTAGTTTATGGACAAAAAGTGAGTTTAAAATGCATGTGATATCTAACATCTAAAAATGGAAGAAGTCATGGGATGGGGATAATCATGCTAATCCTTAAAAGACTAGTTGGCACCAGGCTAATGTCCTTAACGTGAATTATCCCACTTAATTCTCACAAGAAGCCTTTGAAGTAAGGACTACTACTGTTCTGATTTTATGAGTAGAGACATAGACATTAAAAATTAACTAAAAGGCAGAAAATGACAAGTTTTACAAGAGACAGAGCTGGAATTCTGACCCAAGACCAATCAAGTTCAAAGTTTAAACTAATGATCACAATGCTATGCAACCTTCAAAACCACATGTATACCCAAAGTATTACCTGGCTTGGTTCCTTCTTTTAAGTAAGAGAAGACAAACACTATACATAGAGAGCAACTCAGGGTGTCCTCAGTGACAATTCTAAAAAATTGAGCCTCTCTTCCAGACTTGAAAATACTTAACCAGCTTTGTCTCAAGGAGGGTGATATTAGCTAGGCCTAACAGCCATCTTTTGTGTCAATAGCTCAGAAAGTGGAATATGTCCTCTGTCTGATTTCATACCACAGGGTAGAGAACATGCCAAGAGGTCTGACTGCACTTACGATTCCATAATACAGAGGAAAAAATTCCTCACCCCTTCAAAGCAGGTATATACCCAGTGTTTCTTATACCAGGCTTTGTCTTCCGGCTCCTGCTAGAATGAGTATCACATTTATCATTATTTGGGGGAGATTTAGGGAACACAACAAAACTTTCCCATATTAGCTCTATTAAAAAGAAATACAAGAAAATAATTTTCATCTTCTGAAATTATATGGATTACTGACCAAACAATCATTTAACAGTCCTCCTAACATGGGGAACTCATGTATTAAATGCATCCTTCTGAACTGTGTTCCCTAAACATGTGACATCTGGATGCCGTGTGCAGCTATCTGGCTCCGACTGGTACTCTAAGTTTAGGGCTAAACCAGGTGATCAGGGACAGAATTTTGCCAGGCTTAGAAAACAGCTTTTTCATATATTTAAAATCACAATTAGCTGCTGGCCCGACATTCTTAGAAATGGACTAGATCCACACTCTGTTATCCTGATTCTTCAGTAAAGTTTCATCCTCATCTTAGGAAGAAAGATGGGTGGAGTAAAAAGGAAAAAATAAGCGAATCTTCGGTCAAAGAGTCCATTAGTGATATAATATTATCTGAGTTCATCTTCCAACTTCCCTACCATCTGAAATATCCTAAAATTTCAAAGAACCAAAAATTAAGCTGGGGAGACTCCTGGCTTTTATACAAATTAATCATCAGTAATAAAATTTAGTGCTAAGGTGGATCAAATTTGTACTAGTATAAAACTTAGCTGGCTTGATCAAGTTAAATGATTTTATTTCCATAGCAAATGGAGTCAACACAAAAGGAAGATAATCAGATATCCATTTTGTATTTCTCTAACTTTTTCATTTTGTTTTTTTAATGACTTAAAGCACAGTATTATTATTAACAAAAGGGGTATTAATACAATAGTACAATATTTTATTGATACCATTTTCTTTGAGTAAAAGATTTTAAATTTCATAATATTCATAAGTATGATTTAATTTTAATTAGACTTTTATTCGTTTTCATGGGCTGTCATAACAAATGACCTCAAAGTTAGTGGCTTAAAACAACACAAATGTGTTATCTTACAAAAGTGTAGGTTAAAAGTCTGACTGTCTGAAAGAGAAAGAAAAATACCATATGATATCAGTTATATGTGGAATCTAAAATGATACAAATGAACATATTTACAAAACAGACATGCTCACAGACTTAGAAAATAAACTTAAGGTTACCAAAGAGAAAGGAGGTAAGGGAGAGATAAATTAGGAGCTTGGTATTAGTAGGTACAAACTACTATATATAAAATAAATAACATGGTCCCACTGCATAGCACAGAAAACTATATTCAATATCCTGTAATAAACTATAATGGAAAAGAATATCTATATATAACTGAATCACTTTGCTATACACTGAAAACTAACACAACATAGTAAATCAACTATACTTCAATTAAAACAAAACAAGTCTTACACCAACCCCCGGACTGTCTTCCCTTCTGGAGGTTCTAGGAGAGAATTCCTAGCCTTGCCTTTTCTAGGTTCTAGAGGCGTCCCACTGCTCATGGGCCTCTGTCTCCATCTTTACAGCTTTTAATGGTCAAGTCCTTCTCCCACCACATTGCTCTGACCTCATTCTCTGCTTCCAAATTTTACTTTTAAGGACCTTTGTCATTATACTAATATCCTGGTCCTGGATAATTTTGCCTAACACAGAATTCAGATACCTTTTGTGGAACACACTGTCTACTTTTTATAATCAAGGACACTTAGAAATAAGATTGATCAGGATATTACTTTGTGGAACTTTTGCTAGAATGGATCTATTATTTTAAGTGAAGTTCACTTATGGTTCAAATTTTGAATGGATATTCTTACTATACAGAACTTATTTATATTGCTATTTGAAAATTCAGGTTTACTTTGGCAAGAGACTTTTTTTTGCATATCTCTATAGTTTCTGGGAAAGGGTGACCAAATGAAAAGTCTCTTTGGGCTTCAGATCCATAAAAGATTGAACAAAGGAACTCCCAGGGAGAATATTTCAAATGAACTCAAAGTACCAATTGGTTTGCCTGATATTTAAGGGCAGGGAAAATGTATTTTATAAGAATGGAGATAAAAGAGCTAGTATTTCTTTCCCCTCTAGATAGTCTAATTCCATTGGGTTGGGTTTAGAGAAGATACAACAGCCAACTTCAACAGAATAACTTCAACTTTTTCAAGGGTTGCCTTGAAAAAGTGTTAGTTCAAATGGTCTCTCTAAAATCAATAATGAAAGTTTCTTAGAGGAACTGGAGACATTTTTAACTGGTAACTTGCTGTCAAAAATGTTGTAGCATTCCCCCTCAATGGGTAAGCGGTTTGGCTGATAATTTCAAAGGGTTTGTGGCCTTGAGACTTCTGTACAGTGATTGTTTTGTTTACATTAGAAAAGAATCAAATATTTTAAATAATCAAAATTCTAATCTTAAAATTCTAGTTGATAGTATTGTTTGAATATGAGTTAGTTACCTTTCCTCGGAATACATTTTTAAAAGGCATAAAGGGAAAACAAGCAAACAGAAAAAGCATCAACTCTTGACTATGTTCAAAAGTAAATTTTGGTAGCTTAATTACATTAAAATCCTAGAAGTTTAGTATGAGTCCAAATCGTGAGGATTGAGTCATTTAAATCACTATTTTGTTTCTGCTTTCAGTGATGCGTTTGATTTTGAGATTGGTGTTGTCATAGTCAGAATCAGCCAAGGGTTTGACATCTCCCAGGTTCTTCAGGTGCAAGGTATGTACTTTCTTTATTCAACAAGCAGATATTCATTGAGCACCTACCCCTGCCTGGCATTGTTCTAGATGCAAGGGGATAGTGCAGAACCCAAAACAGACAAAACGTGCTAACAACGGAGCTCTTGGCAGGACAACGTTCTTGCCCTGACACGAGATGTACCCTTTCCCTGTGTTTTTCTCATTGTTAACATAAGTGGTGTTTGTCTTGCTAACCAGAAATATAGAATAATTCAGGGCAGTTATCAGACTTCTCATCACAAAACCACAAACCTAGTATCACTAAAAATAAATATATTTGGTGAAGTAAACTGCCAAATTAATTTTTGCAAGATGTTTCAAAAAATGAAGATTAATTATTTCCTTGGAAAACCATGTATTTTGTTTAAGAGTCTGTGATCTGGTTTGTAGCTAATATGGAAATGAGCCTGAATATATCATGCTGTGAATCACTAATCTAAGTCAGAGACAGAAGCACTAATTCAGATTAGTGATTCTGCTTTTTCCCTGTAGAGGATTCCATAAACTCCTTGTTAAGTCTTAGAGTATAAACATACCCTCTTGTGTATAAAGTGAAGGACACATCTAAAGAGTCACCAAAACACTAGGATAGGTCACTAATCCTTGACTCACTTCTTTAGCTGAACTTCACAATGGAGTGCACTGACAAGATGATACTAAAACAGAAGGATATTTGGGGGTAACCTCTTGTGTACCAGGTATGGTGTATATTGCAGTGCTGGGTAGACTAAGACTACTAAGCATCTGTATCGTCAAGGATTCATAGCCATGTTATGGAAACGGGTGCACTATTAGTGTGATAATAGCTATATTAATAGGGTACTATGGAAAAGGAAAAAGGGGCACTTAATTCCAGGGAAGGCTTCCTGGCCAAGTAGGAGCTAACTAGGTAATGGTTGGAGAGAGAAAAAAGAGAATTTGAGCAACAGCATTCTTGGCAAAGAAGAGAGCATTAGCAAAGATATGGGACTGTGGAGGAGTGAGGTATATGGACACCTGAAAGCACATTTGTATTACTGAAGCAGATCATAGTGAAATACAAGGCTGCTGATAAAAGATCCTGATTTCAAAAGGCTCATTTGCCTTATTAAAAAGCATGGACCACATTCTATGGACAATGAGGAACTGCTGAAGAGATTTGAAGGGAGGGAATAATATGGTGAAATTTGAGTTTTAGATCTCATACTCTTTCAGTTACATGGAGGATGGACTTGAAGAGGACTAGACCAGAGACAGAAATATAAATCAAAAAGATTTTCATAATCAAAGTGATCAGGTGACAGCTTGGACTAGAGCAGCCTCTCTCAGGGGATGAAGAGAAAAGGACAGTGTACATTGGAGGTACAAAAAGCAGACTTTTGGGTTTGATAGGATGTGTGGGATGGGAGAGAGGAACAAGAGGAAAAAGATTCCTTGATTCCTTGCCTGACAGAGAACGGTGGTGCTATTAGTGGAAATGGGACCCACAAGAGGAAGAGTAGTAGGTATAATGAAGAGGTGTCTGGTTCAGTTGTAAACAATGTCCTATAGGAAATCCTACTGGAAATGTCCAATAGGCAGGTAGATAGTCCTAGACTTAAAGGACAAATCTGAACTGGAGATGTTGATGTAGATGTTTTGGATCAAATTATACACCCCCAGAATTGGTATGTTGTTAAGTCCTAACCTCACAATGTGGCTATATTTGGAGACAGCGTCTTTAATCAAATAGGTAAGGTAAAATGAGATCCCTGGGTTGGGTCCTAATCCCATATGAATGGAGTCCTCAGGAAGAGAGATTAGGACACTGACAAACACACAGGAAAGATCACATGAAGTCAAAAGGAAAAGATGGCCATCTGCAAACGAGAGAGAGAGGCCGCAGAATGAACCAACCCTGCCAACACCTTGACCTTAGTGTTATTTTCTAGAACTGTGAGAAAATAAATTTCGGTTGTGTTCTGCCCATATATACGGTATATATCATGACAGCTCAACCAAACGAATACAAGGAACACCATAATTAAGGTGAAAATTGAAACTGTGACGCTGGAAAATACAACCCAAAACGTGTGTAAGAGTTGAGAGCCCCAAGGCACAAGACAAAGGTCCCAAAGGAAGACTGAGGAAGGAGTGGCCAGAGACGAAAAGGCACCAGGGGTCTGTGTTGTCATGGAGGTCATGGGAACAGAGTGCTCAGAATGTGAACCATCAGCAGAGTCAAATACAGCAAAAACACCAGTAAATTGCAAATGAAATATAACTGACATGGCACAGATAATCTTAGAACAATGTCTGTAGAGCGGTGTTGACAGAATCCAGAGTGCAGTGGGTTAGGGAGAGGATGTGAGATGACGAAGCAGAGAATGCGGATATGGCCCACCACCAGGAGCTAAGGAGAGGAATAAGGTTGAGGAGGTCTACTATAGACCTTAGAATAGGAGAAGTGTTTGTTTCCAGGTGAAAAAAGAAATGGGTTCTAGAGAGCAGGAGAGAGTGAAGACGAGGGTAAAGAGAGATGGCCATGGAATAAGATCCTGGAGGAACGGGAAGATCAAAGGAAGGGCATGGATGGAAGAGTTGGCGTGACACAGAAGAAAACTGCTCCATCTTCTAAAATTGGAATAAAAGAAGTGAGGACTGATGAAGAGTTATGTGGATTTGCAGGAGTGGTAAACTGAGGAAGATCATTCTCAATCTTCTCAATTTTCTCGGTGAAGCTGGAGTAATTTCGCTAGCTGTCCGCTTTTTCTCTAGTGACATTTGATCTCTGGGGTTGAGAGGATCAGGGTTTTGCTGGGTAGGTTCACAGAAAGGAAAACCCTACAGAGATTTGAGAGTGCAAGTGGCTGATAGGTTCAGAGTCTTTTTTTTTTTTTTTGGCCATTCACCTCTGTCTCATCCTAACAGAAGGGACCATGAGTGAATCAGGTGAATTTTATGATGTAACAATTCTTTTGTTGCAAGAGGGCAGGAAAAAGAAGAAGGAATCAGAAATCAAGCATTTGTATAAGATGGAGAATCACTATCTGATATGCATACTCTATAATTCTGCATGAAGAACTTTAAAAAATAAAACTCAGAGTAGAATCCATTCTGTGTAAAACTGCTGTGTTAAGGTTATCTTTCATGCCTGCAGCCTTCCTTTCTATGTCTCTTTTCTTTTTCATGGACCTTTTACATCTTCAGGTCAGATATACTAATTCTATGTGGTAGTCATGATTAATTTATATTCCTTCCTAATAGAATGTAATGCATTAATAGCAATCATAGCTAACACTTTCGAGCACTTACTATGTGCCATGTGTTATGCTTCATGTTCACACATATTATAATAGTTATCACCCCAACTCCCCTATCAGGCAAATACTATCATTATCCCCATTTTACAGCTAATAAAATTGAGGCTTAACTAAGATTCACAGCACCAGTAATTGGTAGAGCTAAGATTCAAACCTGTGTCTATCTGAAGCCTCTATTCTACCTTTTAAAAGAGGAGAACTAGAGGAAAATGACTTACATAATGAGAAGCAGTGGTGAAATCAGAGAGATAGGAATGAAACAAAGCCATTTCTATCTATTCCTTAAAAAACCCAGCATAGGGGCTTTTTGACTATGGTAAGATAAACATGACGCTGAGGACAATCACAAGAACCTAATATTAAGAGACCTGGTTTGTTAACTTCTACATTTTAGTTTGATTTTTCTGCCTTTTGAGTTGTCCTGTCTTTCCATCTAAAAAATAAGAGTGCAAACTATAATTTGTATTAAATTACACATTTGCTTTGTATGTTCATCTCTTCAGGCTGAAAGATGTGATACAGCTCCCACCCCTCACTGCTCCATCTGCCAAAGTGCCCTGTCAATTTAGTTCTATAAAGCAATACAGCCAGAAAATTCTGTATATTTCTGAAAGAATCCCGGCAGTGAACTGCATCCCCTTTTAATTTCCCAAGGGAATTATCTGATTTGTATCAACTTTGATGTTTGAAATATTTTTGCTTCTTAGTCAAGGAAGGAAAAATGCAGCAGGATGCTAATAAAATAATTATAAGTACCAATTATCCAGAGTAAACCAAAACAACATTACACAAATACATGAACCTGTAGAAAAACAGCGGCATAGTGATAGAAATTAACTTTACCCCACATTTCTATGCATTGTTTTGAAGTTTATGTAATTTATGCCACAACCCTCATATTAGATTTTGAATTGGAAGAAATAAGCTTGCATTTCATTGTATTATACTGTAATACAGGGCTTAATAAGAGCCTGATAAATCTTAAGTATTGCATTACAATATGTTAATGATTATCATCATAGCTTTTCCAACACCGACACCACGGTGTCATCACAGATTATAATTTAAAGGAAACATTAGCAATTCAGAGTGCTCATATACTGTAGTTAATAAAGCAGTGAATAGAAATCAACTTTATAGGTAATTTACCAGCTAATGACAATTATTTCTATACTGTGTCACAGGCTTATGTGAGGAGAATAATTTTTTATGTAAATAAGATTGATGCTCATAGCATTATAACTTGTATACTGCAGCAACTCATCCAATACTGATGGCTGATAGTTTCTCTTAAGAAGTTAATTTATTGCCTGACAACACACAAAAAAATGCAGTATTTCATATTGCTCACTTCCCAGGGGTATTTAGCAAGTTGCCAACTACAACACAGAGTCCAAATTGTACTGGTAGGAAATAAGGTGATGAGACGTGATTCGCAATATATTGCGGTCAAGTGTTCCGTGGAAGTACTGCACGATTTATGACCATCTCAGAGCGCGAGGATTCTGCTGTGTCTGATGGAGTGGCTTAGAAAAATAAAGACAGATGGCAGTGTAGTAAATAATTACTTGATTGGAAGGTGACCACTGCAGGATTGCTTCCTGCCTTCAATTCAACTAAACTTCACCTGGGGTACGGCACATTGATTCATGTGAGCATTTACAGCTCTGAGTTGATTGACCAAGAAAGAATCATAATTTAATAATTAATAAAGAAAAGCATGCTGTGAAGTCAGAGGGTACACAATTCCTCAGTGGGTTTCCCTGCTCTCTCTTTTGTTGTCAGGTAATTGACTACTCTCTATCCTGAAGATTCAGACTGAATTTCAATTGTAGAATCCTGCCTATTTCTAAAAGACATGTTAAACGAGGGGAAAAAAAAAAGACTGGAAATAGACCATTTGAGGCAATCTTGACAACTAAATTGAATTTCAAAATAGTCACTGCAGTTGGTTACCATACAATCAATTTATAAAGCACTTGAAAATAAACCAACTACTGTTCAAGTGGTTTTGGCATTTGCATGAGGTTACAGCTCAGGCTTCACTCTTTGTTCTTCCTATGAGAACTGTTTGTGGGTATGTAGGAAGCCTTGGTTAGAAACTCACGCTCAACTGATAGATCCTGAAAGTCTATGCTTTTCTCCCCCATCATTAAAACCTCAGGGATTCTCTTAATCTTGGCATGAGAGAAAGCCAGGCTCTTACGCTCTCCCGAGCAGTATGGCTTTGTAAGTATGATATAATATGAAACTATCTAGTATGCAAGATTCAGAGTCGTACCAGTGCCCAGATGGTGGCCAGTTTCAGGGTAAGGAGCCCTTTCCTAATCTCTCCTTCTCAGGGTTAATCCCTCATGTCCTGCCTCTGTCAGGTGCCAGCCTGATCTGTACTGTGAGCTGCTCTCAGCCCCTCTTCTTGTAACTCTGTACAAGGCATGAACTCTCCTTCTTTCAAACATTGTCTTTTATACCAACACCCCTCCATGCATGCACACTATACCCACCCCCACCCCTGACAGCTCTTCATTTGTTTTTCTTCCTTTATAGAGATAACTGTGTCAAATGTATCCCACCACATGAAACAGAATTGACCTGTTCTTTTATTTCAGCAAAATATTCTTGAGTGATTGCAGTGACGGGCACTAGTGAGGCATGAACGCATCTAAGAATGTTTGAGAGGGAGTCTGGGAAGCCTAAACATAGGCTTTGGAATCAGATAGGTCTGGATTCAAATTCAATTACTCTCACGGGAATAACTGTAATACCTAGCTCACAGCTTTGTTGTTTTGGATTAAGGGATATGATGGCTGTGGAGTGTTTGGCATTGTACTTCACACAAAGTAAACTCTCAATAAGTGGTGGTAAGGAAATAGGACATAAGCTACCCTCCAGGAGTTTACAAATTAGTGGGGTTACAATAGACATGTATCTTAAAACTCTTTTCCATGTCACATAGTTTAGTTAGTGGAATAAATTTTGAAGAAGAATATTATTAAAATATGAAATGTTATAGAAATTGCTTGACTGAGAAATTTGAGGATGGTGTTTTTCAAAACATGCAGACTGGGTATTGCTTCATCAGGGAGATATTGGAAGTCAGAGCACATCACTGATGAAGGACCGTAGAGGGATGAACACTAGAATTGGAAACACAAAACTGGGGTCACCGGCTATGCAACCTTGGACAAATCACCTGAACTCTCTAAACCCAAGTTTCCTTCACAGTAAAATGGGGGGATGGGGGAACGGGGAGAATGTTATAGCTCTGCTTTCATTCTAGTACTTATGCTGGGATGAAATAAGACACTATTGGAAAGAGCATTGTGAATCCTAAATATCACAATGTAACAGTTGTGGTGATGGTAGTGGTGGTGGTAGTGGTGATGAAATGAGTGATTTTCAGTCAGCCTTATGGCAATTGTCACGTCTATCCACTCCTATCTCATTGCCTTATCTCTTTTGTGATTAAAGGCACACTTTTACAAGTCAGCTAGCCAGTGCTCCAATTGAAAGAAATGTTTTGACAAAGTCTACTCATGATTTCGCATGCAAACAGAGGCAAGCAGTAGGCCACATAGATAATGCAGGAGAATAGATAATCAAAACTTCATTTCTACTTAGCACTGAAAAGAGAAAAGGAGGGAGTGCGCAGAAGGGGGCCTTAGATCACCTATCAAGTGCATAATTAAGAATTAACTTTAATAAGAGTTTGCAAAATCACTTTGAGTGACCATACCACTGTGTGGATCTGAAAGTCCAAGACGTCCAAGCAGGCAGACTTTAGCCTTTAGAATGGACTCTGTCAACCTCTGTCTCTGTCGTCTTTGAGGAAACTGCTGAATCTGACTCGCTCACACAAAGTCTGGTTTTGTCTCGCAGGCCTGGGATTTTGCAGTTTGCTCTGTGCAGGATGGGCTTTGCACATACTTTCTGAGCACATTATTGGAGTAGCTCCCGGTTCACTTAGCCAGCCGAATCCTTACAAAGGAGAATTTATTTTTCCCCTCCTTTGTCCAAATTAGAGGACAAAAAACATGGCAACTAGTGGCCAATCACAGGGTATGCTAGAGCCTGCCAAGAAAAGAAAAGGAAAAGAATCCTCTGTCCAGTGCAAACTATGCAGTTGCCCCTAGAGGAACTCAGCAAATACTTGCTTTCCAGATGACTGCAAAGAATAGGTTACCCCACAGCCGACCCCTTGAAGCACCCCACAGAGTGGGCAACAGTTGGGGGGCCATCAGCCAGGACAGTGAAGCTGCTGCTCTCGGGCAGCCTGCCATATGTACCTGTATCCTTAGGGTCTTCTATTTAAAATGACAATTTGGAAGAGACCAAAGTTTTGGGGAATTAGCTTGGCATTACACCATGTACCTGAGTGTTTAGGTTCATCTGAGGATAAAGAGTTGGAGGTTAATAAAACAACTCTGAAATAATAGCAAGAAGCCAACAGCAGAAGGTCTTCATGTTGGATAGCATGTAGAATTTGGAGTCAAGCAGACTCCTTTGCACTGGAACCCTGTGATTTGCTGGGTGACATCAGACAAATTACCTAAACTTTCTGAGCCTCAGTTTCTTCACCTACAAAATGAAGTATAATAGTAACTTTCTCAGAGTTGTTTGGGAATGAATAATGTGCAGCATAGACCCTGGCACCCAAAGAAAGTACAGTAATAATTAACTTCTAAAATAACTCCCAGGCTTCTCAAAGACCTTGATTTGCTTTGCATGACTAAGCCCATTTCCAGAAGTCCAATAAATACAGTGCCTATAGAAATGCATTCATTACTTTGTTCTCTAAGGAGCAACAAAGCACCATGCAGGACCTATTGCTTATTCTTTTTGCAAAGCTAGGAAGTGGGAAAGGCGAGGGGTTATGATTTTCCATTTCACAGATAGGAAATCAGAGGCATAGAAAAAGTAAGTGACTTGCCCAATGTCACATGAAGCCAGCAGCAGAGCTGTAATTGGTTATGACCCCAGTGCAACACAGTGTATGTTCCCCTTTAGAAAGTCAGGCGTAAGCAACTCTTGTCTAAGCTTTAATGCCATTCATCTAATTTCTTAGATTTTTCTATAGCTGCTGATCTTGAGAACCTTTGAAGCTTTGGGGAAATCACATGGATGATTTGACCTTAAATCTCATGCCACTGGCAAAAGATTAATCGCTGGGACCTGGAAAGGGGCCAGACAATTCTGTGTAGCTGAATAACAGCACTGTCTAGGGATGTGACTGTCCTGACAGATTTAGTTAGTACATAATTGATAAATCTAGAGTTTGTATAGCTTCACTTCCCAGAAAGAAAAGGCAACAGTCTCCTAGGATTGACATTTACAGAAGCCCTTCCAGTGTTTTGTAACACTGAATCTAGGTTTTCTACCCTTCCTCCAAACCTAGCTCATTTTCTAAGGCTCTGTTCTCAGCAGGCAAGAAGATGAGGGGATCTGACAAGTCTCTCACCTTACCACTGTAAGCAAGAATGTCCATCAGTCTTTAGCACAGTCATATGACTGCCCTGATCCATGCGGGTTGAGGCCAGCAAGGGATGCAATGCATTACCTAGCAGCTAGGAACTTTCTGTCACCATCAGAATCCAGGAAAGATAAAAGGCATCCAGACCCAGTATCAAAGCTTGGAGAGTGAGTCTAAATCCTGGACAGGACATTTTATACAGCTTGACTCTTATTGCAGACTCAAGTGTCGTGAGGCCCTTTTTAGTAATGTGGACTCTGACAGGCGCACAGAAATGTCAGCTTTTATTTCTTTTGCTTTGGTCACTCACTCCAGAAAGTATTTTACTTATTGGAAAGACTTGGTGGTGGTAAATATTTTTCACTGTAAGTTTATTATCAGATCTGGTTCTCTTTCTTTAATTCTTGTTCTCTAGTTTTATGTTTCAATTCAGGAGTCAGTGCTGTGTGTATTATATACACCCAGCATACTTCTACAATTTTGTTACTCCCAGCTGTAAAATATCTTGGCCCGGTAGCTTAGATCAGTAAATCAGTAGCTTTCAGTGTACAAGATCTTACATACAGTGGATCTGGTATCTTGTTTTGCCAGTTGTAAATAAAGATGGCATTAAATATCCTCCTCCTTTGCCCTCACAAATAAAAAACTCAGTGTCCTCATGTATTATAACTTAACAGAGCCAGTTTTCTGAGCTAGTTGTTACTTTCTGAATACAATTTATTGATTCGTGTTACTTCTAAAAAACCATTCAGAAAAATCATATTATGCATAAATAATCATTTAATTGCATAGTCACACCATTTTCAATATTGAAATCATTAGTAAGACCGTTCCTGGAAACGTTGTTGTTTCGAGTTAAGTAAGTGATTTTTGTCTTCTTTCATCAGATGAATTAGAGAAATTAGAACAGGAGCGGCTGGCTTTGGAAGCCACCATCAAAGATAATGAAAGTGAAGAAGGAAATGGAGGCATCCGAGGCTTGTTTAAAAAAGCTGGCAAGCTGAACATTACTAAGCCAACTCCTAAGAAAGGTAAGTGCTTTTAAGATTTACAAGAAAAGTTACAAAATGAGCCAAAATGAATCTTCAGGGGTCAGTAGTCAATATCTAAGTTACTGGGGGCATTGTGTGTAGGTAAGGACTAAAAGACATTTCCTTAGAGAAGATAGTATGGCTAAAAGGTAGAAGCTATTGTCACTTATTAACAACATTCACCCCTTTGTATCATCTTACTGTAAAAACTCTCTGTTTTAAAATAATATTTAGTTTTGAAGATATATAGTGGTTAAGCAGATTGAATGCCATAAGAAGCAAAAAAAAAAAAAAGTTCTTAGTTAAGATGTAAAGGGGATAGAAGTTCATGACCTGATACTGAAACTGGTTTATCTATATACCCACACACCTTGCAGACATTTCAGGAGACTGAAAGTCGACTGTTACAGGAAAGTAAGGGATCCAGGTAGAATTCTAATATCAAAACTACATCTTTATCACAAACCAGAATTCTGGACTTGGAACTTCATTGACACTAATTACCTGCAGATTTTGGCTAAATGGTACACTTATCTCTGATTGTTCAGTGTACATCCCAGGAATAGAGGCCCACAGAATGAGACCTTGTTATAAGTTTTATAAACAGGTGATTCAAATGACTGATTTTTTTTTAAATTGCTCTCTTTACATAAACAGTTTTTTTATGAGGTCCATAGCGACCTCTGCTGGTAGAAAATTAGAATGTTAAGGTTCATTTCTTTCATGCACAAATAGTCTTGTAGTTCATGAAGTCCTTCACTGGTGTGAAGCCCAGGAAAGATCATTTCTTTGGCAAGGTCTCCAAGTCAAGTAGCAAGATCCAACCTGAGACTTAGCAGGCTGCTGGTCTAGGTTTATAGGAGACAATCTTTCAAAGAGGCCACTTCTTTACCTTGGAAAAGGTTTGGGTCAGTTTTCTTATTTTCCTACTATGACCCAAGGACCAAACTTAACCTGTAATACATTTTTGTACATCTACATAGCATTATGAGAAACCCAAACATTTCTCCCCTTCAAATACTTAGAGGTACCCTTGGGTGCCAGAAACATTTGATGGCCTAGGGGAGAACCTGCTGAGTATTACCTTCCTTAAAATGACATTTTCTAGGAAAATGATGTTTGAATCTTAAGTTGGAGGTACATCAAGTCTTTCCAGGTATAAATATTAGAATAAGACCCTCTGGATGCTAACTACTATCATCTTTCCTTTACAATTGTTTGGTGTAGTCATGAGAAGAATTAACTGCCCATTGAATCTGCTCTGTGAACAGAACAACCTGAGAAGCAATGGAAAATTCAGAAGTCATAGCCCATACTCTTCTCTAGCTAATGGAGAGGAGAGAAGTAATAAGGTCCTTATTAGTGAAAGTGGAACTTATTTATTCCAGAAAGCTGTTTCTGCATGACAATACTTTTGACAAAAACATACATCTCTGAAAGTTAACATGTCTCATTGTTCAGAAAAGTAAAATTATGTTATGTTTTTGTTTCAATGCCTAAATTTTCAAGCACAGCTCTGAAGTAGGCCCTGTTACTGCTCTGAGCTTTTGTCAGTTGAGGAGTCTTTGAAGTTCTAGATCAGGACTAAGCTCGGTCTCCAGGCATACAGGAGTCCTCTGGATGCTCTGATCTGCTTCTAAGTGGGGGCAGTTTGGTCCACTTGCTAAACATATTTACTTTCTCCTTTAGCAGTCCTGAGATAGAAACAATATGAGATAATTGCTTCAGAACTGACCAGCCCAACCATGGAAACAGCAAAAGACAGAACAAAGCATCCTGAGACCCTCTTAGATCAGAGAGAAAGCTCTAACGAGGCTGTCAGCTCTGCACTAAGCACGATGCTGACACTATCGCTTTGAAATAGAGCAATGAAGTCACAACTTTCAAAGACGTGGAAATGAGAAATAATACATAGGGTGTAGCAAAGAAACACCTACTGGAGAATAGGAATGAGGGTTCTGCTCAAACACTGCCCTGCTTCCCTGATACACTTTCCCTGTGTCCATGTAAGGGTGCAAATTACATTAAAACATTTGTAAGTACTTTATGTACACCCTTAACTGTAACTCAAGAAGAGGTAATTTTCATCCATATTTCCTGGCTTCTTCATCTCATTCGTAGAGATTCAAATAGCTCAAGAGGTTTTACCTTAGACTCACAAGATGCCAGGAAAAGAAAAGAGAAGAATAAGCCAGGCCTATGTTAGGACCAAAGGGTCATGGAGAGTTGAGATGCTCAAGGTCCCTGGCAACCTTTATAATCCAGACATTTCTGGAATTCATACCAAAGTTGTGCTCAAATGAACATATTGTCTAGCGAAGGAATACGTCTGATTCTTTTGGTTATCTCTAGAAAACCAATAACTACATGTTCTATTAATACTTTTAAGTACATCTGATATTGTAACCTGAGTTATATATGAAATTTAGGAAAATGAGGATATTTTGGATTTTGTATCAGATAATTTAGCATTGCAACATGTCTAAATAATAATTCTGCACTGAGACAGATTACTAAGGATCTGAAAAAATTTACTACTCTATAATAAAAACTGTAATCATAAGATCAATATCAAATTTTTCTTAACTATGGAAGGTGATCTAAATTATTGTGGGATTTGACCTTTATCTTTTCTTTTGTGGAGAATAGGGCTCACTCTTTTCCCAAAAGTATAAAAAACACAAAGTCATGACCCTTCTTCTATTTTCCTGAATAGATTTATTGGCAAGTTATTTTGTTTCTTTCCTCAAAAGACAAATGAATGTACTACTTTCTCTTTCGTTACAGATAGCGGCATTAACACAATCCAGTCAATGCACGTTGGGGAGTTCAACCAGAAACTGGTGGAAGCCAGCACCCAATTTAAAAAGAAGCAGGGAAAAGGCACAATTGATGTTTGGTGGTTGTTTGATGATGGAGGTAAAAAATTCCAGAATATACACTAGAGAGCAGAATTTCTTGTTGATAAATTTAAGAAACTGCATGGGAAGGTATATGAAAATGGTATCAGTTAAAGAATAACATTTCCGTGTTCTCTAAAGATTTAAATTATTTAGGAGCTATGAGTGTGGGAATAAATATAGATATAAAGTTATTCGTTTCCTTTCAATTGGATATGCTCATCCTTTCTGTCGTAATTTACTCTTTTTTTTCAGGGTTAACACTCCTTATTCCCTATATCTTGACTCTCAGAAAAAAATGGAAAGACTGTAAATTAAGAATCTATGTTGGAGGGAAGATCAATCGCATTGAAGAAGAAAAAATTGCGTAAGTAATTTATCACTTGTTGAAGGATTTTGGATGTTTGTTGCTTGAATGCTTTACTTTTAAAAAACTTTAAGTATCTTTGAGGCACAATAAATTTAAAGACAAAAAGTCACCACGCTAGCTCTGAGGCTGCTTGGTTTCTGTCAATAAATTATCTGAGTAATTTTCCTAATCATTGTCTTCAAGTCCTTTTATCCCCTTCCACAAATGCTTTCAATAAGCATTTGGCATGGAAGCCCATCTCAAGTCTTCATTGAGAGCATCATTATCTTGTATAATGTTTATTTTGTTCTGACTAGTAAATGCATCCAAGAAAGGAAGAGCCTGAAGGCATCTGTGTCCAAATTCTGTCCAGTTTCTTCTGGGAGATTCAAACCTGTTAATTCGAGGCAGTCCCTCTAGCCTAGCACACTTGGAAGAAAACAGAGAGACAGCACCCTGTCCAAGCCTCAGCTCTGCCACTGACAAGATGCAGGACTTTGCAACAGTTACTGTACCTATCTGGGTCCCCCAGTTTTTCACTTGTAGTTTGAAAGTGTTTAAATGGGTGACTGTTGGTAACTCTTCTGATTAAAATAAATAAATAAGCCAAGTTCCATGGTGCTAAGTCTGTTCCTTTCTTATTTATTTAGTCATGGAGAGTGGATCTCTAGTTGTGAGAGCAACAAGCATGCCAAGAGTGTGGTGCATCCAAAGATCTCTGGAGAAAATCTGGAGAATAACTTTTGGCAGCCCGTAGTCCCTCATGGCATGCCTAAGTCCTAGCCCTTTCTGGAATGGCTGCTTTCAGAAGTCACAAAATAATGACTGGCTCTTCAGTTCAGTTCAGTTCAGTTCAGTCGCTCAGCTGTGACCGACTCTGCAACCCCATGGACTGCAGTGCGCCAGGCTTCCCTGTCCATCACCAACTCCTAGAGCTTGCTCAAACTCATGTCCATCAAGTCGGTGATGCCATCCAATCATCTTGTCCTCTGTCATCCCCTTCTCCTCCTGCCTTCAATCTGTCCCAGCATCAGGGTCTTTTCCAATGAGTCAGCTCTTTGCATCAGGTGGCCAAAGTATTGGCACTTCCGCTTTAGCATCAGTCCTTCCAATGAATATTCAGAACTGATTTCCTTTAAGGTGCTCTGGTTGCATCTCCTTGCAGTTCAGGGGGCTCTCAAGAGTCTTTTCCAACACCACAGTTCAAAAGCATCAATTCTTCAGCTCTTAGTCATTTTTTCACATTGTCTCCCCCTTCTTAGAAAGTTATTCAGTTCAGTTCAGTTCAGTTCAGTTCAGTCACTCAGTTGTGTCCGACTCTCTGCGACCCCATGAATTGCAGCACACCAGGCCTCCCTCTCCATCACCAACTCCCAGAGTTTACTCAAACTCATGTCCATCGAGTAGGTGAGGCCATCCAACCATCTCATTCTCTGTCATCCCCTTTTCCTCCTGCCCCCAATCCCTCCCAGCATCAGGGTCTTTTCCAATGAGTCAACTCTTTGCATGAGGTGGCCAAAGTACTGGAGTTTCAGCTTCAGCATCAGTCCTTCCAAGGAACACCCAGGACTGATCTCCTTTAGGATGGACTGGTTGGATCTCCTTGCAGTCCAAGGGACTCTCAAGAGTCTTCTCCAACACCACAGTTCAAAAGCATCAATTCTTCGATGCTCAGCTTTCTTCACAGTCCAACTCTCATGTCCATACATGACCACTGGAAAAACCATAGCCTTGACTAGACGGACCTTGTTGGCAAAGTAATGTCTCTGCTTTTTAATATGCTGTCCAGGTTGGTCATAACTTTCCTTCCAAGGAGTAAGTGTCTTTTAATTTCATGGCTACAGTCACCATCTGCAGTGATTTTGGAGTCCCCCAAAATAAAGTCTGACACTGTTTCCACTGTTTCCCAATCTATTTCCCATGAAGTGATGGGACCAGATGCCATGATCTTAGTTTTCTGAATGTTGAGCTTTAAGCCAACTTTTTCACTCTCCTCTTTCACTTTCATCAAGAGGCTTTTTAGTTTCTTACTTTCTGCCATAAGGGTGGTGTCATCTGCATATCTGAGGTTATTGATATTTTTCCCGGCAATCTTGATTCTAGTTTGTGCTTCATCCAGCCCAGCGTTTCTCATGATGTACTCTGCATATAAGTTAAATAAGCAGGGTGACAATATACAGCCTTGACATAGTCCTTTTCCTATTTGGAACCAGTCTGTTGTTCCATGTCCAGCTCTAACTGTTGCTTCCTGACCTGTGTATTATTATATATATCTAATTCCTCTTAAAGAAAATTATACTAAAATGAAAACTAACATGAGGTCTACAATAATTTATATTTTCTTAAAACCTCCAGTACCTTATTGATACAAGTGATGAAATTTGAAAATGGTTGATGGATAAGACAGGAGCAGGGCATCCATGTTAAATTTCTTGATTTCAGAAACTGTACTCTGTTTATAAAAGAGAATGTCCTTGCTCTTAGGAAATATTAACTGAAGTACTTAGAGGTAAAGGGGTTTGATATCTGCAACTTACTTTAAAATGGCTAATAGGTAGGACATAGAAAGCCAGCAAGCAAAAAAGATATAGACAGAGAAAAAGAGAATGACAAATCAAATGGGGCAAAACATAAACAACTGGTGAATCTGAGTTTTCTTTGCACCACTCTTATAATATTTTGTAACTTTGAGATTATATCAGAAAGTTCAGTTGCTAGGGGGAAAACTTTTAATCTACAATGATGTGATATATAATAATTATTGGTTTGTCAGTAAATTGTCAGTAACTCTATAGACATTATCAGCAATCATCAATAAGGATTGAGACTTGTTCTCTTTTTCCCAAATGATAAGGAAGAGTGGACAGTGCCACAACCGTTTCTCTGAAACATGAATGCAGAGCTGGGCTTGCTGTTTCCAGTGACTGCACCTACAGAAATTTCTCTTTGCCTTTGGCGGAATAATTTGGTCCACATTTATCCATATTCATCAAGTACTACAATGGAAATCAAATACTAACCAAAGCCTTTGTCCAAAAACTAAGCTGAAATAAGACATGATTGCTTTTGATGTCTTAAACACAAAACTCTTTGATTGAAAATAGTTAAATATTCAATGATGAAGCGTTTCTGTCTTGTATTTTCAGAATGGCTTCCCTTCTGAGCAAATTTAGGATAAAATTTGCAGACATCCATGTCATTGGTGACATCAACGTTAAGCCAAACAAAGAAAGGTATGAAATATTTAACAAGATCCACTGTTTATCCGTGGTAAACTCTCTCCTCTTTTGTGTTGATTATTAGAAGGTTAAAGCGTTACAGGTTTACTGCTGTGACTTCCTGATACGATGTCATAAAAGGGGATTTTATTTTTTATTTTTATTTTTTTTAGCCTATGAAAATATTTTTATTCCTAGTTTATATTTTGTAAGATATTTGACAATGTACAAAGGAAACCCAGTTCTAGGTGGTGATTATTTTGTATTATGATTTATTTACAAAAGTTCACCACGTTATAGTAACTATGCTTATAAAAGGGGATTTTAAATAATCATGACACAGAGCTATCAGGTTCTAACGGAAGGTAAAGTTTTTAAGGTGACGATGAGCTTGAGAAGAAGAACTGCGGAAACATTGTTTAGTTAGCATTTTAGAATTGCCTTTCACGTTATGCTTTCTATGGTGGCAACAGTGCTCAGAAAATTCTGACCTGAGCAGTCAGGGTAAGTTTACATCATTTAAAGTTACTGGTGGGGCATCCTGAATGGGAAGCCTATGAGAGCCCCCAAAGGGGATTTCTTAAACTATCTGAAGCCTGGCAAGGAAAGGTATTGGTTCCAAAATTTTAAAATGAAAAAAAAATTGAAATAATTGTTTAAATGCCTTCAAAACAGCATCATTTTAACCTCATTATTTTTTAAATTTGTTAAGTCCATCATATTTGGAAACAATTTGTAGGTTAGATCTTCACAGAAGTTTCCAGAGGTGTAAGAAGATTGTCTGGAAATTACAACCGATCGTAAATTAAAATATTTAGAGCAATGACTTCACAATTATAAAATATTTTCAATAGTTTACAGTTCAAAATCATGTTCAGTGTTGCATCTGTATGCAGTTTAGTACACTTGATTTGGTGTGGCATGGGTTCTCCAAGGGTGAGAACAGGAGACACAAAGGTCTCAGTATGGCATAGGTCCTTGCTAGACTCTGAGACCTCTCCTCATTTCTGTTGACCACCATTTCTCCTTCCTCCTGTAGTTCTTGATGAGTTGCAACTCCACATTCCTCAAACCTTGCTCTATCCTTCTTCTGATTCATTGTTATTGCAGATGAACTTAGTAACTAACCGAAAATTATCCAGATTTAAGATGCATTCTTATTGACCAAATGGCAACCCTGAACATTACGTCATTTGAGGGTATTCATGATTCCTCTAAGGCTATGGGTCAGTCAAAACAGCTTTACAAAATGTCATCATTTGAGGGTATTCATGATTCCTCTAAGGCTATGTGTCAGTTAAAACAGCTTTACAAAATGTCTTAACTGCAATAAGAAAGCTAGAATTGACAGGGTTGACCTGAATTATTATGATGTAATATTTCCTTATATCATAAATACCACTAATGCCTTTCATTCCTATATTTCTACAGTTATAAAGTTAAGAAAAATTAAAAACAGATTTATTATTCTCCTTGGTAAATGGAATTAACATTTTTATATGAACTAAGTTGTCATGCAGTAACCTCTGGTAGCCTTGAACATTTCATTTGAAGAATTTTAATTCCTAAGTCATTGCCCCTTGGCACTTACAGTGATATGATCAAACGGGCTTATCTTATATCTCTAATTAGAGGAAACACATTCTCTTCCAGAACACAGCAGGTACAATGATTCCCCAGTATGTGCCACTTAGCACCAGACCACAGCCTGCCAGCTCTCTGCCAGTACGGAACCATTCTCAGTTTTCTACAGCATAGTTGAGGAGGAGAAGGGGGCAACAGAGGATGAGATGGTTAGACAGCATCACCAACTCAATGGACATGAGTTTGAGCAAACTCTGGAGATAATGAAGGACATGCTGCAGTCCATTGAGGTCACAAAGAATCGGACATGACTTAGCAACTGAACAACAACAAGAGCATAGTTACAGTGTCCCCTACTGAATTAGGATTCTCTATAAGCCCTGGCTCAGTGCTGGCCACAGATCAGTCACCTGCTTCTTGTAACTGAATTCTTCTCGCTGTTATTTGTCTTAGCAACAGCTAAGGACTGTCTGTGCTTGCTGGTTAAATTGTTTCTATATCCTTTGCCTCTTTACCCATCGATATGATTTTCTCTACCCGAGTCTCTGTATCCTTCCCTCTGTTTTGTACTAGTCTCTGCCCAGCAGCCATGGTCACCTGTATACCCATCCTTTCTATTCTACCACTGAGGATGTTGATGCATCACTAACCATGCCTCTTCCTTCTTTGGGTGTCCATCACAGCCTAGACCCTCTTCATCTTCGTACCCCTGACCTTTATTCCATGGTTTCCTCTGCTCAAGGAGAAAAGTTTATGCATAGTCACAAGAAACAAAGGACCAAGGTGTTTGTACTTTTGTCCTGGTATCTAAAGTTGACTTTAGATATCATTCTGACTTGGTGTTTCTTACATATGCTCTGCATCCTACAATGAAGAGATCTATTTCCCTTTCTCAGGAAAAAAAATTAATTCATTTTCACAGTTCTGGAGATTTTCTCTGTGATATTTCAAGATCTTGAAGATGCAAGGAAAAAAAATTCTTACCGGAATAACTGCAGTTAATGTATCCTGATATGAAGACAGAAGGCCACCAAGAAGAGGTGTGCTAGAAGTGCCATCCTTCTCTTTTCAGTTTCTGCTGTAACTGATGCCATGTTACTTCATAAAACAGCCACATGTCTGATGCTGGCAATGCCTTTTCCAGTATTTGAAGATAAATTTTAGAACAGAAAATGGTCATTCAGTAAATCTCACAAATGGCCACTTCCCTGGTGACTCAGATGGTAAAGAATCCATCTGCAATGCAGGAGACGCAGGTTCCATCCCTGGGTCAGTAAGATCCCCTGGAGAAAGGAATGGATACATACTCCAGTATTCTTGCCTAGAGAATTCCATGGCCAGAGGAGCCTGGCGAGTACAGCTGATGGGGTTGCAAAGAAATGGACATGACTGAGTGACTAACACTCTCACACTTGACCACATCTGGAATCTTTGTGATAATTTTTAAAAGGCAAATCCTCTGAGTGGTTTAATAAGAGAAATAGAACTCTTCAGTGGCCTGATGCAACCCCAGGCCCAGAGCCCAAAGCTTACAACGCTGGATCAACTTCAGCTTTCACAGGGGCCTTATGGCTAGACAGCCCTAAGGCCCATTAACAACCATCTCCTGACTGCTATTCTTCCTTGATCACTCATTTTCACACAATGTTAGAAATAGTTCACCATCAATGATTTCCATGTTGGAGGCTAATGTTAAATGTCCTTCAACTGCCTTCAATAGATCTTTCAGCTACTCGTAAAACATGAGTATATCTTGATGGAGACATTCTATCATAGAAACGTTATCTATAAATATGGCAGAAAGTGAAGAGGAACTAAAAAGGCTGTGATGAAAGTGAAAGAGGAGAGTGAAAAAACTGGCTTAAAGCTCAACATTCAGATAACTGGGATCATGGCATCTGATTCCATCACTTCATGGCAAATAGATGGTGAAACAGTGTCAGACTTTATTTTTTTGGACTCCAAAATCACTGCAGATGGTGACTGTAGCCATGAAATTAAAAGACACTTACTCCTTGGAAGGAAAGTTATGACCAACCTGGACAGCATATTAAAAAGCAGAGACATTACTTTGCCAACAAGGTCCGTCTAGTCAAGGCTATGGTTTTTCCAGTGGTCATGTATGGACATGAGAGTTGGACTGTGAAGAAAGCTGAGCATCGAAGAATTGATGCTTTTGAACTGTGGTGTTGGAGAAGACTCTTGAAAGTCCCTTGGACTGCAAGGAGATCCAACCAGTCCATCCTAAAGGAGATCAGTCCTGGGTGTTCCTTGGAAGGACTGATGCTGAAGCTGAAACTCCAGTACTTTGGCCACCTCATGCAAAGAGCTGACTCATTGGAAAAGACCCTGATGCTGGGAGGGATTGGGGGCAGGAGGAGAAGGTGATGACAGAGGATGAGATGGCTGGATGGCATCACCGACTTGATGGACATGAGTTTGAGTAAACTCTGGGAGATGATGATGGACAGGGAGGCCTGGTGTGCTGCGATTCATGGGGTTGCAAAGAGTTGGACACGACTGAGCGACTGAACTGAACTGAAGGGTGAAAGGGAGTAAAAAGCTAAGTTAATGAGAAAACAATTGGGCCAGGGGAAACTGAAAAGCTCTTGTGGTTAAATTTCTTTTTTTATTGTATAGGCTGAATAAAAGTCATAGGCCAAAAAGATAGCAATCATTAAACAGAAATCAAAGAGAAACTGGAAGCAATTAACTAGATAATTTAGTTTAAATATGCTAGTGTGATCACAAAAGCAACAAATACATTAATGTGCGAGAAGAAATTTTATATGAATTTTAGGGGAAATTTTTATGCAGTTTAACCTTGTTATTACGAGGAACAAGGATGGGAAAGGCAAGAAAGCTATAAGTAAATTTTTTTAATTGAATTAATTCTCACTTATATTTAAGTCGAACATGACTGAGCGACTGGACTGAACTGAATAAAACTATTCTAGAATCAATTTTAAGATATAATAAGAATGATCATGGGCTTCCCTAGTTTCTCAGTGGTAAAGAATCTGCCTGCCAATGGAGGAGGTTCAAGAGACTCAGGTTTGATCCCTGGGTCAGGAAGATACCCTGGAGAAGGAAATGGCAACCCACTCCAGTATTCTTGCCTGGGAAATCCTATGGACAGAGGAGCCTGGCAGGCTACAGTTCATGGAGTCGCAAAACAGTTGAATACAACTTAGCAACTAAATAACAACTGAAACAATAATAATGACCAGATTTAATAGAGAATCAAAATAGAAACCTAAAATGACCTTTGGACCACCAAGCTATGAGCCACTCGTTGTGGTCAGTGAAATGCTAGATCAAGCTTGCCTGGCTTATGTGCCCAATTTAGCCAATCTGGCTGGCAAAAGGGATAGAATTGTGCTGACTGGCTGATATTGAGGATAGAGTCATTCCCATCCAAACTACAATGGAGAAACACAGTACGGCTGCCTGGGAGGACAAGCAAACAATCTTTATTCCACTTTCCATTTCTTAGGAAACTATTTTTGAAGTGCTCTTTCCAATAAGCACCTGGACTGAGATGCAAATAAAACTCTTATCCCTGATCAAAATAATTGTATGTAAAGCTTAAACAGAGAAACCGTCAACTGCTAACCTCAGTCCTATGGTTGTTGAGTAAAATGAATGTCTTGCTTTTACAGGGCACTGCATACTTTTCAGAGTATGGTCATCCAAATCATCATACTAACACTTGCATCAGTCTCACACCAGCTCTGAGCAGCCATTGTTACCCCTGTTATAGGCAACGTTATGTAGGTCAAGGAGGACAACTGAAGAATGGGAGCAAGAACACAGGCTCTTCTCTCCTAGGCCAGCACCTCTGCACTGATGACCACCAAGGTCTCTAAAAGCACAGCAATGTTGGGAGGAATAGCAGATAAAAGCATTGCATGCTTGAAAGAATAATTGGGCATATCAGTCCTGTTCCTTCCCAGTCGTTGTCTACCATTCTGAATAAGTCAAAGCATCAGAAATCTACTGCATTAAGTATCTCTTCAATCTGTTAACAGCAGCACACTGGTAGGAACAAACTACTCCTTAGTAACCTCTGTACTTGCATCTGCAGGTCCTAAATCAGGAAAACTGATAAGACCACTCAAATCATCATGCTAAGTCACTTTAGTCATGTCTGACTCTTTGTGACCCTGTGGATTGAAGCCCTCCAGGCTCCTCTGTCCATGGGATTCTCCAGGCAAGAATACTGGAGTGGGTTGCCATGCTCTCCACCAGGGGATCTTCCCAATCCAGGGATCAAACCCACGTCTGTTACATCTCTGCCTTGGCAGGCAGGTTCTTTACCACTTGCACCATCTGGGAAACTGAAATCATTGCTTCATGCTTTAATTCCTTAACCTATAAGCACATTAATCCTAGTTATCATTCATTCCAAAGTTATTAAGTTTTAAGTAAGCCATGATATATAAAACCAAAGGAAACTATTTATATTTGAGATCATCTTATAGTAGCATAGGGAAGACAACTACTCCTATAAATTACATTTTGTTTTGTGCTATCATTTTAAAAATAAATCTTATGAGATTCTTATGACAGACAAGAATGAGATTTTTCAGCAATTTTTAAAAAGTTCTACAGTTCTGAGATACTGCTCCTAATTTTCTAGTCAATGATTTTTTCTTAATTGCTCTAAAATGGCTTCAGATTTTAAAATGTTATTGATTTTTGTTCTTTCCTCTAATATGCACCTGAACAATAGCCATTTGAACAACTCAGGCAGCAACATCAAACAGCAGAAGGACAAAGGCAGCATTATTTACAGCAAACATTCAGATTGTTCTATAGCCATTAAACTCACTCACTTACTATTTTCCAACCTACCCACAGCCTCCTGCCATAAGGTGGGAGCTGCCAATGTGGGCTAAAGGTGAGGAGGGTGACCCTATCCAACTCAGGGACGCTGGTTCATCTCCTACATTAATTCGTGAACATCTCCCATAGAACCTGTAAAATAAGCAAATGGAAACTCATTTACGGGCTAACGTGTCTACATTAAAATTGTGCCTTTGACTGTACGATGTAGAACATGTAATTGCAGAGTAATTACCATCTATGTGTTTGTGTGTTTATACTGAGGACTTATTAATAATACCTAGTAGGCTATCAGGGCTTCATACCCTTAAGGTCTTTCCTTGGGTAGGGAAGCACTACGATAGCCATGGTTTTACTCACTGTCTCCTGCAAAGGTAATTCTTAGAAGATTTGCATGACATTCAGCTCTGATTCTGCAGCCAGCATACCTACTCACACCTGGAGTATCTGTGAAATAATGAGTTAGTTTCCCACTATGAGGCCTCTTTTATAATTCCAATTTCAGCTGGAAAGTCTTTGAAGAAATGATTGAACCATATCGTCTCCATGAAAGCTGCAAAGATTTAACAACTGCTGAGAAATTAAAGAGAGAAACTCCGTGGAAAATTACAGATGCAGAACTGGAAGCAGTCAAGGAAAAGGTAAGGACTTTTCTTCCTTAATCTTTACTTTGCTATCTAACTAGCTGAAAAAGAAAACAGTAGTTGATTTAAAGATCAAGAAGTAATGTATCTATTATAGAATTTCATTTATTCACGATCTCGGGTTTCTGCATATTTCAAGTCCTTTTTCAATCCTATTATTGAAAGTGAGGATTTAGAAAACTGCTTTCATTTTTTAGTATAAAATCAAGTTTTTTAAGTTGAAAACAGGCTATTGATACATATTGTGAAGTCTTCTTTCCAATTTAATTTTATAGAAAAGGAGACAGACCCATCAGACTAAAATAATTTCAGTCAATACATATGCAAAGTAAATATAGATTGCTCACAGTTTGACACAATAAAGAATTTTAACCTGATAAAATTAGCTATAAAAACTTATATTGGGATCTAAGAAAATCTGTAACTGGAACAATGAATATGCAAGTTGAATCTAGAACATCTTGTAGGATGGATGTGAAATGGTGAGCTTTTCTAGAGAACCCAGTAAGATGGAAGTTACCTGCCTCTGGCTTGAACTGAATGGAGTTGCAACAGTGAGGATGATGAAGAGGGCAAGGACAGAAGACTAAGGCAGAAAGACTACCATCTGAATTAGATTAGACATTCAAAGAAAAGGACCTCAAGAAGCTCTAAATTACAAAATTCAAATAAGGCATATTAGGAGCTGAAGTTGGAACAGATTAGAGCAGGAGATATTAAAAGGCTTTCAAACTTAGTAGAAAAAATACTGAGCTAAGAATCATAAACTTTGTGCAACAAAGTGCCTGGTTCTAACAAAAGCTTTTCATATAATTGAACAAATCACTTATCTAAGCCTTGGCTTCTGAACCAGTGAAATGTAATAATAAATATTACTCTCATCACTGCAAAATAGTTAATGTAGTTATTTTTCCAAATGAGTCTTTTGGTGACTCTTTCATTGAAACCAGTCTCCTGTGCTGGTAAAAATCAAAGAGTTTAAAGCAAGATTAGACTAGGGTATATTCTATGTTCTTAGCATACCAAATTAGTATCAAGATTAGGTTAGGTTTCTTCCACTGCAAACCTGTTCCGCAGCACTGGCCATTCTTGTCTTTTTACTGTTATCCATGTTGCTTGCTTGTCTTTTTCTTCTAGAATTTAATAAGCCACTATACTTCAGTGGGGTTTCCCAGGTGGCTCAGTGGCAAAGAATCCACCTGCCAAAGCAGGAGACACGGGTTCAATCCCTGGGTCAGGAAGATCCCTTGGAGAAGGAAATGGCAACCCACTCCAGAATTCTTGCCTGGGAAATCCCATGAACAGAGGAGCCTGGCATGCTGCAGTCCATGGGATCACAAAGAGTTGGACATGACTTAGCAACTTAGCACATAGCACAATGGTCTTATTCTTTATATTTCTAATATTTTCCATGAGTTTCTAAAACACTGTAAGTTTCCAAACCTGAACGAAAAGGTTTGTTTTTTTTTTTTTAAATGAGGCTTTCCTACTTGTCTATAATTAGAGGAAAAAAGATAAATTCTCATTCATAATTCTGGGAAACTGCCCTCAACAAAATCTGAATGTTGTCCACAGAGTTACCGCCAAGTTCGACTGAACGAACTCTTACAGGAGCACTCAAGAGCTGCTAATCTCATAGTCCTGTAAGTATCATTGCAGACATTTAAGACTGTTACAGAGAAATCTCAGGTACGTGGGTTAATCAACATAAAAGCTCAAAACTATTCAGGTGGAAAGTTAAATTTGGAACATGTGGGAAAATAAATACCACCCCAAGAAATTGGGGCCCACGGGCTTTAGAGGGCTCCATATAGACTTTGCTCCAGACATGCCCCACCGAAAGGGCCTTGACACATGCCCACCTAGAACCCTCATTCCCTGTCTAGACCTCACTCTAGGAACCTGACCCTGGAATTCCCTGCCAATTAAGCCCCAAGTTGGCCAAGGTTCACAGGCCCCTTCCCTGGATAGCTGCTCCTGAGGTGTGGAGTCCATGGCATGTTCTCAAGGCTCCTTACCACGTGGGAAGAAGCCAGGCAGGAGAAAGAAGAGTGAGCGTTTCCATTTCCACTCTTGGTCCTCCACCCCACAAATATTAGGGGTATACCTGCTGGAAATATGAACGCTTATCTAGAGATTCACTGCTAAACATGAAAGCCAGCAATTTCACATTTATACCTCATTATCTAACTCCTAGGTACAAGGGCAAGTATGTCTTCAAGCAAGGTCTACACTGGAAGACTATTCATCTAAGAGATAGACTGGTCTCCTGAGTTGAGTGATAGAACCCAAGTAGCTATTTCTCCCAAATATAATAAGAGCTTTAAACTATTAGGAAAAATCATTTTCCTCTCAGAAAAATGGGGAAAGGTATTGGTTGATCAAATTTTCTATTTAAAATCTATTTATGCTTTGCCTCTATTCTAATGGGGTTCCCTGGTGGCTCAAATGGTAAAGAATCTGCCTGCAATGCAGGAGACCCAGGTTTGATCCCTGGGTCGGGAATATCCCCTGGAGAAGGGAATGGCAACCCACTCCAGTGTTCTTGCCTGGAGAATCCATGGACAGAGGAGTATAGCAGGCTACAGTCCACAGGGTGGCAAAGAGTCGGACATGACTGAGCGACTAACATTTTCACTTTTCACTTTCACACTTTCTATTCTATTACAATGTCCAAGTCTATGTTTCTGGTTTGCAAATATTTGTATTATCTGAGAAACATCTCAGTTTAACATCTATATTCAAAATCATTTCAGTGCTTTCATTTTGTGGAGGAGGCATATATAAGGTTTAGGCTACTTGTTACTATATAGCTCAGATAGCTAATGATGTTACTGTTGGTACTAACTGTCATGTTTGTTCTTTACTTTTCTTCCATGCTGTCAGGAGCCTTCCAGTGGCAAGAAAAGGATCTATATCAGATTGGTTGTACATGGCTTGGTTGGAAATCCTCACGAAGAACCTCCCTCCTGTCTTACTAGTTAGAGGAAATCACAAAAATGTCCTGACATTTTACTCTTAAAAGATCTTTATCCTTAAAGGATTAGAACACATTTTAATTTAATGGATGAATAATTAGGAAACAAGTTCCAGTACCTTATGTTGTAAATGTGATCTGTGGATATTCAAACCTAGAAGACTATCCTATAGGCTTCCAAGTAAATTCTGCCATTTTTAAATTATTACTTAATGGGAACTATTTTTTTTTATCAGTTTAAGGGGGTGTCAAAGCCAATGCTACCCCTAGAAAAACGTCTTGTCAATGCTATTTAAAAACATGAAAATTAAGCAAACATATGCTGTTTTATTATGCCCATGAAAACTCAATTTATCGTAAGCTTTTCCAGGCACACCTAATCTTTGGTTTGCTTCTAGGGCCTGGTAGAAGCCGCACAGCAGTTTCTCATTAAATGCTTATTGACAGACTGGTATAGTAACCATGGGTGGTTATCAAAGGAAAAGACCAATTGGGCAGGAAACATGATTATACTTGGTCTTCTGAGAAGCTTACACTCACAAAGAAGATTTGAAAATCAATAACTAAAAACTTTAAGAGGTAACCTGAGCCTCCACAGTGTTTAAAACAGTTACCTAAGTAAGGTTATTTAATATAACAGATTATATACTTAGAGTGATCTGAGCAATTGCTGATAACATACAGCTTCAATTTGGGGCTGACTGAAAAATATATTAGCTGAAAGAGGAAGCAAAATATATTCTGATTAAATATGCCATATATTCTGTTCTTAATATATAAATTTTAATTGCTTTCCCTACTAAATATTTAGACATTTTATTACTTTGAATATTTTTTTCTAATTAAGTGGTTAGCATAGATGAAGTCTTCATAGATATCTAATTGGAAACCAAACATCACACATTTTCAAACTGTTATAAAAAAATATATCCTGAATCATATTTTTAGTTACTTTATATTAATGATTGTAGAGAGTTAAAAGATAATTAAAATTTGATGTAGAAAAATTTGCAAATTTGGGATATATGAGTATTGATTTTTTTTCATTTGTTAGTACTCATACAATACTTAATCACATTAAAAAGTACCAAAATTTTTTTCTGATGGACGTGTTGATTATTTTTCCCTGACATATTGTGACTGTTTATTGTAACTGATAAAAAATATGAGGGGGAAAAGTCAACCTGAAATAAAAGCACTCAAATTCATTTGCTCTGGTCTTGTTTTTTCCTTTCAGTCACTAAAATCACACTGCAATGGTGTTATCAGATGTGAGCCTGGAAATTTTAATCAGTTGCCTCACTCATTTGTAGGTTGTTTAAAGCTGGGATTCAAGATTAGGATTTCAAGTCAGACTCTGGCCTCAGAAGGACGACTAGGGAGGGAAAAGGGAAATAGCAAAGCGTAAGAAGCAGGATATCTGTATTCCGAATCTGACACCATTGGACTTAACTCAGGCCTGAGTTAACCCTCTCTCTTGAGTCCTCTGTACCTGAAATTCAAATGGTTAGATGCTGTCCCGGCGACCAGGACAAGGAGCACCCAGCTTTTCATCTGGGCCCTGACACTTCTCAGAAACACTTGAGAGGGTCTCTGGAAACAGTGAGAAGTCATGTGACTCCTATAACAGGAAATTCTGATTCTTGTTTCTTGGAGAAGCTGTTGCATGTTAGGTCCCTTGGGAAACAGAAAGTTTAGCATGGAGCATGTTTATTAAGGAGTGCTGTCGGAAGGAAGGAGGAGAAAGCAGGAAGGATTAGGGAAAGGTGAGCTGAAATGCAGTCCCAAGCACAGCCTCAGTGACCCCACCGGGAGCTCTGGAGACAGGTGCATTCAGAGTAGTCCCAAGGAGGTCTGAGAGGGCCAGACCTTTATACTCCCACATACATCAGTCACATACATCAGTCACTGAAGGTGGGTGGCCCTAGGAAGGGGTATGAACCTGGAAGTGGCAGTCTCTGCAGCTGAGCCATCCCAAAGGGCTGGACAGTTGAAGTCTGTCTGCTGACAGCACTCCCAGATGCTGAGACAATAGGGCCTTTATTAAACAGGGTCTGGGTGAGGCATCACCATGCCGACTGCAGGGGTCAAATAAAGTAGTGATTAAAAAAAACCAAAAACACTCAGATTGGCCTAAGTTCAAATCTCAGTCTCACCATTTATTACTTGTATTACCTTAAACTAGTTATTTAATTTTTTGAAGGTTATTGATAAGATAGTGACTGAAGGGATAACAAAGGAGAAATTAATGAAGGAGGAGAACATGGACTGAGAGAAAAAGGGATGGGTGATCCTGATGTCAAGAGCAGGGAAACAGGTTAGGGTAGCAGAAAATTGAAAAGATGGGAGTATGGTCAGCTGCCAGCGGGTTTCTGTAGTCCTCAGTGTCCTGTCCTTGTCCTTTGATTTATCCAACTCTACTTGCCCAACCTCCTACAATCTCTTTGTTCACAATCGGGTTTCTGAGCAAGAAGAAGGTACACATTCATGTTCACTGATGTCCAACTTCCTCTGTCCCCTCATTTTATACATGTGTCTCATCAGCTTCCCCACACTTTCCTCACAATAACTTTTCAAAATCTTCACCACTTTTTCAGTTGATGACCCTGCCACCATCCTACAACATAGCCAGGTACCCATAGATATAAAACTTAAGAATATAAGGAGGAACATACTGGGAGCATTGTCTTACAATGCCCTTAATACTCAATTTTAGAACTTTCAGTGGAAGGTTTTAAAAAAGATTATAGATTCCTGAGGGCAATCATAAGCCTACTAAATTAGAATCTATAGGAGAGGGACCAAGGAATCTGTATATTTTGATGATCCACAAGATTTTGGAACTTCTGCTTTAGGCAGACTTCCCTATTACTGTGACGTGACTCCCACTACGGACTGATGCCTCCCAAATTTATATTTATTTCTTTTTTAAAAAAGATTTTTGATATGGACCACTTTTAAAGTCTTTATTGAATTTGTTACAATATTGCTTCTGTTTTATGTTTTGTTTTTTTAGCTATGAGGTGGGCATCTTAGCTCCCTGACCAGGGATAGAATCCACTCCTCCTGCACTGGAAGGCAAACTCTTAAGCACTGGGCCACCAGGGAAGACCTCTAAATGTATATCTCTAACTCAGAGCTTCACTATGTCTCAGATCCAAATATTCAATCACTAATTTGCATGGTATTTCTCTTTGTATTTGGGTGGGGCAAAAAGTTTGTTCGGGTTTTTCCATAACATGGAAAAACTCAAATGATCTTTTTGGCCAACCCAGTATATCCTGCACTCTAAATGCAGAATGACCAGATTTCTGTTAAACCCAACAAAACAAAACATACAACTAGAGCAAAGGTGTCTATTTGTCTTTCTCCATCGGCTATCAGATCCTCTCTGAAATAACCAAAGAAACACACAAATAGGAAAGTTCTGCATCATAGCAGGAAACCAAGAAAGGAAGCCATGTACGTTATACATTTTTAGAAACACAATCAAGCTTGAGTTTGAGATGATATCGATGGAAGCTAGAAAAGGTCAGCTTGCAACCAATGCTCCTGAGAAAAACTCAGTGTCACAGGAAATAATTGCGAGAGACCCTGGGAGGATTCCACTAACCCCTCCCTGCATGTGAAGAGGTAAGAAGCTGAAGATAGGAGAGAGAGAGTGCAGCACTGGGATGAATACCAAGAAGGGCTGTTGGGAGAAGCCACAAGGTGTATCTGGCGAGCACTCACAGCAGACACGGGTGTTGCAGGAGAGAATCTCATAGGTGTCCTTGAAAGGCAGCAGAAAGATATGTGCCAGCCATAGAGGCTGAGCCAGAGACAAAATCAGCCCTCAGTGCGCAACGTCTCGTAACACAGAGAAGAAAACTCGGATGGGTAATCCTGCCCTTGGGTCTCGCTGTTGTTAGGATGCTGGGCTTCTAAACTGGCACTGCAAGATGATAGCAATGAGACCTTTAGCTAAAGTTAAATAGGGGGATTGTAATGATAATCAGGTGGTGAGGTGGAGATCACTGTGTCCATCACAGAAGTTCGGCACATCTGCTCATTGTCAGACTGAGCATCTACAGGCTCCTTGCTGGCTCCCACAATTCACCTGGAGCCAGTTCACCTAGATATTTCCATTTTCTTCCACAGAGATGCTGGGGACACACTGACGTAAGGATGAAATCTGTCCGGATTCCCAAGTGGAGAGCAGGAGAAATTCCTCTTTGGGTGTGACTCAGATGTCCCAGTTGCTGACAGATCAGGGCATCTCCATGAGTTGCAGGAAGAGCCCAAGAGATCAAACCAAGAGGGTGCAGGCCCAGGCAACTGACCCAGGCATTCCCCTGGGGCCAGCAGCTGCCCCAGCGTGTGCTATCTCTGATCTACAGGCAAAAGCTCTCCAGGGAAAGTGTGGGCACCCCTGGTGGCTCAGACGGTAAAGAATCTGCCTGCAATGCAGGAGATCTGCGTTCGACCCCTGGGTTGGGAAGATCCCCTGGTGGAGGGCATGGCAAATCACTCCAGTATTCTTGCCTGGAGAATCCCATGGACAGACAGACCGGAGGGCTACAGTCTGTGGTTTCACAAAGAGTTGGACACAACTGAGTGACTTTCACTCACTCAGCGAAGGTGTGCTGGCATTCTTACCTCGTTAAGATTTCTTGTGGTGCAAACAACCACCTTGGTCTCCCTTTTTTAATGCAGAAAAAATATTTTCAAAAAGAACATACAATATGTTCCTTCATCTTATCTACAACACCATTCTAAACACACTATTTTAGGGCCCACTAAGGAATAAAAATCTCTGCCATTTAAACTATGATATAATGTTTTATCACTTAGCATTTTGTTATATTAATTGAGATATAATTTTTTAGGCTTATGTCGGTATAGAATTTTAAGTCATATATCATTCCAGTGCATATAAAAAAAGGAAGAGATAGGTGAAATAAATTTAGTTCCACTTGAGTCCCATTCTTCTATTCACCTGCCCACTCAGTTTATGTCTGTTTCTCCACAGGACAGGAGGAGCACTAATGACTCAGCATTTCTCA